GAGTGGGGGTGGGGCTGGGGAAGCTGAGGGGTTAGTGGCGGTTGAGTGGCAGCTGGAGGGGCCTCAGCCAGAGGAGGGAGACAGGAGGGTGGAGGAGATGCCATGGCGGGGCCAGGGAAGTGAAGGCTCACTTGTAGTCAGGAGGGGGCCGGGGAGTAGGTGGGGTGTGGGAATGAGAAGCAGTCTGGTGGGGTCCCAGGAGGTGCAGAGGGAAGGGGGCCTGCAGAGGCCAAAAAACACCAGGCTCACACATTTTCCCAGCCTGCAACTCAAGGGCTTGGAGAACTGAAAAATCTGATGTGCCACAGATGGGCCACTGGGAGCCATTATTTAGTTTGGTGTTACAGAAATAAATGAGACGTTTTTGTTTCCGGTCGGGGGCAAGGTGGAGAGGTTTGAGATTTTTGAGTACACGTGCCGGGGGATGAGGCAGGAAGCGAGGGAGGTGAATTGTCCATAGTGGTCTTAGACACCAGCGGAGTGGAGGTGACTCAGGGAAGGAAGGGACATCTCCAAGCAGTTCCTTGAGGCCGAGTGAATCGACAGACAATAAAGCCAGGCATCCCTGGGATTTTGCAGCCATCAGAGTGTCAGACCTGAGAGTGAGGGTGACCAGGACTGGGTTTTTAGAGCATAACTCACGCTGGGGCTAGAAAGCCACTTAGCATGAGTGAAAGAGCAGAGACAAGGGACAGAGCTAGGAGGTGACGGGATGCAGGTGACACCCCACCTGAAGAGGAGACCAACACCAGCAGTGAGTCGTGTGAGGAAGGGCTGGAGGTGGCTGTCACAGGCAGTCTCGTGTGCCCCACTGGGTGTCTGCAGAGGGAGATTGGACTCCCCTGGGAGGGGATCTTGACCTCCCGGGTTTCAGCACGAGGGTAGGGTAAACTGAGGTACAGTTGTGACTGCCGAAGTGGGCAGAGTTTAAGCAATATGCAAGGACTTTATTGCAGACTGGGTGAAGCCAGACCAAGGGTGAAGACACCATTGGCCCCAAGCAAGGGTGAGAGCATGTTTTATTCGGGAGGGTGTGTGTGTTGGGGGTGTGTGCAAAATCTTGGGTCTCTGAGTAGGGGGCCTAGGGTTAGCTCAAGGGCAGTGTTGGTATGGCAGGGGGTGCTGACCGCCACAGCACGAATCCCCTCTCTGTAAGCTGAGCTGGGTGGGTGGGTGCTATCAGGTTGTGATGTGTGGGGAAGCTGCTGGCTTCCTGTTAAATGCTGTGCTCCCCAGGTGTGAACAGCAGATCTGCTGGGGAATCTCTCCTAGCTGGGCAGGGGTCCATTTCAGAGAATTGACAGTCTGCTTTTTGCTTGAAGCTTCCCCTCCCCCCATGCTGAAGACTGTCTCAGCTGGACTGAGAGGTCCTTGTGGCCTCTGTATCCAGGTCCTCCTGCCTGATTACTCCTGCAAGTTGCATTTGCTAGGGAACAGTCGGCATGGGGCTGCCAGGAGTGGAAACCTATCTCGCTTCCTCTGCACCACTGTCTCTCGTATCAGCAGCCACTTCCTCTTCTAGGCTGGATCTCAGTCTTCTCCTGCAAGTAATAAAGGAACACCTATTTAAGGTTAATTGCAAATCACATGAACACACTCTGTTTTTACTGTGGCTTGTTATTTTCTTTTTGAGATGCAGTGCTGCCATGTTGCTAGGCTGGCCCTGAACTCCTGAACTGAAACGATCCTCCTGCATCAGCCTCCCAAGTAGCCGAGACTACAAGCACACATCACGGTGCTCTATGTTGAAGGACCTGCCTCACACTAGAGGCTCCAATAAGCTCTGAGCTTTGTATTAACCCTCATTGCCCCAGGTGGTGAGATCGGCCAGGACACAGCATTTGACAGTGTGGTTCAATGTATCGGTGTCCCTGTATGATTTGTACCGTTGGAGTCCGAAGATGTCCTTCCCAATCTGAAACACAGTGACATTTTGCGTGAAGTCTTTTAGATAATGTACAAAGAGACCCTTATGCTTTACCTCCTATTACATTTTCTCCTCTCCCTCTTTCACAGTACTGGAAATTGAACCCAAGGCTTTTCTTCTGAGCCACGTACCCAGCCCTTTCTATTTGTGTCTTGACGCAGGGTCAGGCTAAGTTGCCCAGGTTGGGCTCCAACCTGCAGTCGGCCTGCCTCAGCCTCTCAGAGTGCTGGGAATTCAGCAATGATACTCCCACACCCAGCCAGCCTCACAGCTTTCACATTCACCAACACAACACAGCAAAGAAATCTGCTCCTGGGGTGGGGCTGGCGCTGCCACTAAGATCCACTCAGCCACGGGAACTATGTTGTCCAGAATTGGAGTCACAGACCCATTGCAGCTTTTTGCCCTTAAATTAGCTAAAATCCAATGGAAATTAAAATCCAGCTCTGTAGTCTAACTTGCCACATGTCAGGTGCTTAAGGGTGTCGCACAGTGACAGTCACGGGGGCTCCCAAAGCCTCCATTCCATGGGACCTGGCGCAGAGTGAAGTCCTCTGAGATTTCCATCCACCTTACGAAGCTTTCAGTTCCTTGCTGTGAATTCAGCTTCTCCTTAGTACAGATTAACTTTTAGTACAGCATGCTGGGCTTTCACGCCTGATTTCAGCTTCCACTTAATTAAAGCAGATGTTCCTCATTGTGGGAAAAGCACCACTCTGATTTTTAAGCTTTCTTTCTCAAAGAAAGAGTCCATAGCTTGGTGCCTGAGGCCCTTTGTCCCCCCCCCCCCCATCTCTTCTACCATCGCCTTGGCCTTGGGCCAGGTACTCTGGGTGGATGGATGACGGGTGTGTTGGAGAGGTTTGGGCCAGAGGGGCTGGGAATTAAAATATCTCAAGGAACAAATCCCTGCGAGAAAAGGCGCCCAGCCTTTATTAATCTTGTTGTGCATGGGAGTTCACAGAAGGAAGTGTAACTCAAAGAGGCGGAATCAGGGGCCCACAGACTATCTGGACAGTGAGAAGGGGTTCGGGCTTTGAGGGACACTCAGTGTTTGGGGAGTGACTGGAATGACGTGGAGAAACCCATGGAAGGTAAAGGTGATTTTAATAAAGTCCATCTCTGCAAACTTAGCTCGGTATCAGCTCCCAGGGCTGAGTGCTTGTCTCTTCCTCATATGAGGGTCTCCTGGAAAAGGGAAATTTTATACTCAGCTTCTAAGACAGGTAGGAAGGGGAGGATAGGATTCTTTTCCTCATCTGATGGTGCTCGGTTGCCTGGAGCTCAAAATAATCCCTCATGCCAAAGAGGCCTACTTTGGGGCGCCATGTTCAGGTTAAGTGGGGATTGCTCAGGGGGCAAAGTACTGGCTCTGTTTGGGGACAGAGAGTAAGGACACAGCGGCAGCATCAGCTCAGCTCTGGTGAAGGCCTCAAGGCAGATGGCGTCTCCTGGGCAGGAAATCATCCAAGAGGAGACATCGTGTCCTTAGACCAGAAGCCAGAGAGAGACGGGGTCTCAGGTCCACTCCGGGATGGCCCCAGTTCTGGTGACTCCCACTTGGCCCCGCCCCTAAATGCTCCACACTGTCGCCCAGCCCTGCCATCCCAGTGGGTATCAAGCTTCCAACCCCTGAACCTTTGGGGTAGCAGTCCCCAACCTTCTTGGCACCAGGGTTCCCGGAAGACAATGTTTCCACATAGGGGGTGAAGCTGGGGGGCAGGAGATGATGATGGTTTCTGGATGATCAAAGCAGCTTGCAGCCTGGATCCCTCCCAGGCACAGCTCTCAGGGGGTCCGAGCTCCTGCGGGAACCCAGTTCCTCACCGATCTGCCGATCTGCCGGGGCCTGGAGCTCAGCGTGAGGAAGTTCTGCTTTCCTGCTGCCCCCCACGCCCCTCTTGCTGTGCGGCCAGGTTCCTAGCAGGCCACAGACCAGCCCAGGCCACGGCGCAGGATTTGGGACCCCTGACTCAGGACAAACACTGCAGCCCATAGCAGCAGCTTCTCCTTGATCTTCTCCCACCGAAAGGAAGAACACAGCTCCTCCATGGCAGAGGGACAAAGTCGCTCCCTTCAGTGACACCAGTCCCACTCATGATGGCGGAGTCCTTGCAACTGGATCCACTCTCCAACGGCCCTGAGTCTCCAGGAATGACTCAGAAAACACCAGCACTCAGGCCATGGCAGGTCCCTTCTGCGTGGGAGATTTTTCTGCCCAGTTGTGTGTTTATTTGATCATTTATTTACATGTACGGTTTTGGAAGGTAAAGCCCGCTGTGCTTTGTTGCTAGATTGCTGCAACTTTGACCTTGTTTCTCCTTAAACTGTTTTTTTTTTGAGACAGGGCCTCACCATGTAGCCTACGCTGCCCTTGAACTCACAGCAGTCCTCCTGCCTCAGCCTCCCAAGTGCTAGAATTATAAGTGAGGGCTAGCACATATTTGTGCACACACTGTAACCGAACCAGAATTTTCATCTTTTCACTCATTTCTGTATTCATCCAGCAAATCTGGTCTCGAGCCCCCTCCTTCTTTCCGGCCCTAGCCCATCTGTCCCCTTCTGCTTCCCGACTGATAATCCTTGCTCGCATGGCTCTGGCCCAGCTCCTTGGGCCCCACTTCCTCCAGGGTTCACCCTCAGCTCCTGCCATCAAAGTCTGGTGCCCCCAACAAAACTTCCCAGGGTGAAGATGCATTATGCCCCACTGCATCCAGGAAGGAGCACCCTGCCCTGGAGTGGGGACCATGACAAGAACTCAGGCTGTGCCTCCCCAGTCCTGGCTTCCCACAGGGAGAGCACAGGAGAGGGAAAAAAGGAGCAATCTCTTTGTTCACTGCAGGTTCTTCCTGCGCAGTGAGAGACCCTGCAGCCGGGGCCCCCGACCTAGGCCTAGCTGCCACCTCTCTCCCGTGCCCACATTCCCAGGCTGGCCACTTCTCCCGTCGATGTATAGTATTGACCTTTCTGGGTTCTGCAAGCTCACAGATGCTGACGGCCGGAAGAATGGGGCCCCTCTTCTGGTTCCCTCTGCCCAGAGGGCTTCCCTTTGCCCTATTTCTTTCCTTGGCAGAAGTGACGCGGGTGTCATGGCTTGCAGGAGCTCCTTCCTGCTGCTGCCCCCGGTGCTGCTGGTGCTCCTGGCCACAGGTGAGACAGAGGGGCTCAGGATGAGGGTGGAGTTGGAGCAGCCACGTCCAGGGCACTGGCTTCGGGGGCCACATCCGGGGTGGGCATCACAAGTGGTTTCCCCTCTACTTCCCCCAGCCCTGGGAATGGTGGCCCGGTCAGGACTGTGACCGAGGGAGGACTTGTTACCCAGGTTCCAGGCTGTTGACAGCAGATTCTGTGGAGCTGCAGGCAGTGGAGGGACAGACACTGACTGTGCGGTGCTCGTACACACCCGAGACGGGACCCTATGTGAGTAAAAGCTGGTGTCGCCAGACAAGTGTGAAGAGTTGTACAAGGGTGGTCACTACCTACCAGCCTCAGACGGCAGTGGAAAAGTCACGGCACACAATCTGGGATGACCCCGAAGCTGGTTTCCTGGTGGTCAACATCACTGACCTGCAGGAGGATGACTCGGGGTCCTACTGGTGCGGGAACTACAATGCTTCCGAAAACACGATCTTCATTCTCAGAAACATCACTCTGGTGGTGTCTCCAGGTGAGGCGTTCTTGAGGAAGTGCCCCCATCAGAGAGACGCAGGTGGGGTTTGCTCAGCCCTGGCCAGTGACTCCCTCACCCCAATCCTGCCGAGCCTTCTGCTTTGACCCAAGGGCAGAGAGCAGCCCCGTCTCGGGGTGGAGTCTCACTTCTGCTCCTCCTGCCAGTCCTGGTCTGAGCCTTCGGGGAAGCATATTCAAGGCTCCAGGACTGGAGTCTTGTGATTCTCTTTCCTGCTCCGGGACACCCACAGCTGCAGAGTGCAGACCTGGGGCTCGGGTCTCTGAGGGACCAGCAATGTCCCCTGCGCCCCCTTTAGCTTTGGGGACAGACCCCCTTCCCTTGTGGGCCTGCACAGTCATCTAATCTCTTCTCTCTTTAGCCCCATCCAGTGCTCCCACGTGGACCACAACCACAGGTCAGTCTGGGGTCTCCAGTGGGGGAGGGGAGAGGGATGCCCACACAACCTGGGGGACCTCGGTGTCAGGGAAGGAGAGACCAGGAAGGCCTGCCCTGGATGTCCCAGGGTCTGGGCTGTGGGACGGACATCAGGACCTAAGACGGAGAGAAACTGCTCTCCCCATCCTCATGCTGGCTGTGTATCTACATAAGCGTGCCAATCTCTGTCTCCTGAATGGGATCACAGGAACAAGAATGTATTGCAAGAAGAAAAAGACAGTAAAGCTCCCCACTGGGGGCTTTCCTCACATTAACCTCCCATCTGGGTGGCAGCTCTGAAACAGGAAACACTTAATTTTGTACAAAACTGGGTTTATGGTCTCACAATGTAGAATGAAGTCTTAAGCCACAAGGAGGTGGCTAGGAGAATTTTACTGGAAATTGCAGTAAAGCAGAGTAGCTGCTGGACTTTCCAGGAGGGGTCCTGAGTGGGGGCTATGTGGACCCTCAATTCAGAACTACTCCCAGATAAGCAGAGGACAGGACTGGCCCAAGTGTTTAGTGACCACCTCACCCAGGGGGGTTAAATGACCCCACTCAAGTTCTCTGACCCAATTCCCCAATTCTCTGACCCAATACTTGTAGGGTTGAAAGGAAACTGTGATTTCAGAGAAAAACTGGTTATTCTGCTTTTAAGTTCCTGGAAATTCAGGAGCTTAGAAGGGAGGGGTTGCATTCCATGTGGTCTAAGGAGGTTTGTGCTTGGGCTAAAGTCCTAGCGCACTGTCTATGCTTATTTTAATTCTTATCAATGTGGTTGATCGCCCAACTCTGTCTCCAGCCCTTATTCTAGCTAGCTGTCTTATTCATAAGCTAACTAAACTATTTTTGACGTTTTGAGTATTATGCAATGTATATATGTATTGAAACCTCCTATATGCCTCATAAATATGTATAGTTTTTAAGCTACTAGTTCAAAAGATGAAAGAAAGAAGGAAAGAAAGAGGAACTGAGGGGTTAGGTTACCTTAACTCCTGGCCCGAGAGCCCGGGGAGCTGGTTCTATCCTTTCTCCACTTCCTCTTGTGGTCCTGGGGACCCAGTGTCATGCTCTGTTCTGGGTCTCTGAACAACTTGTCTTCTCTATGTCCTCCTAGCTCTGGTCAGTTCTCCAGAGGGGACCTCTGGCCTCTCCTTCAATGGATCTGAGCACAGGTAAGACAGAGTTTTCCCTTGGAAGGAGGATCCAGGGAAAAGGTGATGAAAGAGTTCATGCAACATCTTTTGAATCAAAGAGGGGACTTTTTATGATTTATGCCTAGATATGTCCCCCCAAACCCCCTGCCAGTCTCATGCAGTCATGGGGGTCAGGCTTTTTGGAGATGGCTGAGTCTAGAGCTTGTGACTGATTCATGGTCCAATGCTGGGGTTAAGGGTGTGGCCCTAGGGCTGGTAGCCTGCATAAAATACAAGGGACAGAAAGAAATTTGTCCCTCTCTTGTTGCTTTTGCTGGCTTCCACCTCCACCAACCACCCTCTGCCATGTTCTACCCTGCCTTGGAGTCAGCTGATTGTGGGCTAAAACCTCTACAAACTGTGAGCTAACACTGGAAACCACCCAAAGGACAGTTGTGGAACCAACGTTCTTAGTCACTAGGGTTAGGCAAGAAGCGTGAATACACTGAATGAAGAGAAAGAATCTTAAAAAGATCTAAGTGGTGAGGCTGGTTTTAAACAGTGCCCTAGACCACCGTGTATGTGATACATAAAAGGTGTGGCTGGAGTGCGAGCCGGGATAAAAGCTGAGGGATTCCTGCAGAAAGCTTCTGGAAAAGGATGAGAAGATTTAAAACAAGTTGAGGGAAAAGTGAGAGACATGAAGGAAAAGAATAAATGTGCTCATTATGGGTATTAAAAATCTCTGTGGGCAAGAGAAGATGAGGAAGAAGACTTGGAGACACAGGACGGCTAAATGCTTGTCTCGTGAGAGGCCATATGTAGATGTTAACTTTGAGCCAGTAATTGGAGATAATCAGAATGGTTATGGGTCTTCAGGTAACTAAATAGAGGGGCACTCTTTCAGTTAAATTTAATTAGCAAAATGAAACCATGTAAGGGAGCGTAGGGAAATAATTTAAAAAAATAAAACACAACACATGGAAACAGTGAAATAAGGCAGAAAGAAGCCCTAATATAAATATAAGTGGGTTAAACTCATCGAATGACAGAGACTCAAAGAGTCTTGAGCAATATATTGTTTATAAGAGAAACCTACAGCTGGGTGCAGTGGTGCATGTCTGTACCCCAGCGCTAGAGAGGCTGAGGCAGGAGGATTACTGTGAGTTTGAGGTCAGCTTGGGCTACATAAAAGATCTTGTCTCAAAAAAACAAAACAAAACAACAAAAAGTAGACCAAGCAACCCTATCAGCTATGATATGTAACTGTAGTTGGAGAGTTCCGCTCCTCTCAGAAGATGGAGAACCAGTAAGATTAAAAATAAACAAAAGAACTTAAGTTCTAAACAAATATTAACAAATAATAATAAATTCCAAGTTATTTTAACTAATAAATTCTAAGTATTATTCCATTTGCATGATATTTACAAGTATGCACATTATGATACCTATTTATAGTACATTATAAATTATCTTTAATAATTTTGATTATTCAGAATATACATGTTTAAGAATATTGTCAACTATATAAATGTAAATATTTAATAAAATGTATTATGCATAAATTGTATATACATGTACATATAAACATATACATATGGAACACTGTGGGGCCAGGGATAAAGCTCAGAGGCATAGTGTCAGGTTCTGAGTTCGATTCTCAGTACAGAAAGAAAAAAACCAAACATTCTGCATAAAGACAAATAATGTACAGTCTTCAAATATGTAGAGAATATTTATGAGAGCATACCTTATATGAGGACATAAAAGAAACTTTAATAATTCCAAAGATTAATGAGAATCAAAATATATTTTCCTTTTTTTCAGAATAAAATTTCAAACATAATGCAACAAAATTAAGAATAAGTGAGAGAAGCAAAGTTAAAACAACACCCTTTGAAACTAAGTAGTATTTGTTAATATATTTTCATATAAATTATGAAATATAAAATAAAATGTATTACAATAGTAGAAAATCATGGGGCATAACAGCTTTAATTAAATTTGATTTAAATTTTTAAACATAAAAGTTTAAAAATTAGTTCAAGAAGATGGGAAATGAGCCACAGAACAAGCCCAAAGATATATAAACAATATATAAAGATATTATAAGTATTGAGATACCAAAACCTCTATGAAAAGGTTAGGGCTAAAATAAATAGATTAAGATGGCAGAAATAAAGGAAATCCATAAATAGTCCTTTATAAAGAATAGACACATTTCTGTTGCAAGCAAGATAAATGATTTAAGTAAATAACAAATTAAAGGGTAGATTCTAGCCTGAAATCCTACAAGTGGGCAAATTCCTTGAAATATAAATGCTGAGACTATTGTGTCTCCTCACGATAGCCCAACCTATGTTGTAGGGTGTGTTTACTTTATTTTTTCCTAGTTTTATCTGGGCCAAATTTACTCTGCAGTGAATTTTTTTCCCAGCTTCAATAAATGAAATTTTGCCACGATTAAAATGTATCTATATGTCTATATATCTATATATCACCAAGATTTAGAAAGTAATAGATTTGAATAGCTTAATAATTACGTAAAATTGAAATGTTAAAAAGCATCTTCATAGAAAGCTTGAGACTCAGATAGTTTTACAGATCTCACCAAACATTTAAGAATCAAATGCTTTATTCATACTTTATGCAGGATTTTACATAAAATAGAAAGGAAGCCAGCGCTGTTTTCTTAGTTACTTTTCTTGCTGAGACACAATGCCTAACCCCAGAGTCAAAGGAGGAAAGGTGGATTTGGCTCACAGTTTGTAGAGGTTTCGGTTCATAGGCAGCTGGCCCAAGGCAGGGTGGCACATGGCAGAGGGGCATCACAGAGGGGAATCGGGATATGGTAGGCAGCAGGTGGCAAGGAATGGCAGCATCCCTCCTTCTGCCTCTTATATTTTATCCAGACTGCAGGCTTTTGAAGCGGGTAGCGCTCACACCCAGAGTGGGTACCCATTATTCACACCCAGAACTATGCCAAGCCAGTCAGTGGGCTGATTAAGTAATCACACACCCTTGATTTCACGTCACACACTTAATCCCAGGGCCACGGGGATTAAGATGCAGCTGCCTCTGAAAAGCCCCATCTATGACTGCATGAGGCTTTGGGGAGATGTCTAGACACAGCCATAACAGCTGTCAGGGCATTTGGAGAGGCCAGTGCCTCAAAACTAGCTACAGCTAACACATGAAAATTGAATTACAGGCTCATGCTGGGCATGGAGCCAAAAGCAAAATGAAAACCAGCTGAGTGAGAGCAAAATATATCAGAAAAGAGTGAGTTGTAACCAGTGTGATCAGGAGGGGCAGATTTCAGGACTGAAAGGATTGTTCAGCCGTAGATAACCTATCAATACAAATGGACTAAATCTAACAAGCAGTAAAAATGTCCAGTAAAAATTCAGCTTCTGTGGAAAATGCATCTGGAAAGCTTCAGTATATCCATATTATAAGGCAAAAGTCTTCCTAAAGCTGGTCAAGATTGTATGCCAATGACTACCATAAATTATTACTGAGTGGAAAAAGCATGAACACAAGTTAAGGATTCTTACAGCTACCACTAATGCTCAGTAGAGTGTTAGGGGTGCTGGCCAGCGCTGGAAGAAGGTAGGTTCAGGGAGAGAAGATAAGACAAGAAAATAAAAATGAGCATCATTTACAGATGGTAGGATCGTCTGTATTTAAAATGACTATTAGATCTCATGATAGAGTTTAGCAAGGCTGACAGATATAAGGTCAACTGGCAAAATGTTCTTAACAATGAGCGTGGTGGTTCACACCTGTCATCCTAGCTACTCTGGGCTGAGGCAGGAGGACTGTGAGTTCAAGGCCAGTTTGGACAACATTGTTGGATTCTTTCCCTCTGTTCCCCCAAAACAAAAGCAATTTTCTACGTCTGAATAATCAGTTGGCAAAATCTAAATAAAATGAAAATTCATTCATGTCAGACACAAAATCAATTGTTTATAGAAAGAATGAATTTACCAAGGTCTCTTTGTAAAATAAAAATCTTAACATGTTATTGAATAAAATAGGTGATGTGACTAGAAATAATCAATGATCTTGGACGAGACAATAATATGGTAAAGATTTCAATTTCCCCCAATCACAAAATTGAATTCAAGTTTTTTTAAAAAAGCAATTTGATAAACTTACTCTGAAATTATATGGAAAAATAAGGATGTATGAGTAGCTACCACGAAAAAATAAAAATAAGAGCAGAGACCTGTTCTACCAAGTACCGAGCAACACGGCTGATAGCAGAGTAGGCTGGTGTAAGCATGAGTGAACACTCCTCAGGTGGAACTTAGGGGTTCCCAGCATGCCGGGAGGTGTGCAAGGATGTAGCCTACCGGAAGGCAGCCCCTGAGAACCAGTGGGGGCCCATCATGTGTTTTCGTATTTAATTTTTTTTTTTTGTACCAGGGGTCAAACTCACAACCACACCCTTGCAAGGTAGGTGCTTATGCCACTGAGTTAAATCTGGGGCCCTCTTATTTTATTTTTTTATGGGGCCCATTATTTGGAAGATATTCTTGAGGTAACAGGCACAACATATTTTTTAAAAATGAAAAATGAATCAAAAAATTGGATCCCTGTCTAATAACATGGGAAGATGGACTCCGGCTAGATTCAGGGGTGTGTGTGTGTGTGTGTGTGTGTGTGTGTGTGTGTGAAAAATAAAATTAAGTCATTCAAAAAACAACACTGCAAAGATCCATCCTCATTTCCTGTCATCTTTTATTTTGCTCTTTTATTTCTACCTTGAGTTTCTCAGGTAAGAGAAACCGTACAATACAAAGCTTTCGTGTCTCACGTAATCTTGTGGTCTCAAGGTACTAATGCAAAATGAAAACTGAAAAATACGACAACAAGAAGAACACTGCAGACGACTCTCTGGTGGCCCGGGAGGCAGGAAGGACTTCTCACACAGAACTTTAAAAACACAAACCACAGGGACAAAAACAATCAAATCGAACCGGTGACACCAAGAATAAGAAATTTGATTCAAGCAACAGCACGATGGGAAAGGTTCTCAGGAGGGTAACAGAGGGAAAGAGGAATTGTAAGTGTCTGAAAGAAGCCGGGTGCTGTTGCCTGGAGACTGCAGGGGACCAAGGCTAACCCACAGGGAAGAAGGCCGGACCCCCAGAGAGATGGGCGAGGTCCCCTACAGGCAGTGACAGAAGAGGGGATCTGAGAGGCTCCGCCTGTTCAGAATCAAAGAAATGTCACTAAGAACAGCCATGAAACGCTGGCTTCAGCTTGGAGCCCAGGAAGGCAGGGGGCTCTTGGGGAGGTTGTTGGGGGAGGGTGGCAGCTGCCCTCTCCCCGACAGCGCCACGTAGGGACGGGAAGAGTCGCCCCTCTCTCTCCCACCTTCCAGGAGAAACTCTGGTGCTGCCTCCTCCCCGGACCTCCTGTTCCTCCTGGAGTGTGGACTCCTGGCACTCAAGGCCGCGTTGCTGTTGGTGCTGTGTGCGGTCCTGTGCTGCTGGTGGGGCTGCAGGGTGAGTGTCCGGGCTGGGGACAGTGCAGCTGGGCGGCTTCTGTGCCAGGAGGAAGGATAGCCCTGAAAATCAGAAACAGACCTCAGAGAAAGAGAGGCTTCCCTGGGCCCTGATCCCCAGGGGGCCCGAGGAGAAGGTAGAGCAGAGCAGGGTGGGGATCAGGAGAAGAAGGGGGAGGTGGAGAGAAGGGAGGAGACAGGACAGGAAATGGGCCGGGGTAAACAAGGTGTGGGGAAGAGGGGCAGAGAAAAAGGCTCACTTTATGAGTTTCCTTCTCCCTTCTCCAGGGTCACAAGGACACGGTGGTGACAGAAGGGATGGAGATTTCTGATTATGCCAACTTCACCCATGCCCCAGAGCCCTTGGGTATCGTTGGCCACATCCCTGGACACAGGAGAAACACCTATTCTCCTGCCCCTGACCACTGACTGCAGCAGCACTATGAGGAAAAGCCAGTGCTCTAACCCGGGGGCGACAACTTCCTGTCCCCCAATCATCAGTGATAAGGAGCCCTTGGAGACTCCCTCCGCCTGTGGAGAGCATTCTAAGGTCCACTTCCACTGCCCTGCCCCCAAGCTGGCCACTTGTGGTCAGGTAATTATTTATACTGCTGTGGGCCAGCGCTCAGCTCAGCATCTCCCCCCAGCTGCATGCATCCTCCCTGCTTCCCAGGGACCTTGCATCCTTCCACCTGCCTCGACCGGGCGACAGGATGCCTGCCGTCGCGTGACTCTGCAGTACGACACCTCTAAGTATATCTTCTTGCATTTAAACTCAACCCCTTGGACCCTGTCTCACTGAGCGAGATCTGTGAGCAGATCCCCTTGGCTTCCTGTCTTCCCACCCCACATATCTTCATCTGAGATAAAAATGGCTTTAAAATAAATGATGGAATTGAAATTAAGGGGGCTGGGGATTTAGCTCAGCGGCATAAGCACCTGCCTTGTAAGCAGGCGGTCGTGAGTTCGATACCTGGTACCGATAAAAATGAAAAAGACAAAAAAAAAAAAAAAAAAAAAAAAAAAAATGAAATTAAGAAAAAAAAATTGAAGTTAAGAAAGGTTGTGATCACCAGACTGAACACTGAGGAAGTCTTACAAGTTCAAGAAAAACTCAGATGCAATTAAAATAACAAAAAAGTCTCCAAGCAGAAGCCTGCACCATCGTCTATAAGTAACATCTGACCACCAGGATCCTGTGTTCTGTTCGTTCAGCATGGAGGTGGTTTTGTAGCCTGGAAGAGAAAAATTCAGTTGAATAAAACAAAATAATTGAATGGGGGTGAAAAAAAGAAAAATTTTAGGAAACGGAAGACATCACAGCCATAAAACAAGAACAGCTAGGGTCACATTCAGAGCACTTCATGTCCAGGGAGACCTGGGCACTGGCCACCAAGAACAGTGACCACCTGGAAGGACCAGCGATGACACAGGCCACCACCGAGAGAGTGCAGCCTGGACAGCACAAACTTTCCCATTTCCTTGTTCTGCTTCCTTGGCCGGGTGGGAGTGGTGGCGTTGAATGGAGGTTTCTTCATTCATGCCTATTTCAGCTCGAGCTACACGGCCTTCTATGCACGCTTCGGTTTTGCTGTGTTTCTCATTGATTCATTATCATTTCCTAGCTGCCCTTGTGCCCTTTTAAAAGCACCCAGTTTTACTTTTCTGTGGCTCTGTTTTTCATTCGTGCCAAATAACGTTGCCACAACTGTTTTTCACACACGTGCGGCGCACAGGGCTGGGTACACTCCCAGGCTGCAGCTCAGGCTCCCTGTGTGCCCTCCCCTGGCCACCCCCAGGCTGCAGATGTCTGTACTGCCTTCGCCTGTCTGTACTGTCTGTACTGTACAGGCCTTCGCCTGTCTGTACTGGAACCAGGCTGGCATGGTCGTCTTCCAGCGTGTTCTCACATGGAATTAGGGGAGACTTCCTTTAGGGTTTATTCTCAGGTGGGGTTACCTGCATTGTGGGGTCTCTGACATCAAGGGATGCTGCCTGGACCTGTGATTACACAGGGGAGCATGTGCTTTCTGTGAGCCTGTGGGAAGCATACAGCACCCCCTACGGGCTGGTCTTGCCCAAAAATAAAGAAGTAAAGTGAAATGTGAGACTAAACGTAGCTAACAATGGCGTGTATCCTGTGCAGTCTTGCAAGTTTTCATAATAAAAATAATACATAAAAATAAACACTCGTGAATTATTGCCACCATGATTTGGTTTTTGATTGTACGTGGTGGCCAGGCATGGTAGTGCATGCCTGTAATCCCAGTCAGCACTGGGAGGTTGAGGCAGGAGGATTACTGGAAATTCAAGGCCAGCCTGGGCTATATAGTGAGTTCAAATCTAGCCTGTACTACACAGTGCGACCCTGTCTCCAAAACAACAACAACCAAAAATTGTGTATGGTAGAACCCAGTCCTTTCTTGACTTATTTTATTGATTGCTTGACCAGAGACAGGGTCTCAAGTCATCTCCCACTCAGGCTTCTGAGTAGCTGGGACTACAGGTGTAGACCACGGGCCAAGATCCTTCCTTGATTTATTAAACTTACACAACTGCAATGGGTTGGGACAAATTCACACGGTGCAGAAATACTGAGATTGCTTAGAGCAGATTAGCAACGGGACACAAGTGAACGGAATAAAGATATATCTTTACCAGTTCAGATGCTGAGAGGCAGCTCTTAGCAGAAACTTTTAATCCTTTGGCTTTGACCTCTGTGAGCTCAAAAGAGTCTTCTCCACCATTTTTGAACTTGTGATGAGTTTGAAAACATTGTACGTAAACTTCTGAAAGTGTTGTTTTTCTTCAAACATTGAGGACATCCTGGCATCTTCCTCCTCCCAGTGTTGCTATGGAAAGCTCTGGTATTAATCTGATTTTCCTTCATTTTAGCTGCCTATTTTATCTTTCTGGAACATTTTATATTCTTTTTTATGATAAGTGTCTTAATGCAGAGGATGTAATTTTCCATTCTCTCAGTACATTCATACATTTATTTTTAAATTCTGAGAAATTCTTATTATTTAAATAGTTCTCCTCCATGGAGGTTTTTTGTTTTGTTTTTTTTGGTGCAGGGTTTGAACTCACGACCTCACGCTTGCCAGGCAGGCACTTATGCCACTGAGCTAAATCCCCAACCTCCTTACATGCTTTCTGTTAGTGAGTGTTCCAGCTTCCAGAACACCGTACCTGCCACCTGCAACTCAAAGGAGAGATTTAATTGGCCTCCCATGTTAAGGGGGTTCCGTCCATGCCATCTGGTTCCAGGACAGAAGCATCATGGCAGAAGGGCACGATGGCGCTGGGCTGCTGAGTAGTCACGGGCGGCTGAGGAGGGGAGAAGGAAACGGTATCAGAGGAAGGGCAAGGGGCCAGCGGATGGAGACCACCACGAAGCAAATGCCTGAGCAGCATTGGAAATGAACCAGCTGGCTTTGGTTACCTGTGAGTCTGGCCCAGGCCCAGGCCCCTTGTCTGGAGATGGGCATCGGATTCACAGCAAGGGAACCTCTATGGTCCCCGAGAAGGCCTGTGATGCCATGAGGCCTCCAAAGGACAAGTCAAGGCCACAGCCGAGGACGCCCAGCTTCAGCCCCAATTAACTGCAGAGAGACTGTAGCTGTAGGCGTCTCACTTGTGTGGTGGTGAATCAACCTTGGGAGAAGACAGTCTCCTAACTAGCTTAATTTACTTGGGGAAGTCTTGAAACCGACCCCCAAGGTTCTGCTCGGTTCCCGTGCTTTCCTCAGTATCCCCTTCCTTGGTTCGAAAACCAAATCAGTATGTCTGTCCAGAGAAGTTCTTCATCTCAGAGAATCTCAAATTCTGCTAGAGGGTTTTGATCCTCCTGGAGCCCTAAAATCATACCGTCTGTCTCTTTTATTTAAACCTTCCCCGCCCACTGGTTTGGAAGCTGGTGGGCCTGGCCAGTCCACAGTGACCAGGCACAGCTCCAAGCTCCCAGCTCCAAGGCCCCCAGACACACTCAAGAGCACTGCAGACGGCGGGGCCCAGGCAAACCGGTCCAGGGGATTCAGTCAGGCTAACCCCACAGCCTCCCAACACCTGTCCGCCCTGTGCCTTTGGGGTACACTCTTCATGCGGCTTCCCTCCCCGGTGCATCTGGCTCGTTTGCTCTTCATTTCTAGAGTTTCCCTATTCATAATCAATACCTCTTCTAAGTTGTTCTTTTTCACGATTCCTTATTTCTGCTCTTCCTTATCTCCCTGAGCATATTTTGCCTACTTTGAGTTATCATTCTGCTACTTCGGCTTCCTCTGGAACAGACTGCTCAATTGATTTCTTGGTAGGAAATTTGTTCAGGTTATTGTCTTTAGTTCACAGCACTTGGAGATTTTTCTCATGTTCTTGTCTTTTGTTTCCTGTTTTTTTAGAGGCGCAGAGGATCACTCTGGATTTCAGTGTGTCAAGATGTCCCAGAGGTAAACCCAGATGATCAGCTGGCTAGAAGTAGTTCAAATAGGTAGATGTAGTTAGTATATTACAAAGAAAGCGATTTCACTTGTAACAATTGGAAACAAAGCATGTTTTGTTTTGTCTTTTTGAGGCAGGGGTTCACTCTGTAATTCAGGTCGGTCTTGAACTCACTTTGTAGCCCAGGCTGGCCTCAAACTCCCAGAGATACTCCTGCCTCAGCTTCTCCAGTGCTGGTGTTACAGGCATGTGCCACTGCCCAGCTAAACATATTTAACTACATGGCAAAAATAACTTTGTATCCCCTTTCCACACTCTAAAATACATTTAACATGGATTAAAGTGAGTATGGTGCACTAGAAAGACTCTAAATAAAATAACTGTGTAAAGGCAAAGATACATCATATAAGAGAGGCAGAAGCCACAGAGAAAAAGGATCAGAGATTTGGTAAAATGTAAACAAGTAAAGGATAAAAAAGTAAAGTCCAGGCATCATGGTGGCGCATACCTGTAATCCTAGTACTGGGGAGGCTGAGGCAGGGGAAGGCTCTGAGTTCAAAGCCAGCCTGGACTACGCAGAGAGACTCTACTTCAGAAAGAAGGAGGAAGAGGAGGAGGAGGAGCAGGAGGAGGAGGAGGAGGAGGAGGAGGAGGAGCAGTTGTTGTTTTGTTTTGTTCTGATTCATTGTTTTGCTTTATTCGATGTTCTGTTTTGATGGGTTTTATTCTGTTTTGTTTTGGGTCGATTTTGCTATATCTGATGGATGGACAGCTATTGTGAGGATAACATGTATCATGGTGGTCGCTGTTGTCTTCCTGGCATCCTGCTTCGAAGTTCTGTACTGGTTTCACTGCTTTGTTTCATTTGGTTTTATTCTGTTTTGTTTTGTTGGGTTTTATTATTTTTAAAATAAAAAAATTAAATGAAACAAAAAATGGAAAAAGGTAAAATTTCTCTGTGCTCTAAAACACTATAAAGAAAAGATAGAAACAAAAAAATTATTTTTTTAAAAATTAAATTACCAGGGGTTGGGGATATAGTTCAGTGGCATAAGTGCCTGCCTGACAAGCACAAGGTCCTGAGTTTGATTCCTGGTACAAAAGAAAAATATTACCAACGACAGAAAGAAACTGGGAAACTAAAAAATTAATAAACCACATTACAAAGTTCACTACAGGAGAGTGTAAATAACAGAGGACAGAACTACTGAACTTGAAGACTGATTAATAAAATGTGCTCAATCACAACATGAGGGAAAGCAGGCTGAAAAACCGCACAGTCCTCATCGACCTGCACAGCAGTGTCAGAGGAGCAAGCAGGCACCACCTGAGACCTGGAGAGAAGCTGGACCGGGCCTGGACAGCGCTGGATGGCAGGTCTTTAACTGTCTTGTGCTGAGCAAATGATGACAGGCACAGATCGCAGAGCTGATTTAGCCCCAGGCAGAATGAACCCAGATAAACATCCACCAACACACACATCGTAATCAACGGGAACTGAATCCCAAGGATGTCTTAGAATCACCCAGAGCTCCTTGAATGCAGCAGAGATGTGTGAGGGTGGCTTGGAGGCTGACACCTAAGAAACAGCGGTGGCACCCGGAGCCAGACTCCCAGGGTTGGCAAGGGAGGCTGGCGTGGGCGGAGTTAGAAAGGGGAGCCCGGCCATCTCTGGGCCGCAGCACTGCTCCCGGCACGCAGGTCCAGGTGCTCTGACATCCTGAGCAAGGAGCACAGCTGGCACCAGAAGAGCAGCCTGACCCCTGGGAGGGGCTCCTGACCTGGTCTCCCTGCCCCTGGTAGAGGGAGCCCAGCCAGCGAGATAGAAAAGGGTAACCCCAGCACACCAGGAGGCCGAGGCAGGAAGATCCCGAGCAACTTGGTTGAGATCCTGGCTCAAAAAAAAAAGAACAAGCAGGGCTAGAAAAAAAGGGCTCGGGTAGGCTGCAGCTCAGTGTGGAAGGCCTCGGCTCACACCCCAGTGCTGCAAAAATGGAAGGAAGAAAGAAAGGGAGAAAAGCAAAAAGTGGCCCAAGTAAGGAAGGGAGCACCTGGGCCCCCGCAGCCAGAAGCTCCGAGGACAGCCCTGTGCAGGCCGCCCCGGGGTCCAGCCCCAGGAACTAGGCAAAGGGCGGGTCTTGCGCGGAATGCTAGGTCATCTCCACGGGCCTGCAGGCTGTGGTGGTGAGATAGGGCCGATGGGAGGAAGCCGAGGGGCGCCGCGTGCTGACGGGGCAGAGCTGGGGACGGCGCATGGGGCCGCGCGGCGGCTGCTCGCCCGCAGGTGGGTGCAGGAGAGGCACGCGGTGGCTGTGCAAAGCCTGGCAGTGGGAGCTGGTAGGCGAGGGGGACGCAGGAGGAGGAGAGGCAGGGAGAGGGCTAGAGGCTGGGGAAGGTGCCCAGGGAAGGGAGGCTGTGTGCATGCGTGGGAGTGTGTGTGCGCCTGCACTGTTGATGGCACAGAAGCTGCTCTCTGAACCCACACTTCACGTTCTGAGTCTTACGATTTGCATTTCTGCCAAAACAGAATGAAAACAGCACGTGAGCACGTGACCCTTGTGAGGAGCCAGGGACGCGCAGGACGACAGGACAGAGAGGTCCGGCCCTGAGTGAGCGAGTGGGCAGACAGTGACCTGATCTTTCCTGGACTCTGGCCCCGAGGATCCCAGGTAAGCCTAGGCCAGCAGCCCCACAACTGCCCCCTAGGTGACCTCTTGCCTCTGTGTGGTGAGAGGGGCCCCTCCTGGACCTGGTTTCTGGAAGGATCCAGAAGGGCAGGAAGCATCCTTGGAAGGGGCCCAGTTGGAGAGGAGCGGCCACAACCGCACCTGCCCAAGTTCTGAGAAAGAACCGGAAATAGCCACTGGTGCCTCCCGTCCAGTGATAGGCTCTGTGGGAGTCTGCGGTCTGTGGGTGGCTCTGGGTCCCCGAATCGTCACTTCCCTAAATGGGCCACTTACTCTTACAGCCTGGACTCCTGCCCTGGCAAACACAGGTGGCATGTCCTGCAGTGGCCCAGGCCCTGACTTAGGGCCCCCCGGGTACCCCGGCCCCTTGCAGGGCCTGTGACGTCTACCTGGCGGGAGCCATGGCCCCCGGGCTCCTGCTTCTGCTGCTGTGTCTGCAGGCCTGTGATGCAGGTGAGAGGACAAGGGAGTGGACGAGGGAGGGCAGGGCCACCTTTCCTGTCCCGCCCTCTCTGCCTTCTCTGGCTCAGTCATCCTAACGCTTTGCAGGCTGGGGAGGGGAAGAAGGCTGGGGCTGACTTGGGAGAGAGTGTGCCACCCTGCCCCCGCACTGCCGACCGGGCCTCATCAGTCAGGGCCCACTCCTGACCTCTCTGTACTGGGCCCCCGTTTGCTAGGCTGAAGTGAGGGACACGGTTTCCTCGCAGAAACAGCCTTCCTGCCTGTGCTATGTCAGGAAAGGTCTGACTCCTTCTGATGGGAACCACAGCGTCAGGCGCCTGTCCCACCAAACTGTTTTTCTCAGAAGGCTGGTGCCGCCTCTGGTCCCTGCCCCTGTTCTGGAGGGGCCCAATCGCGGAAGGCCTTTCCCTCCCCACAGTGGTCCTTAAAAGAGTCTCACCCATTCATGCCTCGCTTGCTGCCATGGCAACCAATTTACCACTTCCTGTTCAGTTCTGGGCATGGCAGGGTTGTTTAAAACCCACCCTCCACCACCTGCAAGGAGGCTGACACTGCAGCGTTCCCAAGGTCAGCCTCTTCTGGCTCTCACCAGGACAGAAGGTGTCTGTCTGCCTGTCCTGGGCTAAAACACCTTGGGTTCACCCATCAAATCACTGAGTTGGGTCATTCTGCCGTGTTGCCAGGGGCCAAGCCACAGAGAGAGTAGAGGGTTCCTCTGCTGAGAGCTGCAGTTACAGCGGCAGCTGGATTGGGACCTGGGCCAGATTTCTGGGGTCCTGGGCCCTTGATTTGGGTGCTCTGAGCTCCAACTGAGGAAGTCTGGGGCAGCTTGCTTTTGGGCAAAGGGGTGTGCACACTGAGCGCCCACTCTGTCCAAGGCACTGTCTCGGAGAGTCACCTCTTTGACCCATGAAGAAGTGGATGCTAGGTGACCTGCTCACGCTGTGCAGTGGCGGGACCCGCCTTTAACCTGGCTTTATTTTGACTCCAGAACTCGAGCTGTCTGTTGTTGTCTGTTGCACAGGAGCTCTGTGTGTTTGTAGACGGCTCTGTTGCAGGAGCGGGGGGGGGGGGGGGCTCCGCTTACAGAGGCAGAAGGCAGGAGAAATCCGCAGCTCTCTCCCTCCCCTTGTCCTCTGAGTCACCCCCTGCCACCCCGTAGTCCTGCTTTGTTTCCCCTGGAGTGCGGGAGGTGAAGGGCGCAGACCGCATCATGTGGTCTGGTGGTCTGGCCTGCCATGAGCGGGTCCTCTGTGTCCCCCATCATATCGGGGGTCCTTGCGGATAGAGCTGTGCTTCCTCCTAGGATCCTGCACCCCTGGACAACAGGGTGGTCCCCACCTCTGTCACTTGGCCTGCACTTGGAGATCGCAGATGGCTTCTTCTTCCTCTCCCCAGACCTGGCTCAGCAAGTCCTGTCTCCCCAGGTCCGCCTGCCCTGAGCGCGTACAGGAGAATCCATCGTCGTGGAGGGCAGACGCTCTCCATGCAGTGCTCCTACAAGAGCCGCAGGAACCAGGTCGAAACCAAAGTTTGGTGCAAGGTCAGGAACAAGAAGTGTGAAGTCAACTTCCGCCGGCCCTGGGTGACACGACCACACTACAGGGTGCAAGATGATGCCCAGGGCAAGGTGATCAGCCTCATCATGGCGGACCTCAGACCGCAGGACTCTGGCCGCTACTGGTGCATGCGCGTCACCGCCGGGAGCCTCTTCCCCATGGAGGGCTTCCTGCTGGAGGTGTCTCCAGGTGAGCCAGCCTGCGGGCCCTGGGATGGCTGTGGGTGTCCTGACCTTGCCAGGGGCACAGGGCTCCTGGGGTGCAGAGGTGAGATTCACATTCAGGATTCCTTCCATTCAACACACATTCACTGAGCCTCTGTGATGCTCCAGGCTCTGTCCTAGGCTCAGGGAACCCAGAGGAACCCAGATTGGCCCCAGTCCCGCCTGGGGGAGATGCCAGGCAATAACACTTCATTCAGGCCAATCTCTGCTGATAACATCAATGTTCCTAAGAGCAGAAAGTGAATAGAATAACTCAGCAGAAGATCTTGGCCTACCAGGGATCAGAGGACATCTCCCTGAGGAAGTGCGAGCCAGCAAAGTCCCAAATGAGGACAGTTCTCTATCCCATTGAAAGCTAGGTACATTCTATAGGGAGCAGGAACAAAGGCCCTGGGGTCAGGAAGAGCAACGTAAGGAAAATCTTCAGCTGATCCATGGTGTATGTGGGGCACTTAGGGCAGCATGGAAATAAATATCAAGATGCTTTGAGCTGGTTGGGCTCAGAACTGTGATTGTGAGGCTTTCTGCCACCCTGATGGTATGGTATGGAATGTGAATTTTATTTCCATAAAGCTATTTTTAAAAATTGAAGGGAGCCAGGCATAGTGATGCATGCATGTCATCCCAGCACTTGGGAGGCTGAAACAGGAGGATTTGTGTGAGTTTAAGGCCAGCCTAGATGAGCTGAAGACCAGCCTGAACTGCATAGTGAAAGCCTGTCTAAAAAAAAAAAAAAAAAAAAAAAAAAAAAAAAAAAAAGAAAAAAGAAAAAAAGAAAAAAAGAAAAGAAATCAAGGGGATGCAAAAACTCTCTTAAGCATAGAAAAAGGTCAGACAAGGACTGAGGACTGAGACACAAGCTTCCCCGTATTTATCGGTTAGGAGAGGCGAGGGAACACATCCGATTCTCACGATGTTTATTACCAGCGCTTCCCCCTCCGCTGACCCACTGCGCTCCACCTGCTGTTGGGTCCCAGTCAGGGAAGACGCTCGCTCTCAAAGGTGAAGTCCAGGTTCAATCCTGCCCTCTCCTGTTCTGGTCTGACCCGGAAGCAGTCAGAACCCAGCTTATCACCGACCCTCGCTCTCATCTTTCTCCCGATGGTGCTGCGTGGAACCTTGATTCCCTCCTCTTAGGGAGAATCGGGGGAGATTCCAACTTCGCAGACCTTTGCAGGTGTTAGGAATTCAGCCCTCAGCCCGGTCACAAATTAATCCCCCTGCAATCTATTGCTTCGTCCCTCCACCTGGCCTTCTGGGTTTTAGGAGCCTCTGGACCGGGGAAGTCGGTGTCGCCTCACTCCTGGGGTCTGTGTGCAGCGGGGGGGGTGGGGGGGGGGGAACGGGACACAGTGTCACAGGGGGTCCTCGGTGCTTTCCTGTCCAACCTTTGTGGAGAAAGCAAGTGCTCTGGCTCTGGCTGGATGTCTGGGTGCTGGCTCCCAAGGCACCAATGCGGGGTGCTTGGAGGGATCTTCGGGGGTTCCCCACTGCTGAATATAACGTTGTTAGTATGACGTCTCTCTCGGCTCACCCATCCTCAGCAGTGCTGCTGGTTCTGGCCCCAGTCGCTCCCCTGTCCAACGTGGCTTGAGCTCAGCTACCCTGTGTAACAGCCGCTGGGCTCTAGAAAAAGGTCCTTTCTGTGCACAGACGGGAGTGGGGGGGTAGTGGCCTCTCTCCAATCGCCTCCATCCCCACTGGGTCTCAGACCACCCCACCCCAGATGGAGTCTTTGCAACTCCTTTAACCCCTCTCTCTGCCACCAACCAGACCCCAGCTTTGGGAAAATAGGGTGCTGCAGAGCTGGGTTGATGGGGTCAGAGCACAGTAAGGCCAGGGGCGTGTTGTGAAGCCCTCCAAGGAAGGCATTTGACCCCAACTGCTTGGCTTTCTCTGGAACATGGAACCCTGGGTGCCTTCCTGTTGTCACGTCCAGGGCGATTGCCACTGGGATGAGTGTCCACTGGCATGCGTGCTGCCCGGGATCCACGTCAGCCAGTAATGGATTCGTGGGACAGAGTTTAAGGAAAGATGCTTTGTTCATAAGGAAGAAAGAGGCAGAGAGCTGCCCAAGGAGGGGCAGAGGTTCTGGGAGGATGGCTTCCTGCAGGTCTCTTGCCCCTGGCATCTTTTATGAGGTGATAGGGACCCTCTCTCCCGGAATTGGCTCGGCCTGACTGGCTGTCTGGGCTGTCTTCCCATGGGTCCCAGGCCACAGGACCCTAACCCGGGCATGGTGCCTTTGTGCGCACTCCTCACTGGGCTTTGCTTGACCTCTTCCTGCCCATCTGTCCCTGTCAGGGCCTTTTCTTGGGAGTTACAGGTCAGGAGGAGAAGTCTGACAGGAGAGAGGCTGAAGGGAATGTGACAGGGTCACCCCGTTCTGCCCTTCTTGGGTCTCCCTACCTGGCACCGGCACTGTACCTGGTCACTCAGGTCTTAGAGAAGCTGGGGCCCAACGCCGAGGAGGGTGGGTGTCAGCGGCGCAGACCCCATGGGGCTGCCTGGCCTGGCCTGGCCCAGTGCGCAGCTGAGTCAGCCTGACCCCCGCCCTCTGGCCCCCCAGGCCCAGTGACTCAGAGGCCCGCCCCTGTCACCCGCCTAACTGACCACAGCCTCAAGCGCAGGACTGTCATCAGCACAGGACGAGCCCCCACTTCAGGCCCTGACACCCCATTCCCCTCTGCTGTGACTGCATTCACACCTGGGTCCCTCCCCTGGGCCAGTCTTCGGCCGTCAACTGCCTTGGGGACCTCCAGGCCAGCCTCTGTGACAGGCTCCAGCCTCCCCAGTGACATCGTCCCCGTGGGACCCTGGCCAGTGACTATGTCTCCCGCTGATACCAGCAGGCACGGAGGCAGCCTGCCCACCTCAGGAACATGCTGTGACCAAGTGCTGTCCACCAGGTACCTGCTGGGGGTATGGGTCTTAGGGCTGGAACAGACCGCAAGGAAGAGCTCTAGCAGCTACACCCCAAACTCCTGCGACCTCCCCTTGACCCTTCTCTGATCGTCCCTTGACCTCTTCCTGCTTGCTTGTCTCTGTCAGGGCCTTTGACCCTTGTCCCTTGACCTTGTGACCTGTCTCTGGCCTTTCACTGACCTCCCCCTGACCTCTCCTGCCACCTCACTGGGGCCAAGGGGAGAGGGGTTGGAAGTGGGAAGTGGGGACCCTGTCACTGCTGCCTCCCCTGGCTCCCTAGAAAGAGGGTATGGGGATGTGGGCAGGGCAGGAGCCGTTCACCCCAGTGGGCACCCGAGTCCCTGAGGGGCCAGGGTGCTAGGAAAGTCATGCCAAGCCCTATGTGCCATCAGGAGAGAGCTGCCTGCCACAGATGGGTCGGAGGGTCCCCCCACCCAATTTCATAAGCAGATGTGCACGCATGTGTGTGTACTTGTGTGGGTGTCCTGTCCATCTGTCTGTCGCAGGATCGGCTTGGGTGCCCCACGCACTGTGTAAGACCGGGGTGTCTGTGGGACCCGCAGCATCCACTGCAGAGGACAAAGCTGGTCGGCGATGTCCCTAGGCACCGATGAGACCGGAATCTCTTTGGTCTCAGTGGGGTCTTTAGGGTCCTTGTCCTGCAGGTGGGTGGGTCCGGGGCACCTGGAACAGGGTCCCCGGTGCTCACCTCTGTCCTGCCCCAGGCTGCAGGAGCCCCACCTCACCGCACTGGTCGTGCTGCTGACCCTGCTCCCCGCGCCTGTCATGCTGGCCGTGGTCTACAAGTTCTGGAAGAAGAAATACCGGGGAAGTGAGTAGGGCCACCTGCCCTTGGGTAGCTGTGCCAGGACGGGGTCGCCGGGACGGGGAGGTGTCGCTGGGCTTGTGTCCAGCAGAGAACTTCAAGGTGTGGGAGGAGGTGGCCAGGGAGGGTAACCTGGGGGGACTGAGGCAGAGCCAGCGAGGGGCAGGGCACTGGGCATAGTATACCAGGCATGACCTTCCTTTGTCTCTCCTGCTCCCTCGTAGGCTACAGCCTGGGCAGCGGTTCTGCCCGAGCCTGGGCACCCTCGGTGAGAAAACGAGCCCCTGTGAGAGCCCGCTTCATCTGAGACCACTTAACAATGCTGGGAAGCTTCTCTGGGGACTCAGGGAGGCCTGAGCACCAGGACTGGTGGGAGAGGAGGGTACAGTCCCAAGGGCAGCCAATGCCCCGAGGGCGCCATCCTGAGTTGGACAGCGAAGTGACCGAGTGCTGAGGCCACAGAGGCTGGTGGCAGGGAGCCCAAGCGATCCAAGCCTGTTCTGTCCTGACATGTGTCCTCTGACAGGGCCCCTGGATACCGCCTACCTGGCTCACTGGCAGGTAGCTTCATGCTGGAAGCCTGCAGAGCCCCTGCTCCCTGCAACTGCCTCCCCCGCCCTGCCCCTGGGGTGGCTGAAACTTGGGGCTCTGAGCCCCAGTGTCCCCGTGTCCTGGTGCCAGGTCTGAGCTCCCCAGGGCAATGACCAGGTCCCTTGTTTGGCCTGGACTCTGGTGGGGAGGCTAAGCTTGGCTCAGAGAAAGATTGGGTTGCTGTGTACCCCAGCCCTTCGCTGTCCCCCGGGGGAGAAGACCCACTTGGGACACAGTGAGGACAAATTGAGCTGACGCAGCCTGGAGGAGGAGCTGGGCCCTGGACTCTGCCACCTGCCTGCCCCCTCTGGCTCAGGCTCGACCTCTACGATCCAGACTGCCAGCCGGAGTCCAGCTGTCAAGGCTGCAGGGTGTTGGCCAGATTCCTCCCCGAGAGGGGCAGCCTTCATCCTGCAATGCCTGGGGTAGCCCCTGGGGACAGTTCAACATCTCTGCTGCCAGCCCTCAGGAGGATGACTCAGTAGAGGTCTCATTGGACAGCTGACGTGGACCCTCTGGATGAGTTAGGCAGCAAACTTGGGGGCCAGCAAGAAGGGCGACCCTCTTCCCCAGGTCCAGGAGAGAGTAGTCAAGGGAAGACTGCTGCACCCCCAAACCCCGGTTCCAGGACAGACAGACACACAGACACACGGATGTTCATTCCTGGCCAGCAAGTGCCGAGCTGAGAGCGGCTGCTGCAGTATCACTAGGAGAGCCTGCCTCGTGGGGCACCAGCTCCACTGTGACTCTGCACAGCAACCTTGGTGGCCCGGATGGCCCCGTCTCATGGACAGCCAGATGCCCGGTGGGAAGAGCAGTGGAGGAATCAGGGACTGGGACTCGTGATGCCATGAGGAAGTCACTACCCTAGCTGGGCCTCATCTTTCCTCTCTTGCGCAAGGGGCTCACAATTCCTACCTCTCAGACTGTGTCCAGGAGGCAATGAAAAGGCGCAAGCACGGTGACGTGTCAGGGCCCTGTCCTTACTGTCCCCTGACTGCCCTGCCACGTGGCACTTCTCCCCTTCAGCATCTGAGACCCGAGGACCCTGTTCTGGGTCCTTCCTCCCCCTCCTCACTACATGGACACTGGGGTCCCTTTGGTGAGGGACCCTTGGGAGGGGATAGGGCGGAGGGGTGGCTGATAGTGCTAAAATAGAGGCCTGGGTTCAAAGCCTGGCACAGCCCCTGTCTCGGTGACCGTCACTGTCCTCTCTGATCCTGTTTACTCACCTGGAGGATGGAGATGAGCTTGAGGACGGGGACACTGAGTATTGGACCCAGGACCTTCACTTTGTGTTTCATCATCAGCTCCCCAAAATATTTCCTAATTTTGACACAGGGTCTCTCTAAGTTGCTAAGCTGCCCAGGCTGGGCTCAAACTTGGAGTCCTCCTGCCTCGGCCTCTCAGTGCTGATATGACAGGCCTGTGCCATCGTAGCTGGCTGAGATGAGCTTTGCAGCCCCTTAGTGTCACTTCTGAGATCAAGGGTGTGTGCCTTGGGGGAAACCAGGGTGTCAGGAGGAGGGCACCCAGCCTAGCTATGGAGGGGCCAGGGCTCTGGGGCGAGCAGACCTGGCATGGGTACAGCCTGTGCCTGGCCCGAGGCGAGGCCACAGCCTGAGAGACAGGAAGGCATCAGGTCCTCTAGAGGGAGCACCGGGGATCCCGCAGGCTTGGCTGGGCTTCACATGTGTGGGTGCAGGGGCCGTGCAGGCCACCACATCAGGGAGCCCTGGAAGGGGACAACGGTGCCAGCTGCAGCTGGAGGAGCCGTGGGTGCCGAGCCCGTCTGCCACTGGCCATGGGCCTGGGCTCCTTCCTGTCCTTCCTGTCCTCACCGTCTTCCTGGCTCAGAGGACCCAGCTGCCTCGGGGCCAGGTGGGCAGGGTGACAGACAGGCGGGGGACTAGGCTCCTCTCAATGGGAGTCAGGGGTGCTTCCGGGTCCCAGGCAGCCACAGTGACCCTAACACCCACAAGCTGGGGATGCTGCCAGCAGATGTGGGGTCCACAGTCACCGTGGACTCCTCCTTCAGGACGGATGCCTCCTGCCTGGTGCTGGGCAGGGTCAGAAGCCCCGCTGCTGGACCCCAGGATTTGCCCCACGAAGTGGGGTCTCCACCTCGGCCAGTCCCAGAGGCCTCACCCAAAGGCCTGGGCCCCCCGCACCTGTGCTGTGGCCCCTTCTCCTGCCCTGGCCTTCTCTCCCTGCATCATACAGTCTGGGCCCTGCAGCCCCATCTGCACACTCACGGCTCCTTTTTTATTTTATATTTGGAGATGGAATTGTGCTAACTCACTAATTTTCCCAGACTGGACCCGAACTTGTGATCCTCCTGCCTGAGCCTCCCAGAGTGCTGGCATTATTGGTGCATGCCACCACGCCCAGTGACTGAATTCCTCCTTACAGGTCTTTCCTGTTTGTGGTTCATCTGTCCATATGAACAGCCTGGATCACTGAGTCTTCATGGCTCACCTCATTATTTATTTGTTTGTTTGCTTTTGGTCTTTTTGAGACAGGGCCTCACTGTGCAGTTCTTGCTATGCTGGCCCTGAACTCACTTTGTAGCCCAGGCTGGCCTCGAACACACAGCGATCCTCCTGCCTCAGCCTCCTGAGTGCTGGGATACCCCATTACTTTAAACAAGTGCTTACTTAGTGCTGCCTTTCCGTGGATGCTTCCAGAGGGAGCCTGGTGGGGTGTGGGATGATGGGGGCAGGCAAGGCTCCCCTTCTCCTCCCCTCTGTTGTCCCTCCCTCTGTTCCTGTCCTCTCCTCCCCTTTAGTCCCTAGGGGACAGTTCTGGGCACCAGGCCCCTGACCCATTAGGATCGTGGTCAGAGCTCCCAAGTCCCCTAGCTCTGTCACGCATGCATACGTTGGGGTGAAAAAGGAGGAAGTTGAGTAAGTGGTGGCCAGAGACGTAGGAGAACTAGGTTTCGTCAGGGTTTCCCCCAGTTTCTCAGCTTCTTTGTCACACCCCGAGGGGAGGGAAGAGGCTGGGCTGAGGGGAGCCCAGAGTCCTGGGCGAGGCCTCCGCAGACTCCGTTCTCCCTGGACTTTCTGCCGGGCTGTGGGAGCCTCTGCTGTGGGCAACATGTCCCGAAGGCCTGGGGTCACCGGGCTGCATCCCGTGTAGCTCCTGTCCCTCTCCTTGGGGCTCCCCTGCCCCACCACCTAGGAAGAGGACCCATGGCCTGGGAGGCCACATACCTGCTGTCCCCCACGCTGCTGGTGCTCCTGGCTTTCGGTAAGCGGCAGGGACGAGGGTGGGCAGAGGAGGTGAGCGGAGGGGACAGCGAGTGCAGGTGCCAGAGTCAGTGGAGTGGGGCCCACGCGTGGCTCTGGGGTACATCCTGAGCGTCACCACAGTGACAGTTACTCCCCAAGGAGGGCGGCCCCGCCACCCAGCCTTGCATAAAAGTTGGGGCTCCCTGACCTGCGCATGTATTCACAGGCTCCTGGGCCCAGAACCCCGAGATTCTGAAACTGCAGGAGGGTGAGACACTCTCTATGATCTGTGATTACAAGGCATACCCAAGCATATGGCCGAAAGCCTGGGCTCGGAAAACGTCCGCAAATGCTTTTACCATATTAGTGACCAGTGACATGGCTATGGACCCACGCTGCTCCATCAGGGATTTCCCCAGGTTTCACAGCTTCAAGGTCACCATGTCAGGACTCACCACGTGGGACTCGGGAGAGTACTGGTGTGGATTCTATGAGCACCCATATGTCTACCTGCTCAAAACTGTGTACCTGGAGGTGGCTAAAGGTGAGTCATCACAGCAGGTGGCAGAGCTGGGGGAGATCCTAGGAATCCTTCCGTCTACCCCTCTCCTGGCTGAAGGCCAAGGCCCGAGGTCACCTGCTGGTCCCCAGTCCAGTCTTCCACATCGCAGGTGCCTCCTGCGTTCACTCAGGAAACTCTTAGAGCTTCCCCATGCTTTAGCGCGGCTGGTGTGAGGTCCATTCCTGGACATCCTACTCCGACCCTAAACCCAGCTTCCCTCAAAGGACTGCGAGCCCACTGCACAGATGGGGGACCACAGGGCAACTGTGGGTGGGTTGGGGGAGAAAAGTGGACAGATAGGGTCAGCTGGACAGTGAGGCAGAACTGAGACTTAGGGAGTGAGACTGGGGTTGGGGTGAGCGTGGGGGACACCTCTCTAACAATCGAGAGCCTTTAACTTTGGAATGGGAAGTTTGGGGTCCCTCCAACCTGGAGGCCCCTGTGTATTCCTTCCGAGAGCTACAGAGGTGCCAGGTTCCCTGCATTTACTTGAAGCACACCCCCCCAGACCCTCCCCGGTGCCGAGCCTGCCTGGCTGTTTGGGCTTACGGTGCCTGAAGCTCATTCTTTGCCCAAGCTTGGGCTCAGTGACCTGTCCACAGTGCCCTTCGGGGCAGGCCTGGGCTCCTGTTACCCTGATGTGTGGACGCAGATAGGCACCCTCTTACTGTCGTCTCTTACAGCTCCAACCCCACCCACCACCAGGCACACTCAGAGGACCATGATGGTCACAGCCCCAGCCTCTGCCACCAGCCCTGCTGTTGCCAGGTACCCTCTTACCTGGGGTACCTGTGGGTGGGTGGGGGGACCCTTGTGCTACTTTTGGCTTTGACTTTCTCATCTGCCAGAGGGGAGCAGTTGCCTTCCCTTCTTACATCAAAGTTGGTCACTCTTGGCCCTGTGGGCCTCTGGAGGCAGCTGATTTCTGTCCCAGGGTACTGTTCTGCCTTGTCGGGTGCTGGGTACAGTGGTTGACCTTTACTCATTGGATGCCAGGAGCACAAATATTCCTCTGCCAGAAGTGGCTCCGAAATGCTTCTAGACTTTGCCAGATGGGCTTTGGAGGATGTGGTCACCCTATCTTTTGAGCCCTATCTTCCTAGTTGCTGTGAAGATCAAGAGTGGATTTGGGTGACCCAGCCCAGGGCAGGCACAAGGCCACACCGCAGTGGTCCTGGGGGAAGCGCATGGCCTGTGGTCACTAAACCCACAGCCTGACCCGGATTTCTCCAGGCCCTCCGCCATTGTCTGGCCATTTCTCTACCCACCATGCCCACACACCTGGGGCCCTGGGCTCCTGTGAACCATTGCTTGTCAAGATATAAAGCCACAACCCCAGGCATGGTGGGAGGTGCCTGTAACCCCAGCTTTCAGGAAGCTGAGGCAGGAGGATCAACAGGCTACATAGAGAGTTCAAGGCCAGCCTGGATTACATAGCAAGACCGTGCCTCAAAAAAACAAACCAAACCAAACCAAAATAATAATAATAATAATAATAAAGAATGCCAGTAACCTGGTAGTAGTGATCCACTGAGCTGAGAAATATTGTGTTCCGGAACCATCTCTCTTCCCTTCTGGGCCTGACATTTTCCACTAGGGTCTTTGAGGACAGAAGAGTGTCTACCTTTGTATCTTTCCTATGATTTGAGACATTATTTTCTTTGCAGGGCTGGGGATGGAACTCAAGGCCTGAGCACTGAGCCACATAACAGACCTTAAAATTTTTTTAATTAAGTTGCCTAGTCTTGGCTCTGTCCTCTGCCCTTAGCCTCCCAGCGTGCTGGACTGAAGGTGTGCGCCACCATGCCCAGCCCTAGGCAGGCCCTCTCAAAGCATATCCTGAAGGCTGACCACAGAGGTCACAGAGAAGGGCTGGGGAGGGGCCTCTGGTTGAGGGGCGGAGGCCCAGAGGGTGCACAGTGTTCTTCAGGGCAGAAAGAAAGCTAGGACTACTCTCAGGAGGCAGAAGGGACAGGTGGCTACCACCTGCTGGGGACCCAGGAGAGACAGGAAGCCAGGAAGCCTGCGGTGACCACGGGCAGTGAGGCCGGGCTCTGAGGTCCCCCACCCCTCTACTCCTTTGCCTAAGTCCTCCAGGTGACTGGAAGTGGAAGGCGATCGTGGTGGCCGTGGTGGTGGCTGTCCTGCTGCTTCTGAGCCTCAGCGTGCTCACGATCCTGTATCTCGGGAGAGCCCGAGGAAGAGGAGCCAGGGAAGGTGAGCGTGTGCTGCCACAGATGCTTGGTCACAGAGCCAAGGTTTGTCATGCTCATTTACCAGTGAGTACCCGGAGGCCACAGAGGGGACATGTCCAGGTGGCCACAGTCCCCAGTAGAGGCTCCAGAGCAGCTTGCTGGAAGCCAGCTAGCTACCTCCACGCCCACTTGACCACAACCGGGTATGCCTGGTGCCTCTGGGTCACAGACTTCAAAGCCATCTTTGCGGTTAAGGACTTTTTTTTTTTTTTTGGTCTTTTTGAGACAGAGTCTCGCTATGCAGTTCAGGCTGGCCTTGAGCTCACTTTGTAGCCCAGGCTGGTCTCGAACTTGCAATGATCCTCCTGCCTCAGCCTTCTGAGTAGTGGGATTACAGGCATGCGCCCCACCCCCAGGGTTGATTAAGAACTTTTGAATCAGTTTGTGTAAAGATCTTTCTGGTTAACAGTGTTTTTTGTTTTTTTTTTTTTTTTGTACTGGAAATTGAACTCGGGACCTCGTGCTTGCCAGGCAGATGCTGTGCTGTTGAAGCTGTATGGTGAATGGCATTGCAAGCATGTTATCATTGTAAATTTTGTCTTCCTCGGTGAGGAGGAAAGAAAGAGGAGATGTAGGTGGAAGGCTACAGAGTAGCAAATGTGTAGGATGAATAAATCAACCGAAAGCTCTGCGGACGCCCTGTCCCTCACCTTGGCTCTTCCTTCCAGGTGAGAAGACAGACTCCCTCCACATCTATGACGACCTTCGGAAAGAGAACACTGTGAGTAGTGACATCGGCTCCGGGACAGGGGACTGCAGCGTCCCTGCGTCACCATCCTGTTTTGGTTCCCCAGCCTGCACTCTATTTACCCTAAACCTTGACACACACTTGTGACCGCTCACGGCCTCCCCACGTGGTTCCTCTCCTTGATTTCCCAACGCTGGCCCGAGAGAGAAGTTGGCTAATCACTCGGCCCACAGCACAGTCGCTAGGGTGCCCTCTTGGTGGGGACTCAGCAGTTGCCCTGGGCTGGGTCTGTCCCGCCTCAGGTCCTGAGTCCCTTTGAGTCATAGATCTTGGAACTGCAAGAACCTCAGTGTCCTGGGTATGACCCCCGGCGTCAGGCCGGCCTCCATCCTATGATGCACCCCAACTTAGCTCAGTGCCCCTACCACTCGGGTGTGCTCTGAATTCACTCGGAGAGCATGATCAACAGGGCTCCCGGAGGCCACTCCAGGTTCTGGACTTCAACAGCTCTGAGCTGGCTCTGGTTCTGGATTTGTAGCAAGCTCCAGAGCGCTGCTATTGCTGGCTTCCTGGCCTCCTTAGACACATTCCTTGGGGTGACAGCAGTTTTTCCCAGACCCCCATTCCCAGAGGTGTCCGAGGCCAACACCCTGTCCAGTGTCCCAAGGGCTGCTGACCATTGCAGCCATGACTCATACAGTGGACTTTTATCTGCCTGCTTTGGTTCCCAGGACTTTAATCAGCCAGCTGCCTCTGACCAGGACGCAGAGACCATCCACTATGCCTCCCTCACCCACCTAAATCACTCTGGCACCAAGGACCCCATTGACTCCGACAGCCACATGGCTGACCGACTCCTGTCCGTGGAATATGCCAGCATCACTCGACAAAGGCCCCAGCTCTCCATGTCCCCTGTCCTTGATGGGGAGCCCAGGAACTGAGGGCAGCAGGTGCTGCTCAGGTGCTCCCTGGGTGCAGAGCCACTCTGTCTGCAAAGAGGTGACTTCATGCAGTGGACACAGCCAGGCCGGCCAGGCCTTCGTCCTCCTGCAGGAGGGAGGAAGGAGCAGGGAAGGAGCGCTCTGGGCACAGGGGAGGTGTTGGCCCTGCTCAGCCCCCCAGGCCTGGGGAGGTGCCCCCAGGACAGAGCCCAACAGGACAAGGGCCTCTCATTCTTCCCAGTCTCGTGGCTGTCACCTGTCATTTCCCTCCTGGTGGGCTGTGCAAGTCCCTCTGTGGCTGCCTCTGGGGCCCCACCCCAGCTCCTCTCTCACTGGCCTCCTGGTGCTGAAACCACCCCCTCTCTCCGTCATGGATTCCCATGACTGCGGGGAAGAAGGTTGGGTGGAGGCTGCCTGCTGCTTGGAAGCCTCCCAGAGCTCCGGCCTCTGCCAGGCAGAGTGGGCAGGGAGCTGTCCTGCCAGTGTCTGTGAACACAGCTCCCTCAGCCGAGGCTTGTCAGTGTCCCGCAGCGTGGGCTCAGGGACACCTCCTGCCCAGTCCAAGGCCCCACTGGAGCCGGGGTCCACTTCCCAGAAGTGACAGAACTCAACTCAGGGACTCCAGGCCAAGTGGGCAGGGCCGTGGGAAGGCAGGGAAGCTCCTGTCGCCCCGACTGACGTCTTTGCTGCCACCACCTGTCTTCCAGGGTCTCCACATGGGGCTGAGTTTCTGTCCCCATCCTCGGGATCCAGGAAACACAGGCTGTACCTGCATGCAGGCCGGCATTTGGGTTCGGGGGATAGGCATGGGAGGGAGTAGGGTGCCCTGAATGTCACGCTGGCTCCTGGAGTTTCTGCCCTGTGCTGCCCGACATCGCTTTCTCCTGGAATCCAGAGTTGAGCGTTAGAGGCCGGCACCTCTGTACCTGACCTCCCCCGGCCCTGCCGCAGCCTTGCTCTGAGGAGGTCCCTAGCGCTGACCTGCAGCCGTGAGAGCTCTCTGGTCCTTTATGACTCTCCACCACCTGTGCCCTCGCCCACCTGCCTGTGGGGTTCCTGTCTTCATCTTTACTGGGTGCCCTTAATCTGGGTCTCCTGCAGTGCCAGGGGCCAAGTGAGGGGGTCAAAACCCAAAGGATTTTCTCCATCTGCTCCTGGAGCTGACTGATCTGTATTCATGAACAAGGATTTAAGGCAGCCGGGTGCCTGGCCAGGGCTGAGGCTACTGAGCTTAAGTCTACTAAGCTACCAGGATGGAGCGATAGAGCCCACCAGACAGACATAGCTGGAATGCGCTTGTAAGTGAGGTACTCTCACCACTGTACAGATGGAGAAACTGAGGCAAGAAAGATTAAGTAATTTCTCAAGGTTACACAGCTAATAAATGGTGGATCCTAGGCCCACTGTGCATCCTGGGATGGAGGCAGGCAGAGGCGAGAAACAGCCCTGGGTACCTGTGATATGTGACAGAGCACGGTTTGGAGCTCGGAATGGTTAATGCGGTGGGCACAGCTGTCTGTCCACAGGTGGAACAGCACAGTTCCCATCTTATGCCTTACACACACGAATCCCAGGTGTGTTATAAACCTAAATGTGTGCGAGCAGCCAAACAATAAAACGCTTAGACAAAAATGTCAAGGTCCTTATGACTTCAGGACACAGAAGGACTTCAGAGGCCAGAAGAGCAAACTATAAAGGTAAACAATGTAACAGTCTTGACTGTGTGAAAGTGAAAATCTTTGGTACGAAAGAAGACACCAGGAATCATGGGAAAAAATGAGAAGGGCCAGAAGTGTGCAAAGCGTGCAAATGATACAGGATTTGAGTTTGGGAGTTATACGAGCTCATTCACATCAGTAAAAAGGACACACCAGTTCCAGTTTGTGTACAGGTAAAAACAGACAAGGGTCAAGAGATTTTGAAATAAAAACTCTTGATATAAACTCCCAGTCCTTAGGAAAGCCTGTCCAGGGCCAGATGCCTGCCTGTCTTCTCCCCTGTCCCCGATGCTGCATCTTCTGTGGAGATCCCTTCCCTCTGCACCCCTGCTGGATTTCTCCAGGCCCCTTGCTCTGCCCACAACGACATCCTGCGTCTATGGTTTTGCAGGCTGGGCTTTGTGGTATGCCTGCCTTTGGAGGGATTTCAGTCTAGAAAATTCTATTTGACACCAAGAAAAAGCCATCAAAAATTCCTGAAGACTTTATCCTGTCTTTGAGGAAAATACACACATTTGTATTTTTCAAGTCCATATTTATCTTGCTGTCAATGTCCTATCTCCCAATCAAACCCTTAGCCCAGTTTTTCCTGGGTCTTGATCTTTTTCCTTCTCACTGGGAGATCTGTGGTGTCTCTGCCACAGGAGATGCATATCCTCAGCCAGAAACTTGGGAATCAACAAGCTGGGACTTGGGGGTGAAAGTCCCTCTGGTCCCTGGTATTTTAGCTCTGGTGTGTTTGGGTTTGAGATCTTTGAGGCTGTGGTGATGGTATGAAAGTCTGGGGCAGGACATTGATTAAAAGTGAAGTCTACTACAAGACAGGGACCTTGGACCGTAAAAGAGTTGAATCGGGAGTTAAACTGAATAAGCTTAGTAAATCTTTTGCAGTATCCAGATTGACTTCCCAACACTCGAGGAAACATCGTCAAATATTAGTGTCCTGTGAAAAAATCCATGCTGGTAATGTATTTTCCCCAAGTATTTTAGTAAGAATAAGTATGACATTTAAAAAAAATTTGCAAGAGCCAACTCTTACCATCCGTGGATAGGAGCTGATTAAATAAATTACGCTTTACCACACATTCTATATCAGAAAGAATAAAGTAAAAACATGTTTGTTGAGAGGGAAAGAGATCCCAGATACATTAAGTGAAACAAGCGGCATATTTAGCACGAGCTCCTTTCTGTGTGTAACCACGGGGGGGGGGGGACGTGTGAGCAAACACCAAAACATGAATAGGGATTATCTTTGGGGAATTAGAATCAGAGGAGTGGAGGAATCGTCTATTATTACTAATATCGTTGAAATCCACATTGGAAGCCAGCCCACCTAAGTCTAAACCCAAGTTCCAACTTTTCCTGGCTGCATGATTCTAGACAAGCTATTGGATTTCTCTGAACCTCAGTTACCTGAAACATTTACTTAGCTGCCGTAGGCAACAATGTAATACATTGCGATTAGCGTAGCCACGCACGCAACTGTAACACACAGCGCGATACTGTTATTCAGCACAACAGTGTACAACCATGTTCTAACGATGAAGGATTTAGAGCAATGGCAAGCTTTTTTGTCTTTGTCACGTAAAGTCATACATATGGTGTTGGGGGTGGAGGGGAAAGGTCTAAAAGGGAAGAAAGTGTGAGGAAGTGTACAGGCGCCACCGCCACACAGGGAGCGTGAACATTACGGATTGCACACTTGCACTAATAGAAAAGAAGACAAGATTTAAAAACCGTGCCAACACGCTTTATGTGGTTAGCACAAAAGACACTCTGTCCCCGAGTGTGACATTGAGAGAGAAATCACCTATGGGTCGAAGATGTGATGTTATCTGCACAAAAGTGTGCGCCATGCATCTACCGATGCCGCTGGAGTCGGTCACATACGTTGTCAGGGCCCTTATGCTTAGAGTCACAACTTCTTTTTTTTCTTTTTTCTTTTTTTTCTTTCTTTTTCTTTTCTTTTCTTTCTTTCTTTCTTTTCTTTTCTTTTCTTTTCTTTTTTTTTTTTTTTTTTGGTCTTTTTCGTTTTTATCGGTACCAGGGATCAAACTCACGACTGCCTGCTTGCAAGGCAGGCGCTTATGCCGCTGAGCTAAGTCCCCAGCCCCTAGACTCACAATTTCGATGTGAAGTTTTTTTAAATTCTAATTTTCTAAATTGCTATTTTAAAAGTTCTGCTTAAAGTCTCTGAAGAATCAGTTCATTTTACAGCAACTGATGTCTTAAGAGATATTTTTGCCTTTTTTAAAAAAAATCTGGGCTCAAATGATAACTGCAGAGATCCCGCTGACATCCCCCCCAAATACAGTTTTGAAAGGTTTCCCAGGTGAGAGAGGCGGAAATGCTTTTGACTCTGAGTACGCATGCGCTGAGGATAGTGTCCGGCTAGCGACCGAGCTCAGAGCGACCCTGGGAAACAGCGCCACCTTCTGGGCGGTTCGCCATGCACGCTGCAGGAATTCTCTAAGCAGCGTCCTTCGTGTAGACTTTGTGCTCCGGCCGACGTCAGGGCGCGGAGGGAGGAGGGAAAGGAGATCGTCCTTTTGTTACTCTCCCCTCAGTGCTGTGCCGACCCCGAGCAGAGTTTCCTCCTGGCCGGATCCAGCGGTGAGTCAGTGGAAGACTGGGTCCGGGAGTGCGTGGAGGGGTGGGCGCAGACATGGAGGGTAACCAGTACCGTGGTCAAGAACGTAAAAGGCGGTGTAGCCTAGTGCTGGCGCCGGTCATCCCAGCTACTTAGGAGGCTGAGGCAGGAGGATCGAAATTTCCAGTCTTGCTTTGGCAGCATAACAGTGTCTCAAAATAAAATTCTAAAAAAAATAAAAAAGGATAGGGATGTAGTTCAGTGGCCTAGAACTCATCTCGCATGTGCAAGGCCCTGAGTTCAATGCCCAGCATCCAGGGGAAAAAAAAGAGGAAGAGAAAGAAGAGAAGGAGGAGGAGGAGGAAAAAGAGGAGGAGGAGAAGGAGGAGGAGGAGGAGGAGGAGGAGGAGGAGAAGAAGGAGGAGGAGGAGGAGGAGGAGGAGGAGGATGTTAGAGACAGCAGAAAAATTGAGAATGTTAAGACCTGGGAGGAGGAGGCCATTTGTGACTTTTTCTGGTGCAGATGTACAGAAGGAGCTGCGGATCATGAATAAGAGGCCAAGGTAGGGAAATGTTTCCTATTTTTGCACTCAGTACTCACAACAGAATAATTCTTGGTTCCCAAGCTGCGCCTTCATGCACCGCCCCCATCCAGCAGTCCCCCACCAGGCCTCAGCTGTGTGTCCTGCAGTACAACTCGGTCCATATGAAAACTGCCTGGAGGTAAGGTCAGACCCCAGGGCTGAGGGTCAGGCCCACAGAGCTGCCCCTGCTAGTCCAGGGTCCCCTCTGTGCTTTGGATCAGCAAGCTACAGGTCAGGAGTTCTCAAGATCCCTCTAGGGGGTTGGTCTTTCTTTCTTTCTTTCTTTCTTTCTTTCTTTCTTTCTTTCTTTCTTTCTTTCTTTTTTCTTTCTTTCTTTCTTTCTTTCTTTCTTTCTTTCTTTCTTTCTTTCTACCAGAAACCAAACTCAGGACCTCATCCCTGGCCCCTGTTGACTGGTTTTCTACAGAGAAGCTCAAAGAACTCAGGGAAACACTTTACCTACACTTATTATAAAGATACTGCGAAGGACACAGATGGACAGCCTGTTGGAAGAGGTGAGAGGGCAAGAAGACATCTGTGCCTTCCTGGCACTCAGCCTGCTGCAACCCACCCTCATCCTGCCCACCTGGGCTGTTGTGGAGTCTTCATGGTGTAAAGAGAATAGATTGCAGCGCTGGCCATTGCTGGGCGACTCAATCTCCAGTCCCTCTCTCTACATCCCGGAGTCGGGGCAGAGCTAACGTGGGGTTGCTTTCCCTGGCAACCGGTCCCCTTCCTGAGGCTGTCAGCTGACCAATGGGAAACAGCTTAGAATAAGAGGTTTCCATTACCCAAAAACGTCTGAAGGATTTTGGAGCTCTGTGTCAGATGCTCCCTTCATTTAGAAAATTACAAAGATCTTAGGTGCTCTGAGGCAGGAGCTGGAAGTTAAAGGGCACTTATTAGAACTGAAGATTCTCCAAGCTCCCCACCTGCAAGGGGATTAGAACCTCTGTCTCAGGAATCTGGGATAGAGACCTAATGTATATTTATTACATCACATTATCACCAAAATCACTCCCTCAAAACCAAAAGAGAGAAAGAAATACGTGAACCCAATTATGCATCAAGCTGCTGGCCTTACACAGGGAAGAGCTGTGTGTAGTAATTTAACTATGCAGAGGTGTGGTGACACCTCTGTAATCCTGTAATCTGTAATCCCAGCATTTGGGGGCTGAGGCAGGAGGATCGCTGCAAGTTCAAAGCCAGGCTGTGCTACAAGGCCAGCCTGAACTGCATTGTAACACTTGGTCTCTAAAAGGCAAGAATAAATAAATAAGCTTTAACTATGCAGGGCTGGGGTTTAGCTCAGTGGCTTAAGCGCCTGCTTGGCAAATGTGAGGTTGTGAGTTCAATGCCCGATACCAAAGCGAAACAAAAACCCCAAACTTTAACTATGCATTTCTAATAGGATAAGCACTAATAATAAAAGTGTTAATAAAGATTTAACATTTTACTGTAAATGTGTTGTGGGTTAGAGCACTGGCCTTATTGTTCTGTGACTCCTGAATCTAATATGAGATAAAACAAAAGAATAATTAGGTGATACTCTAATTTTATTATTTTGAGGTAGAATTCTAAGTTTCGGATGATGCAAGATAAAAGACATTTAGCTGGGTGTGGTGGGGCTCACCTGAAATCCCAGCACTTGGAAGGCTGAGGCAAGAGGATCATTTCAAGTTCAAGACCAGCCTGGGCTACAAAGACAGTGCAAGACCAGCCTGAACTGCAAAGTGAGACCTTGACTAAAAAGAAATGGAAAGAAAAAAGATGTTGAACAACAGCTTACTAGCTTAATTTATAGTCCTGGAACTATCAGGATAAACTCTTTCAGACTTATTGTTCATAGTTTATTCTGCTGTCTACTAAGAACACCCAGATCCAATGGCAGCCAGCACCAGTGAGCACCCGTGAGGCCAGAGTGTAGTCTTGAAATGCCAACTTTTTCTAAAAAGGAACCAGGAATTCTTGGAAAAAAAAAAAAAAAACCAATGACCCAGGTCTAGCAAGAAATGCACATGCCCTAGCTGCACCCTCTTGTCATACCAGATGGAAGCCACCACGGACTGAGACGTGTCAAGTCTGTTTCAATCCATTTATTCACAAACTATATCAAACGTTAAAATCTAAGCAGTCACACTTGAAGAGTGCCACTGGGCTCACATAAAGGACCCCAAGCCCTACATCAGGTATCTCCCTCCTGCTGGAAGAATAAACCACCAGGTATAAAATATTCACACACACATCAAAAAAAAAAAAAAAAACTACAAATTTTTTGTACCTAAGCATCAATTTATAGAAAATGCAGAGGACAGGGGAAAAAGTTAAGCAAGACTGTGGGGATGAATCATCCAGCTGCACACTGTAAGCAATTCTACAGGACAAACAATCCGCTTTCTTTAAGAAATAAATCGTCAGGGCAGAAAAAGGTGGGGGAGGGGAGGGGGGGGGTTCTTGAAGGCTAAAACCAACATGTGTATCAGCCAGCGGCGTGTGCAGATTTACTCAGATCCGGTTCTTTTTAACTCATAACACACATACAACATTGTTGAAACTATTGGCAATTCTTGAAGTTTTATTTTACTTTTTTTTTTTTTTTAAAGAATTTAGCAGAAATAGTTACAGGTGCGATGATAGGGTGGCTGGGACTTGCTTCCAAATGCTGTCTGAGCCAGGAAGGAGACAGATCAGGGTGGCTGCAAGTCGATACAATGTATCGGGGGCCACCGATACTGTTGCCGGTGGGTGAGTTTCCATACCTTCAGTCTGCTTGGCTTCTTTTTGAAATTCTGCATAGTATAAAATAGAAAACAATTTAAAGAAGTGAAGGGTGGGAGGGGTGGGGGCAGGCTTGGGGGAGCCGGGCGGCCTGGGCAGTGCCTGAAGGGGAAGTGGAGGCTGCCAGACGGAGGAGGCCAGGTCCCTGCAAAGGGAGCTGAGGCTTGGGTGTGGTGGGCAGCGGGGAGACACCAGAAGGGGGGACGTGGGGAGAAAACTGGGGACCATCAGGGCAGCAGGAGGGGTCGTGCAAGGTGAGGAAAGTGGTCGGGGTGGAGGTGGCTGGGAGGAAGAGGGAGACAGTGTAGAGAGAAATACAAAGAAAGAAAACAGAGTCACTGTTTTATTCTTTAAATAAACCAGACAGCGGACCCGGCCTCAGAGAGCTAAGAAACTCGCCCATACACAGTGCGATCAAAAAGTACAGGAATGAGCGTTTAAGTTAAAAAAATGTAATAAATGTCACTGCTCTTTGCTGAGTGTCTTGGCTGCACTGCTGTGGCTGCCTTGATGTCCTGAACTGATTCGAGATACTCCTTTCCTTGGTTGTTTTGACCTTGAATAAAGGCTGGAAGTCGCCGTCAGGTGTCAGATCTGGTGAGTGAGGTGGGTGAGGACGCAGCATCGTATTTTGGGTGGCACACAGCAGCAGCCTGCACTGCCAACGAGAGGGGACTCCAGAACTGCTTCAGGAAGTGGCGAGAACGGCTCAGAGGGGGCGGAGCCATCGCTGTGTATTTTTACTGCAGTGTAACCATTCACAATATAGTTTGATCACATCTCATAGAATCAGATCTGTAAGAAGCCACGGTCTGTGCCCTGCGCTGTATTTTTGTGGCTGTCCCACACAGCTTTCCTGTCCCCACACTGCTCTCATACTCAGGCGAGATGTCCTGCTTGACCCTGGCCGGCATGTGACTGATTCTGACCCAATTGGCAGCCAAAGATAGTGTCTGTGCTTCTGCCCCAGCTCTGTGATGCCTGCAGCACCTACACAGGCTTCAGCATCCAAGGGAGACTCGTCTCCTGTGTTCTGTGCTGGGCTGGCCTGCGACCTGCCTGCCTGGGACATATCCAACCCCGCCATTCACGCATGCACACACGCACGTACGCGTGCACACACACACGCATTGCCTGGGAGCCGTCCTGCCCAGAAGGAGCACTTTGAAAGTATGAGATGTTAGCAGTGACTTGGGCCTGCATGTGCCAGAAAAGAGAGGCTCAAGTACAGAGCGGGTGGGAGGAAGGGAGGAGATGCCAGGAGTTGGAAAGGGATGGAAGACAGGACTTGAGGACAGGGGCTCAGATCCGGGAAGCTGAGCTCAGTAAAAGCAAGGTAGGATCAAAGAGGGAACTGCAAAAAGGAGGTCTTACGTGGTCACTTACCAGGATGACATCTGGGGACTGCATGATTGTGGGCGGTGGCCCCAGGCAATGACCCTATGGACCCCCACCCACCCTCCAATGCCATGTCCCAGATTGGCCTGGTGGTGTGTCCTGGTCTTGTGCCAGGTTTGAGAGCCCTGTACCCATGCCAGAGGTTCTGGTCACACTGTCCCAACTCGGGCACGTGTGGGCTCTGGCCGTGGTCCTGACAGGACACCTGTGCTACCTGGCTGCTCAGGTCGGCCCCAGTGGGGACAGAGGATCCGAGAGTGGTGACAGTGCTCCCCTCTGGCCTCTTGAGTGAGTCCAGGCGAAAAGGAGCCAGGGAGAGGGCTGTGGCTGAGGAGGGTGGTGGCCAGGAGCAGCTCCTGCAGGGACCTCGGGGAACTCTGCAAAGCTGAGAGGGCTCGCTCGGCAGAAGCTCAGTGGCAGGTGTAATCACTGTCCCAGGGGCACCACATCAGTCCCAGCCATGCTTCTGGCTCCCGCTTCCCTCAGTGATGGTCACCAGGACACCCAGGAATACTGATCTCCCTGAGACCTGGCGCCGGGTGAGCATGTGGCTGGTGGGTGAAGGGATGTGTGTGTCCCTGGGCAGAGGGGCTCAGATGTAGTGACGGAGGCCACGTGTCTCTTGTGCCCAGCTGTGAGGAGGAGGAATCTTTGGTCTCAGATTCAGCAAAGGGAAAGGATGGGCCCCATGCTTGTGAGTGGGGCAGGGTGGAGAGGTTCCCACGCTGGGCCCCAAGAGATACAGTCTGCAGGGCTACAAGGAGGCACGCGATGTGGGTGACGGGAAAGTGTCTCTGTGCACCTGCCCTTTGCTGGGAATTAAAGAGAGCTTTTCTCTGGGTAGTAAGAGAAGGGGGAGAAGGAGCCAGAATAAGGCTTAAATGGGTCAGAAAATAAGAAAAAGACTCACAGAACTTCTGAAATCTGCTTCTTCCTGTGATATGGAAAATTAGAAACATTTAAAATAGCACAAAATAGCTGGTCATTGTGGCACATGCTTATAATCCCAGCATTTGGGAGGCTGGGGCAGCAGGATTGTTGCAAGTTTGAGACCAGCTTGGGCTACAAAGTGAGCTCAGAGGCAGCCTGAATTGCATAGGGAGACCCTGTCTCAAGAAGACCCCCCAAAACAAATAAATAAAGAACAAAATTGCACAAAATACCATGAGATGCTTAGGTTAAAAGCAGAGTACGTGGATTTGTATGGAGAAAGCTGGAGACCATATATCAGAGAAGTCATAGAAGTCACAAGTAACTGAAAGACCAAGCTGTGACACAGATCGGAAGGCCTCGTGTGTCAGGCGTGGTGGCACAAACCTGTAATCCTGGCTCCCTGGGAGGCGGGAGTCTGAGGGCAGCCTGGGCAGTGTAGTGAGACCTTGTATCAAAATAAAAATCTGAGAAGGGCTGCAAATGTAGTTCAGTGGTAGAACATTAGTAGGCATGATTTTCTGTACTGAAAATAAAAAAGGTTATTTCTTTCCAAGCCGAACCCTAGAGTTAGTGCAGCCTCACCGTGTGTGTGTGTGTGTGTGTGTGTGTGTGTGTGTGTGTGTGTATGTGTGTGTGTGTGTGTGTGTGTGTGTGTGTGTCTTGTGGGGGGATGGAAATTAGCAAGCTGATTCTCAAACTGACACGGCCAAGTAAAGGAGCTGGACCAGCAAACCACCTTGGAGAAGCACTGCCCGGTTTTGATGCTGGATTGTAAAGCTCCGGTTAGTAACTGAGATGCTGCTGCTGGCCGAGGGCAGAGATTCCTTCAGCTCAGCGGGACCATGTCAGGGACTAGACCTCCTCGTATACCCACTGAGTTCTGATGGCTCCGCACTAAAAACAGCCCGGGCGCCCATCCGCTGGTGAGCAGGGGAAGCGCCCGAGGTTCCCTTCCCGTGAAGTCCTGCTCTGCGGTAGAAGGGGATGGTGATGGGCTTCGTGTACGTTTCAGTGAGCTTGAATGGCCTTCTGCTGTGTGGTTCCCCGAGGATGGCAGGCCACAGAGGGCAGGAAGCTGGTGGAACAGATGTCAGACCGGCCGTTGCTGGAACCTGGACTGCAGAGGAAGAGCCTGGCTAACATCAGGCACGAGGAAACTTTGTGGGGTGTTGAAAGTGTTCTGCATCATAGTGTTTGTTGACAGGCTTAGTGACGGTGGTTCTCACATAGAGTAACATGAGTGTGTTGTGATTCATGGAACCGAATGCTACTTCGACCCACCCCACCCATGAGGGATGCCCTGCTGCTCCTCAAGGCTCACCTTGAGCAGGACATTCCAGAGGGCCTCCCTCTCACGGAGTGCCTGTCCCCTTTGCACTGGGACAACAGCAGTGCTCCTATCTGCTGAGCACTTCCTGGGCCACAGGCCTGATTTAGAAGCACCATACTCCTAGGAATCCATGTTATGCGGTGTGTTACCAGTGTTCCCATCTTACAGGTATGGAAACTGAGGCACAGTGATGGCATGGGTATGTAGGTGCCCATGCAGGAAGCTGGGAAATCTGGCTCCAGTTCTGTGTTCTCATTATTGGGGTGTCAAGCAGAGGGGAGCCCTGGAAAGGGCTGCCCGGGGTCCTGTCTTCCTGGGGGAGCAGCTCTTCTCTGTCCCCTGGGAGGGTGGAGCCAACTGGAGGCGGCAGCTGAACAGAGCTGTGTGGACGGTGCCCTATGGGTTGGGCTCTGCCAGGAGACTGGGCAGCACCAGACCGCAGTGGCCCAGCCACACAGGAGGAGGCCTGACGTCCTCTCAGGGCTCCGTCACCCTCCGCCTCCTCCAGGCTGCTGTGGCTGGTGCCCTCCTCCCTCCCACACCGTCCTGAATCACAGGAGCCCAGTTCCTGTGGGCCGCGCACGTGCCCACCCCTGCCTTCTGCAGTTCCAGGGAAAGACAGTGCTTGTCCAGGCGCCCGTGCGTGTCTCTGTGCTCACGGGGAGGCGGCATGGACCCTCTGCGGCTGCTGCTCCTGCTCTTGGTCACAGGTGGGTCCCGCTGCCCCTGGGGCGCCTTCCTCCCTCTCCTTCCTATCTTGTGGCTTGTGGCCAGCGGTGTGGGGAGGCGGGTGCGCAGCTGGAGGGGTGCGCGTGCAGCCTCCGGACCCCTGCTCTGCTCTGCCTCTCCCTGGCTTGCTCCCAGCCGAGCTGCCGCCCTCAGATTGCACCCCTCGGGCCATGACCATCCTGGGGCTCAGGCCTGAGGGGCTGCTGGACGCTGGTCTTGCAGGAAGGGGCGCATCCTGATGCAGCTTGGGGAAGTTGAGGGGCATGGGTAAGACTCCCTAAAATTGTAGCTCAGTGAAGCAGAAGACTGTCCCAGGGCTTGGCAGGCGGGTGGGAAGGAAGAAAGACCCCAGACAGAGCTCTGCACTTGGGGGCTGTTGGGAAGGGGCTGCAGCATAGGAAGAGGGGGGCTGAAGGTTCCAGTCACCCCCAAGCCTTGCACACAGCTCCTTTTTCCCGTGGTGGGGGCAGGACCCTCCTCTTATTCTGAGATAGGGTCTCCCTAAATTACCCAGGCTGGGCTCCAACTCTTGACCCTCCTGACTCAGCCTCCCAGAATGCTGGAATTACCAAGCAAAACCACACCTTGCTGAGTACCTCTGTTCCCCCAGGGCAGTGGGGAGTCCTGGACAGGGGAGAGGATTGTCCTCACAGAGGCCTGACCCTCAGCTTTGGGTGGAGTCAGGCTGCTTGGGGCAGGGGTGCCGGGGAGGGTGTACGGGGTCTCTAGATCCACAGTGCAGGCTGTCAGCCTCTCAATCCCTTTCTTTTTCTTCTTTCTATCTTTTTCTTCCTTTCTCCCCCTCTTTTTGAGACAGGGTCTTTCTATGTATTTCAGGCTGGCCTTGAACTCATTTTGTAGCCTAGGCTGGTCTTGAATTCCTGCAACAGTCCTCCTGCCTCAGCCTCCCGAGTGCTGGGGTTACAGGTGTGGGCCACCACAGCCGGCCTCAATTCCGTGTTTCACAGCTGTGGCTGGGGTCAGGCTAAGGGGGAGGCAGGAGTTCTGGGGGCCCTGGGCAGCGCCCTGGGGAGTGAGCTGGGGCTTCAAGTCTGGCTTCTCCCTGCCAGAGAATCCCCAGAATAGCAGCCTCATGTCTCCCCCAAAATAGCTCAAGACAAGTCCTTCCTGAAGGGGAACAAAGCCACAGAAATAGAGAAGCTGGAAGCTAAAGGTCAGGATGGAGGAAGATGTGTACTGCTATGGACGGCTGGGGCACCGAGAGGCCACGAGCCCTGCTCTCTGGCTGGAGAGGCAACAGGAGGAGGTCCTGGTCCCATGTGGCAGGGAAAGATGTCCAGAATGGAACTGGAGGGACCTTGCAGATGGTGGGTTCTGGAAACAGGTCCAGAGAGAGGCTATTGCTTCTCCCAAGTTGTCCAGCAAGTCCAGCAGGGAGACGAGCAGAGTCAGGAGCATTTACCACATGCAGATGCCACGGCCGGGGCACCTCATGCAGCCCATGCCAGCACCTGAGCTTCTGCTGGGCTCCATTGGGTCCACCGCACATAGTAAGCGCTCAATAAATACTTAGCACACAGATGATGAGCGCAGGAGTTGAGTTGCTGTCTCCCCTGCAGAGCTGTCCGGAGCCCACAACACCACAGTGCTCCAGGGTGTGGAGGGCCAGTCCCTGCGGGTCTCCTGTCCCTATGACCCCGCAAAGCACTGGGGACGCCGCAAGGCCTGGTGCCGGCAGCCGCACGAAGAGGGCCTGTGCCAGCGTGTGGTCAGCACGCACAGCCTGTGGCTGCTGGCCTTCCTGCAGAGGCGCAACGGGAGCACGGCCATTGCGGATGACGCCCTGGGTGGCATCCTCACCGTGACGCTGCGGAACCTCCAAGCCCATGACGCTGGCCTCTACCAGTGCCAGGTCCTCCACGGCAGGGAGGCTGACACCCTCCACAAAGTGCTGGTGGAGGTGCTGAAAGGTGAGTACCTCTGGCCTTGGACCAAGACCAGGCCCCTTTTTTTGGGAGGGGGCTTTGTGCAGGAGCATCCTCTGGGCTCTTTGTAAAGCTGGGAAAACCCACAAAGTGGGTCTCATGGATGGTTGTACAGGTTGCTAACTGCATAAGCAAGCCCAATCCAGGCTGTGCTCTCTGGTGCAGGGCTATGTCACCTACAGAAAGGGCATCTTTCTCTAATTTGCAAGAAAACGTTGTCTGTCTTGGTCTTGCTTCCTCAGACCCTTGTATCCTAGCAGGAGGTTAATTTATCACCCATCTGAACAGCCGAAAGACCCACAAGCAAATGAGCCAACCTGGTGCAGAAAGACACCCTAGCAGGAGGCTTGCTGTGCTGGGCTTCATTTCCTCCTCTTAAAATGGGGTGTGGGGACAGCAGCTGTACTTAGGGGCAGAGAACTCAGCTACCGTGGCTTGGGAGGCCCTAGTGTCCACTGCCGGCATCACACACACGCCTGCACCCGTGCGCAGGTTTCCCGGAGACGTCGGTGTCTGTCCTGGTGGCCCTGGGGCTCCTGCGGGTCCTCAGGAGCAGTGGAGGGAGGGAGGAGGGGAGGACGGGAGGGCGGGACATCCCCCACAGACCTCCTGCCTCAGACCTGGCTGGGGTCCTCACTCAGGAGCTGAGACTTCGGCTGGAGCTTTGGGATCCAGGACGCCTCCGCCTGCCTCCCAGACCAGTGTCCCCAAGGAGAGCAGTGCCAAGTGATAGATCCCTCCCAGCTCCCCCATTCCGCTCTGCTCTGCCCTCTAATCCTGGGAACAGGGTCAGAGAAGTGTCAGTGTTGGGGAGCAGAGAATGGGGGGCCCTGCAGCCCTGGGCACACATCCCGCATCCCTTTCCTCAGGAGCTGGGAAGCAAGAGGCATGGATTTCAGCCCTCAGGGTCCAAGGCCCAGCCCACTCCTCAGAGGGTGCCAGGCAAATAATAACACAGCCAGCAGGGCCCGGGCAGGGTACTCAGCTGGGCCCACTACACCTGTTTGCAAAGCTGTGCATTTACCCTTTGAAGACCTTGTGCCAGGGCTGGGTGTCAGTGGAAGTGCTGTTGTGGGATCCTGGGGAGCTGGTACCCTGTCCCTTGGGGGTACGTGGATGAGCAATCTGAGCCCTGCAGAGGTTACGGGCCTGCCTGAAATCCAGGGCACCCTGTACCTGTGGGATCCTCCCACCCCGGCAGGGCCTGCAGCAGGAGGGGTCAGCATGTCGCGCTGTCTCCCACAGACCCACTGACGCCACAGGAGGAGGAGGAGGGCGTCTGGGGCCTTGAAGACTCCGAGGTCTTTGGTGGTGCCCAGGTGGAGCAGAGCATCTCCAGGTACTGTGGTCCTGTTCTTGGTACCTGCAGGCTTCCACCCCACAGAGCCTGGCATGGGGTGGGGAGGGGTCCCAGGACCAGCAGTTCCAGGGCCTGGAGGCAGGGAAGGGCCTGCAGGTGGCCTTGCTTAAACCCCCGCAGCCTGCCAGGGTGTGTCCGGGGCCGTGCGGTGGTGAGGCCTGAGGTTCTCCTGGGTTCATTGGTAAAGATCGCTGCTCCAACACCCCAACACCCCAACACCCCAGGATAGGCGGCCTTGCTTTCCCAGTGGTCCCATAACCTAGCAGCATTGGTCATGCAACCATTGTGTAAACTGGCCACAGCATCCCAGCCCCACAGAGCCCGCCCCTTCTCCCAGGGCCGACCCCACCCATGACACCCCGCCCCCTCGCTGCCTTCTCTCTCTCCACATAGTCGCCCAGCAGAGAAGCCCTTCCTGCCCACTCCCATCCTTCTCCTCCTGGCCTGCATCTTCCTCAGCAAGCTTCTCATTGCCGGTGGCCTGTGGTGTGTGACCCGGCGTGGGTGGAAGCTGGGGACACCTCTGGCCAGGGAGCTGGATGGTGGCCACAACCCAGGACACAAGCTCCAGACCCTGACAGGTGAGTCAGGTGAGGGGCTGTGGCCGGGTGGCCTGAAGAGGGTGGGCAGGGGCTAAGCACCCCGTCTGTTGCAGGACCAAGGGACGCATGAGAGACGGGAACCCCAGCTGGGGCCTCCTGGCCTGTGCCTGTGCGCTGGCCCCTTGGCCACCGAGACTCCTGGGTCGGCTCTTCTCTGGCAAGAGGCCGCTCTGCCTGCAGCTGCTTCCCCCAAGCCCGTGTGCATGCATGTGTGTGCGTGTGTGTTCACCTGTGTCTCTGTGTGTGAGGTAGGAGTGGCTGCCTGTGCATGCCTGGGCTTTGGACATTAAACACACTCACAAACCAATCCCAGACTGATCGGTTTCCTCTGGGTGGTTTGAGGGTCACAAAGGTTTTCTCTTTTGCATGAGGGTGTGGAGATGAGTTTGGCTGTGGAAAAGATACAGGATCTCACTGCGCAGGGCCCAGGTCTGGGGGTGCTGCAGCCCTCCGTCCCCATAGGCTCCCATCTGGGGAGTCTTCTCTTCCTCTCCCTCCCTTGACCCTGCTGCCCCATCCTGCCCCTTCCCTGGATATCAGCAGCACCTAGCGTCTCCCCGGGTGGCCCTGGGACATTCTCTCCCTCTGTTGTTGGACAGCTGTGGGCTCCTTCCCCGTCTGACTCCTGCTGTCTCCCTAGAGCGACTTCCCTCCCAGGGCGGAGTCACAGCAGGGATCATAGAGCCTCAGAGCTGCGTGTGCCCAGCCTCTCAGGGTACAGAGGGCAGACTGAGTCTCCAAAAGGCTCCCGCTGTGGGACCCCTGCCTGAATCACCAGGCACACACTAGGAGGGGTTCTCCTGAGGTCCCCAGTAGAGCCTGGAAATGCCAGTTTCGCCTGGTACTCAAGGCACCCTGCCCTCTAGCTCAGTCCTGTTCATTCGGGGGGCCTCTGGCCTGCACCAGGCGCTGTTCTGGGGCCTGGGGGGTGAGGACAGTGAGCAGAGCCCTCCTCCTGTTCCTGTTTTAGCGGGGAGGCAGACAGATAAGTCTGAGAGGCTAGTGGAGAGCAAAGCCCTGAGGGAGACGTGGAATACAGCAGGGGAAAGATGCTGGCAGGCAGAAGGGACGGGCTGAGTTGGCAGGCGCCCTTCGAGAAACACTGGGAGGAGGTGAGGAAATGAGCCAAGAAGACATGGCGGGGTGCAGGAGTCCTTTGAGGGCCAAGGGGACAGTGAAGGCGGCTCCCAGTAGCCATTGGGCAAAAATAAGGGGATGGGAGCAGCCGCTGAAGAGGCAGAGAGGCTGTGGGCGGAGGCCAGGCGCTCCTCTGGTCATAGCTATGTCACCTGCTGGGCTTTGAGTCACTGGGAAGGGGCCACCACAGAGCCATGTTCTGGCCTCCTCTCGTGCTGTGCCTGCCTTGTCCACCCCACGTGGGCCATGCCGTGTCCCCTGCCCCGGAGCTCCCAGGCCAGTCTGGGCTTTTTTACTTTCTGGTACCTTAAATGTCCTCCCTGTATCCTGGACATGGCCCCATCCTCCCGAATCCAAGGTAGAATCCAGGCGCCAGGGCTGGGCTCCCCCTCTGCAGGCTCCCTTCGTGGGGACCCCTGCCTGAAACGCCGGGCACACACTGGGAGGAAGGGGAGCTGGGGCCCTGGGTTTTTGTTTCACTTCTGCCTTCCAGCAAGACACTGGAGGGATGTCCTTGGACCCTTCTGTGCCTCAGTGTCCTCGCTTGTAAAAAGTCAATCAATCAACTTCACTTTACTTACTTTATATGGTTTGGGTGAGGTTAAGATAAATGTTTGTGAAAGTCCCTGGTCAGGTGACCAGCCATAGCAGGTCCTCAGTGGGCCCAGCAGCATGGCACTTCCTGGGTCCCACCTGAGCCCCTGTACCCCGGCCAGGACCTCTGGAGCTCTGCTAAAGGGTGGGTACAGTCCTTGTGCCACACAACATCCCCAGGGGCTTATTCATGGGAAGATAACTTCATTGAGGGGGAATCAAAGAAAGTCTGATCAGGATTTGCAGGATGGGTTTTCTGAGGGCTTTTCCAGTTTTAACCTGAACGCACTTTGTCCCAGGAAGCCCCTTTACTCCCAGGCAAGCAGAACAGCACGTCCGGGATGCTCAGCCTAACACACCAGGCAGCTGTCCCCTCCCCTGCTCCGGGTTTCTCTTGGTGGCTGAAGGAAGGAGGAGAGGGTGAAGGATCCAGGAGAGTGATGGGGGGGGGGATTCCCAGCCACACAGGCCACTGTGGCCACTCCGAGGGCTGCCACCGCCCTGCTGCCCATAGTCAGACAGAATTCCTTAGGGGGATGTGAATGATCACCCAGTGTCTCCTGTGCTGGCAGCAGTTTTATTTTTCTGTTTGTTTGTTTTAAATTTTTGTCTTTTTTTGGAGACACGGTCTCACCAGGCAGTTCAGGCTGGCCGTGAACTCACTTTATAGCCCAGGCTGGCCTCAAACTCTCAGCAATCCTCCTGCCTCAGCCTCCCGAGTGCTGGGATTATGGGTATGCACCACCATACCTGGCTGGCAGTGGGTCTGCACCACAGGACAGTAACCCTGACTTGCAGAGTGGGGAAGGAGGAGAGGAGGAGGAGGGACTCAGGAGAACCGTCTCCAGCAGAGAAAAAGCATTCAAGGCACAAGAACCATGTGCTGTCCACAAAGAATGCCCGGAGAACAAGAAAGAGAACTTGTATATTAAAAATATTACAGAATCAAAACTTTAAAGACAATAATACTGAAAGGGTAGAGGAAAACTATGAAGAAATCTGTTGGCAGAAAAAAATGAAAAAAAAAAAAAACACAAAAAACAGTGGGGAAGGAGAGAGAACATGCAAACAACCAACTAATTAACCTGCTGCAACGAGACAGAGGAGGGGAGAGAAACACAGAGAAACGTCGACCAAAGCAAGGCTCCAGCACGCAGCACCGACTGAGGATCGTAAATGGAGACAGAAGGCCGGAGAGCTCAGGCAGAATGCAAAGCAGCTTCCAGGCCGGGGTTCATCAAAGCGGGGCTCTGCCCTGGCCTGTGCTGGCAGGTGGGGCTCCGGGCGTGGGGGGGTCCGGAACCAGATGGCCCTGCGTGCACTCCGGGTTCCTCCCCAGCTCTGCAGCCTCAGCTCTGAGTTTGGGAGGCTCCGATCACCACCACCATCCTCCTCTGCCCTCCTCCCTCTCCTGGGCCTTCTCCCCCTCGCCTGCCCTACCTCGGGCCAGTCTCTGAGCATCCAGCAGCCGGGTTGGGAAGGGCTTCCTGTCACCACCCCTCCAAGTGCCCACCAGTCCCTGCCTCCCACCCTGTGGTGGCGGGAGCCCCTCGTGACCGGGGGAGACAGTTGTTTCCTGCCCTCGGGAGAGGCCGTGTCAGTGCCCAGGCAGCCCCGGGCTGACACCTCCCCGCCAGCCATGGACCCCAGCCTGCTCCTGCTGCTGCTGCTCCTGGGACTGGAAGGTAAGGTGCAGACGCCACACCTCCCTCCCTGCTCATCTGGAGACCCGGAGTCACTGGCCAGTGGGGGTGTGGGTTGGCGGCAGCTGCAGCCCTTTGATCCGCAGTTTCCTCCCGACCTCAAACGCCTTCTGCTCCCCTAGGCTGGGGCTCTGCGGGCAGCCGCCCTGAGCTACTGCAGGTCCCCGTCGGGGGCTCTATCCAGGTGCAGTGTCACTACCGGCTGCAGGACATCCGGGCACGGAAGGTGTGGTGCCGCTTTTCCCTGAATGGATGCCAGCCCCTGGTGACCTCCGTAGTGAACCGTAGCGCTCCCGAGAACCAGCGCATCTTCCTCACGGACATGGGAGGGGGCCTGCTGCAGGTGGAGATGGTCACGCTGCAGGAGGCCGATGCGGGCGAGTACGGCTGCCTGGTGGAGGGCGCCTCCGGGCCCCACTTGGTGCACACCTTCTCCCTGGAGGTGCAGCCCAAGGGTGAGTCACCCAGCCCTCCGGGCCCCACCCAGGGCTGCATGCTGGGGCAGGGGAGGGAGGGGATTCCCTTGACAGCTGTGCGGGCAGCGGAAACCGCACTGGCCTGGAAGACTGAGATAACTCCCGGCCTCCTCCTCCAGCATTTCCCACATACTTGATGCTACCTTTTTATATTATTTTAACTTAGAAACACATTTATTTAATACTAGGATTCGCTGGCCTTGAACTCACTATGAAGTCCAAGGTGAACTCACAGCAATCCTCCTGTCTCAGCCTCCTGAGTGCTGGGATTACAGGCAGGTGCCACCATGCCCGGCTAATTTAGAAATGTTTTAAATAAAGCTGAATTCAGATATATAATCTGAAATTAATTCTCTTTGAAATGAATTTTTGTACCTTCCAGTTTTGTATTCCTACAACATTTGATGGCTTAAAACTTAGCAATTTTATATCTTAATTGCACCACTGGTGGTGGGTGCACGATCCATAGGGCACAGTCAGTACCTGATCTCCTTCAGCTGGCTCAAGTTTAGAGCTGGAGAGTGTCCTGAATGTGCAAGCCAACACTCTCCACCAGAATTTCCATGTAGAAACCGTGTTGCTTTTATAAGTTTAATTCTCATGGCCCACATCTTTCCAGTACTAAGTGTCTATTAAAATTTTTAAATGTAAATATTATTACTAGAAAACTACCCATCCTGCTGCACATGTCCTGCTCTGCTGGTGCCAAGAGGACACCTGGATGATCCTCTGCAGCTGACGCTTATAGAGCTGCAGGCCATACACACACACCCTGTCCTGGGGCACCTCCCACTGCCCACTGCACAGGGTACCCAGACCCTGGCTCCTGCCCTGCTTCCCTTCGAGGTCTCTCCAGTCATGGTTTGCTAGGGGGCTAATCCTCAGTGTCGGGGTGAAGAGGGCAAAGAGTAACAAAGGCTGCCGAGAGGCTGTTTATAAACAGTAACCCCGGATTGCAGATCACTGGGAGCCCAAGGACACCTGAGCCCCGCCTCTTCTTCAGGGGCAAAATAAGAGCAGGGAAAATGCCTTTCTAAGTTTTATTACTTGAAGACACAAATTACTTGAGAATAAAAAGCCCAAGGAGCCAGGAATGGTGGTGCACACCTGTAATCCCAGCACTCGAGAGGCTGAGGCAGGAGGATTGTTGCAAGTTCAAAATCAGCCTGGGCTACCTAGTGAGTCTGGGGGTAGCCTGAACTATACAGGAAGACCCTGCCTCAAAAAAAGAGAATAATGAGTGTGAAAAATGTCAGTATTCACAAAAGAAAAGCAGCAGTGGTCTCCTCTTCGGGTGGCTGACATTTCCTTCCCAGATCAGTTTATTTTAAATAACATCCTACAGTAGTTTTTCAAATAATTTTCATATTGATTTGTTTTTAAATTTTATTATTAAAATTTTAACATATTAAATGCTATATTAATGCATAAGTATATTGTGTATAATTACTGTATTAACATTTATTTATTAATTATACAATTAACTCATATAGTATATAATTATATAATATTAAAATGTTATTTATTTTTAAGTTTTAATGAATACTTAAATGCTCACAAGATGTGGGCTGAAAGAATGGAACCTATAAAAGCAGGAGGACTGGGGATTTAGCTCAGCGGCATAAGCGTCTGCTGGCAAGTGTGAGGTTGTGAGTTTGATGCCCAGTACCAAAAAAAAATCCAACATGGTTTCTAGGTGGAATTCAGGTAGAGAGTGTTGGCTTGCACATCAGAGATACTCACCACATTCCAGGACTGGCTTTGGTGCATGCAGGGAACCGCGAGGTGGCTCTCTCAGGAACAAGGCCAGGTCCTCATCCACCTGGAAGGACTGGCTGGTACCCAAGAGCCAACCCTGGTGCTGCTTCCAGGAGCCCCTGGTAGGATGACAGGAGCCGTGTCCAGGGCCGAATTTAGGGGCCAGCGAGCTCAGCTGGAGGACGAGGGGTTGATACCAGGCCAGGTCCCAGTTGGGAGCCCCTACTGCCCGCCCGACTCGGCCTCTGCCTCTTCCTGCTTCTTCATCGGGGCCTCTGGTCCCGGCTCCCTCTCCCTCATCCCTTGACCTCCATCAGCCAGGGAGGCCAACAGTGTGCGTGCTCCACTCACTGTGTCCTTATGACCCAGCTCCTGTCCTAGGAGACGAGGAAGAGAAGGAGGAGGAGGAAGAGACCTTTGGGACTGGCACCCTGGCCGAGGGCCACGTCACAGACCCTGAAGGCAGCGCTAGCCCTTGGGGGCTCAGCCAGCGTGAGAGGAGGTATGGAAAAGGCTGGGTTTGGGGGCTGGGAGGAGCGGGTGGTGAACTTACAATTCCTTCCACCCCCAGGGAACTTCTTTTTTGTCTCCAAAGCATTAATTTCTGCTCTGGTCTTTATTTATTTATTTATTTATTTTTGGTGCCGGGGATCGAACTCATGACCTCGCGCTTGCCAGGCAGGCGCGTAAGCTACTTAGCTAAATCCCCCACCCCTGCTGTGATCTGTATAAGATTTTGGCTTAGCCTGCTCTTCTCTTTAGGGAAGTTTGAGGTTCACCATTAAGTTGTAAACATGCTCTTGCTCTGTTTCCTGATATGGGTATTTACCGCTGTAAGTTTCCCTCTTAGGATCAGTTTCATTGAGTCCATAGGTTACGGTGTGTTGTATTATCATAATCGTTTCTCTCTAAACACTGTCTAATTTCTTAATTTCATCTGTGAACTGTTGGTTGTTTAGGATGATGCTATTTAATCTCCATGTGTTTGTGAAGTTTTTTTGTGGTTTCCTCTGCCATGGATTTCCAGTTTCAGTGCACTGTGGTCTGATAGTACGCGTGGAATAATTTCAATTTCTTTACATTTACGTAAGCACGTTCTGTGAGTCGGCGTGTGGTCTGTTCTGGAGAATGTCCCGTGTACAGCTGAGAACAATGTGTATCCTGCCGTTGTGGGGTGGACCTCTCTATAGATATCTACTAAGACCCCTGGGGAACTTCTGATCACAGGCAGGCAGGCAGGCATCCCAGCTGGGCAAGGGGCCCTTCATCCTGTGGCTGTTCAGCCAGGATGCTCCATCTTGTTCTGCTCCCCACTCTGCCTCAGGGCTAATCCAGCCCATCCCTCTGTCCTCAGCGTCCCCTGGATCTGGGGTGCAGTGCTCTTGCTGGGCCTGCTGGTGGTGGCCGTGGTGCTGGTGGTTGTGATGGTGAAAGGGAAAGGTAGGCATCTGTGTGCTGCTATCCTGGCCTGGCTCTCCTGGTCCGGTATCAGCCAGTGTCACAGACCCGCCGGGGGTCTGGGTCTGCAATGCTCTACAGGGATTTCTGGGTGGATTTAGTCAAGCTCTTGCACCCCAGAATTCCCACGGTGAGGTGGGGAGGGGAGGAGGGATTCAGTGGGGCAGACAGGAATTGGAAAGGATGGGGCAGTGGGGTTGAAGGAAGGAGATGGGGAACGGTCCTGGGAGTGGGCTGATACCAGAGGGAGAGTGAGGGGAGGAGGGCAGCGGAACAGAGGGGTGGGGATTTGGGTGGGGAGGAAGAGGGTGAGTCTGCACTCTGGAAGGGAGTGAGGGGACAAGCTGGGCGCTGCCCGGCAAGTAGACTGCAGCAGTGCTGTGTCTGGTCCTGCAGGGAACAGGCTCGGCGTCTGTAGCAAGTTCCAGAGCAGCGGCATCTCGGACGCGGTAAGAGGCCTCTGCAGGTCCCGGCGCCCCCACGCACACATCACTGAAAGGCCCGGGACGAAGGGTGGTGAGGGATGGAGACCCAGTTGAGGTCCAAACCCTCTCCTTCCACCACAAACCCAGTGCCCATGATTTCCCAAGGACGCTCAGCCTCCCCAGCTTAGGGGAGGAGCTTGGGCTTGAAAAAGTTCAGCTCGTTTGCCCACTGATGGATTTAGGATTCCAGAGGCTGATGTGGTGCCCCTGCCTCCCGACAGAGGGAGCTGGGGCAGAGGGAGGCCTCCTGCCTTTGCCTGATTTGCCTGCTCTTCTGTACAGGACCTGTTTTCAGCGGCCCGCCATGCTGGTGACTCTGGACTGGAGGCCGAATCGTCTTGGGACATACCCTCCGTGGGGCTCGACTTGCCATCCTCCTTTGACAATACCGCCTACACCAACCTGCAGCTTGAGCCTCCATCTGGAAAAGCCCCAGCTGCACCCCCGCCCTCTCCTCCCCCTCTGCCTCCCAAGGCGGTGATGTCCTCCAAGCCCCTCACTTATGCAACAGTCATCTTCCCGGGAGGGGACAAAAGTGGAGGGGCCTCCAGTGAGCCCACCCAGGACCTGCCCAGCAGTCCAAGCCCACCTAGCTAAACTGCTCAGCACACTGGACACCCAGGGGTTGTCCCTGGGGCTGTGGGCCCTGGGTCAGTGTGGTGGCAACCCTAGGGCACACGTGCCACAGTGCGTTGCTGGTATCACTAAAAGCTCTAAAAGGTTCGCCATCACTGCTTCAGATCTTCAGGGTACTGGAGGTGCCGGGGGCTTCGGGGTGTAATCTATCCTGATATCGCCAGCAGGGAAGGTGATACCCTAGGTCTGATGGAGGTGTTTCAGGGACATTTACCCCTCTGCTGGGTCCTCTGCAATGACACATTGGGCTAAATAAACCCTAAATGATGATATGTGAGTCCTGAATGGCTGAATGGGAGACAAAAGGCCTCAGGTCTAACTGACCACCTGGCCTGGGAAATGAAGCTCTTCTCCAATTCACGGGGAAGTAGTTTCCTCTGGAGTCAGAACCCTTCGAGGCACCAGGGGGCACCACAAAGACTTCTTCAAAAGCACTTCGCCTTTCTCTCAGGATGCCTGGAAGCACACATTCATTTTGCCTGGGTCCAGAAAGCTCTGCTGCGTTCTGCCCTGCATCTTGGGAACAAGTGACATATTATTACGTGACAGAGTGCTAGGTTGGGGCAGTTAACGGTAAGTTGAAGGAGACCCAGGACAGATGGGCGTGTGTGGGACACTAGAGAAACAAGAGAAAGGACAGAAATGATAACAGACAGCATGTCACCGTGTTTCCACTTCACCGTCCATCCCCAGCTTGAAGAATTCCTCCTCCTCTGAGCCTCCGGTGACCAGCTCGACTTACAAAAACTCCTTACCCTACAAGTATAAGTTTACTGCACTGTTTATATCTTTGATAGAAGATACAGTCTATGATCATTTTATTTACATATTTTCTGTCTCCCTTCCTGCAATGGAAATCTCACAAGAGCAGTCTTTGACTTATGAGCCCCTGGATTTAGACTGTTTGATACTATAATGCATCTATGATGCATTTTATTTTCTCCTTCTTCTGAGAGAAAGTGGAAGACCTTTGATATTTATTCAAGGGTGAGCAGTCAGTTGAATAATCAGGTTCCTGGAGGAGATGCCATAAAGTCATTATTTGGTGAATCTCCGGATACAGACGTGAGTCAAGGCTGGGTATCACCCAAGGGGTGAAAGGTCCAGGTCAGGCTCAGTTCTGCCGAGTTGGTGTAACTCAAAGCTTGAGTGAGTTTCTGTCTTCTGAGAACCAATTACAGTGCATGTTGCCGAGGAGGCACTCAAAATGTTTACTGCACAAATGAGGAGTTTTGCTAAATTAGGCAAATATCCAAAAGCTTAATACATGTAAAGAAACAGAGACAACACCTTTGCTCACAGGATCACGGGCAATAATATAATGGCCAGACAAAATACAAAATAGGCACATTGTGGTTAGAAGGCACAGTCTGAGGAAGACTTTATTTTGAAAAGAGTATAAACCATGCCAAGTAAAAATGGAAAGTAGTTATTTTTCCTGCTTCTGAACAATGAGTCCTCAGGACACAAGGTTTGGTACAATGGCAAATATAGTGCAGGTAAAAGTCCAGAGGAAAGGAATGACCTTTATGTGCCCTTTTAAAAGGACCCTCCACACAAAGCCGGCATTGCGCCTTCTCACCCGAAATGATCCCTCCCCGTGTCACTAATGTACTGACCCAAGATCTGGGCTAGTTTGTTCTTGTGACGCTCTGGCCTGCAGCACGGGCCAGGATAGCAGAAGTTGCCGTGTTTGGCCCTCCTGCCCTCACACATTGTGGGAATTTTTAAGGATTCAGATCCTGTCAGGCACAGATGCCCATAATCCATGAACTCGGGGTGACTGGGAAAGCACTCGGGGCCAGGCTGACCACTGAGCGGCCCCTTCTCATCTGCAGCCAGGGGCCTCAGGCTCCCACCCTCCTGATTTCTGGCCGAAGGACTTTATGCTGTCCTTGGAAGGGAGAGGGGAGGCAGGGTGGGGTGGTGTACGGTTGTAGTCCGTGCACATGGGCACATGGAAGGCTGAAGCAGGAGGATCACCAAGAGTTCAAGGCCAGCCCGGGCTACACACCAAGATCAAAACAATGAAAGGAGAAAACACAGACAAGAGGAATGGAGGAAAGCCTAATGGAGAACTCAAGGTAAGAAGGTACCTCACATCAGCCATCTTTTATCCACTTTCCTTCTCCTGCCCTGGAAGGCCCAGGACCTTGCCTGACCCTGGCCAACATGTTTCTGACACCAGCAGTTCTGTTTTTTTTTTGGTCTTTTTCCTTTTTATCGGTACTGGGGATCGAACTCACGACTGCCTGCTTCCAAGGCAGGCATTTATGCCGCTGAGCTAAACCTCCAGCCCTGATACCTGCAGTTCTGGAAGTAACTGCAGCATTCTAGAGATTGCCATGGCAGCAGCAGGGCTGCCCAAATGGCAGCCAATCCGCATTTGAGTATCTTAAGTGGGGGACCTTCCACCAACCAATCCTTGCAGCTCTCTTGAGGCCCCGCCCACCCACTTCCCAAGCTCTCTAAGGGTGGCGAAAAGACCAGAGCTATCTAACTTTGATATTCTGCTCACAAATGGAGGCGTAGATGGTTGTAGGAAGAAGCCCATCAGTTGGGATAAACATTGAGTAGAAACAAGGGCCACCTCTGGATTCTGTAGTCACGTTCTATGGGCATAAATCTGACCAGAGTGGCCTCAGGATTAAGTTAGACCCTTCTCCTTAGGGAGCTGTCATCTGAGAAGGAAGACCCAAGGAGTCTCATCTCCCACTGCTCCTGGGATGAGGTGGGCACATGGGAGGCTGTGCCTTCGCAGCTCAGATTCTTGCTGGGGGTGGTCACACAGCACCGGGACGGGCATGCGTGGCTCTAACACTCGGAGGTGTTAACAGTTGTCAGAGCAAATGAAAATAAAAAAGTGTTGCCATCACTGCTTTAGGGTTAAAGCTCCCAATAAAGGCTGTTCTGGTGGCAGGGAAAGTGCTCAGGGAGTTACTTCATCACATGCTGATGAACACTTCCAGCGAAAGACTAAAGGCCTGACCAGCCCACAGGTGACAGAGCCGCCAGCAGGAGGAAGGCTGAAAGGGAGGGGAGGACACTGCAATGAGGTCAAAGGCCCATACACCGCGAACCGTTCACATTCAGAAGCCAGCAGGAGACACTAACGAGTCAAGTCATTTCTTAGTATTTTATAAATTTATTTTAAAAAATAGCAATTGCAATGACATCAATGATTGATGACCTAGAGTCCCCCTTCTGCTGGGGGCATACAGCTGAGTCCCAAAGGAAAATCAAGGCATTATGATGGGGCACCCTGTAGCCAGAGAACGCTGTTGGTCCAGTGGTACAGACACGGACACGTTCCATGTACCACTGCAATTAAAATATACACATTTACAGTGACCCTGCAAGACAGCCACATAGCTATGCAGGAGCCCAATTCATCTGTCCATCGCGCCACGTCTTTGAGGTCATTGCTTACAGTCTCAAGGGCAAATGAGTAAAACAACTAGTAACGGAAAACCCAGCCCCTCCCCCAACCTGCGGGCTACTGTGGTTGGCTAAAATAATAAAAGGGTCATGAGTTAACTGAAATGCAGGGACAACATGACAACTGAAGCATTTCACTTCTAAAGAAAATTCAACTTGTCCCTCACAATGAAAACTTCAGCAACAATCTGAGGTTTACTATGTATAAACTCACATATGCAAATAAATAAATTTCAGAAGTGGGTCATAAGCACTGGAAACTGGGTCTCAGCAATCTCCTCCTGAACTTTTGGGGCAGTCAGTACCTGAAACTATCACCCACACTGAGGTGTGCAGTGAGCTTACTGAGGGGTCAACCCTCTGCATGCCTGGAAGCCAGCGGATGGGGAACCTATTTCACTTGCAGTTTAGCATAGTTCTGCACCCGTTTCTGCCATTACAATGGAGGTTCATGATGTCTTTTCTGTCTCAATATAGTTTGACATCAAAGACGCCCTACCTTTATGCTTAGCATTTAAACTGACCCTAATGCATAATTGATGTTTCCTGTTTCCAGAGAAAGCAGCCAACTCTTCTGAAGCATCACCTTGGTTCTCTCTTCAGGATCTGACATTTAGAAGATAGATTTCTGAGGCCTGGACCATCGTGGGAACAGGTCTGTTTTCTGGCCCCACCAGTCTGCAATTACTCCTGCAGCAAGGGTGCCACGGGAAAACCTTCCTGCACTGGGCCCAGGCAGAGGGGAAACGGAAAGTTAAGAGCGCTGACGATCAGCTGTCCGGGAAGGCAGCGGCAGAGTGCTCCCTCTCTGGGGCCAGTTTTGAGCCAGCACCCACACCTCGGGCTTCTGCTGGGGACCTGGCCTCTGCCCAGAACACTGAGAGTGAACTTGCCAAGGACCACACCTGATGTCTCCTGTCACTGCTCGTTAAAGGGTCTAAATGTAAATACAAGTTAATCTTTCCACCCTAGTGACCACCCCGGGCACCTACTGGCTGCAGAGGCACGCTCTGTCCACACATGGTGGCTGGTTCTCCTCCTAGCGGGACACACGCACCTGGTCCCCAACACTGTCCTAAGACCTATGACTGAAAATACCGAGTCTGCCTCTGTTTGGGACACGGCCTCTGTGCTTCTGCACAGGGCTGCTGGAGAGTTTGTTCTCTACTTAGGAAGTGCAGTTTCAAAGTCCAACACCCCCAGCTTCTCTTGAATTAGCCATAGCAAGAACTATAGTTGAAACATTCTTTAAAACCGAGGGAAACCCACAGGGAAAAAGAGAGCACAAGCAATCAGCAATGTGTTTAGGTGCTGTGCCGTAAACATGAGCCCAGTGTCTGGGCACACAGAGATTCTTACTACCAGAGCAGGTGACCGCAACTCCAAGAATTTATTGTTTCTGTCACAGTCTGGAGCTTCCTTGTGGGAAGCGGCTCTGACTATGAAGTGTCTATTCATTTGTCAGTCAGTCTGAGGTTCCCCGGAGGGGTGGACGCATCTGGGTTCCAGGGCAGGAGCAGTTGCGGCTCCCCGTCCCAGCTCGGCGGAGAAGGCCACTGTCCTCTGTGGAGACGGCGGGCTGCTTCACCAGCCGTGTAAGTGCTTGTATACTGCCAGGCGGCAGCTGCCTCCTCGTATCAGCCTAATTCATGAAATGTCAATGACTTCAACAGCTGGCAACAGGTCCTGACCGAAAGGGTGAGACAGAGGCTGGCGACTTCAACTTCCCAAACACTGCTGCAATTATAATACTGAGCCACTTATCAAAAACTAAGTGGTACCCGTCCTGCAGGGCAGAGTGTGAGTGTTAGGGTCCCCTCGGAAGAGTTGATCAATTTCCTGAACAGCGGGAAAGGCAAGGAACACCACCTCGATCAGCTCCACTGCATCGTCCAAGTGGGGTTAGGACACGCGGATGATCTGTGTCATTGCTTCCTCGTCGGCTTGGTTTGGATCCTAGAGACAGAGACAGCATAGTAACGATTAAAGCTCTCCAAAAGCATGAGAACCGCCAGCTCTCACACTGCATCTCCTCAAGGGAAAACAAGCAACTCTGAGAAGTAAACCAAAGTCTACGGTGCATCTAAGTTTGAAAATGCAGTTTGAAACAGAGTTCCATTAGGAAAGATAAACCTGTTTCTTAAAACTGCTTAAAGACAGTGTTACATTTTTCCTAAACACAGTGACTTGTGCTCTATTCTTAACCGCGCTCAGATGAATAAGAAAACACCCAGCAAAACGCTGACATCAGGCTGTATTGTGAGCCTTGACTTTCTGGTCATCACGTTTAAATCCTGAGTTTAGCAGGGTGGGAAAAAGCACGGGAATCTACATAATTTAATGCAGTCATTTGCTGATAGGGCTGAAGCTTTTAATGGGCAGTGATTTGCTTGGACTACAGCAGAAAGTCAGGAGCCCAGCAAGAGCTCACCCCTAAATCTTTTGGCTCCCATTCAGTTTTTCCACTGAGCCCCGGGTACTGCTTCTCACTTAGGCCGCATGGCACCAGGTTCACTGGGAGGCTTCTGCAATGCCTGAAGCTTCAGCAGGCAAGGTGGAGGGAGGAGCTGCGCTTCTGGGGCACCACGTCCTGACTGCGCACCCATCATGCACCACACACAGCACCAACGGGTGCCTAGCGTGTATTCTTACACGAAGTCTCGGAATATCCCTTGCTTTACCGACAAAACTGGCTAACACAGGCCAAGCAACACAACCAAGGTCATGCTGTTAGCACCTGCGATTGAAGTTCTTGGCTCTGGGCTCCTACAGTTGGCAGTCCACACTCACAAGACGCGGACTCAACAGCACAGCCGAGGACTGGCAGTGCCCATGGACTTAGTGCCCATGTGTGGGGTCCGGGGGAAACCTAGTCTGAATGCTGAGCCACTGCACGGAAGCTATGCATCTGTGGAAAGGGAACTGACATGGTAAAACCGCATTACTCACAAAGACTGGGCTAGCAGTACGGACTGTTCAAGGCTAAAGGGAGAACAGAGACCAAGCCAGGGGCACGGTGACAGAGTGGAGCAATGGGATGGTCACACATAATTGAGTTAGTGAGTGGGAGGGACTCATTTATTCAATCAACTACTGCTGAGTATTCAGAACTAGACACTACTGAATGCCAAGTGCAACAAACAAAATGGAGGGCAAAATCCTCTACCCCCTCCATATTCAACTGAACCAGAGGCTTATTACACACCACAGAAGACATTGTGTGACACTATGGCCTGAAGACAAGCAGAGCAGGGACCAGGAAACAAGAGGAGATGCAGCCAGAGGTCAGCAGAAACTGAGTGTTGGGGCTTGCCGGCCAGGCAGGACTCTGGGTTCCAGCCGGCGCACAGCAGAGGGCGGGGAGAAGGGCTGTCGCAGGACAGGGATGCACTGTGCAGTGTACTTAAAAGACGACACCGTGGGGCTAGGACGAGGGAACAGAAGCCAAAGGAGGAAGACAGCTAGGCAGCTGTTTTATTAATCCAAGTCAAAGAAAGGAGCAGTGGATTAGGTTGCTATCAGTTTGGAGGGAGGAGACCCCAGTTAAATTCTGGAGATAAAGGAGAACGTCCCCACAACCGGACTGTTTGGCTTTGGTAACTGGCTGGATGGACATGTTACCTGCTGCATGAGTGACTGGTCCATGTGTGATAAACAAACCAAGATCCTGTTGTGGACGGAGTGCCTGTAACTAGTAGAATCAGATGTGTATGAACCAACATATTACACAGCTAAAAGAATAAACCCTGGAATGGCACTGCCTAGGTTTGAATTTCAATGGAACATTTTTGTCTTTTTGACACAGGGTCTCTCTATGCAGTTCAGGCTGGCCTTGAGCTTACTTTGTAGCCCAGGCTGGTCTCGAGCTTGCAGTGATCCTCCTTCCTCAGCCTCTCGAGTGCTGGGATTACAGGCGTGAGCCACCACACCTGGCTAATGGAACATTTTTATTAGGTTTTTATCTTAGGCAAATTAGTTCTCAAAGCCCCAGATTCAATTTTAGAAGCGTGGTGACAGGTAATTAATATTTTGTGGGGCTTGGGGATGCTGCTAAGACATTCAGGAGAAAGCAAAAGGCTCATCCAGTGCTCCATAGTGCCGGCCGCCACTGCCACTATCCCACAAGGACAATGAGTAACTGGAGTGGTAACAAGAGAACCTCAAGAAGGGATCAACAGCAGTCACCGCGGGAGAATGCGAAGGCAAGAGAGGCCACTGATTAAAGTCCTTAAGAGCAAAGAAAAACTTAGGAGACACCACACTGTGCCTGGTTCAGAGAGCAACTAGGCTCTGAGTGTGAACACGCAAGGGCACTGCGGGGGCTTCCTCCTACAAGGCACAGTAATGACAATACGAAGTGGAGGAGGGCTGAGGCTCTTGCCTGCATGTGGGGACTGTCCTTTTCTTTGGGAGAGAAGAATCGTCCACCTTCACCTCGCTTCCGGGCCATGGCGTGACGGTGCCGGGACTCATGCAGGTATTTCTGAAAACAAAGAAACATAGCCACTTAGGGGACCAAGAGTCGGCTAGTTGCATCTGTGGTGTGAGCCCAGCTGCAGGGATAATGAGGACTCCGAGTCATGTGGAAAGCTGGTCAGTGAGTGTGAGGAAGACACCAGCTAATCACACAGAACTACTAGGGATGGGGAGGATGAGCACACAACTAGCAGTGTCTACCAGTGTCTACTCTCCTTTCCTGGTAACAGCCCAGTTTGAGCTGGCAAATAGCTATTCCAGAGTAAGCCTGCAATTCTAAACCTTATCGTAAGGTAGGCTGTCAGCAGGTAGTGAATTGTGGCCTATGAGACAAGCCACCGTCCAAGGCGGTGTGGTTTTCGTTCCCTTTGCTCCTAGGCTAGAGCCCAAGCAGCACGGGAGACCATCAGAGCTGTGAGACAGGAGGACGGGTCCTCAGAACTGCAGCAATGTGGTAGCAGCTCCGGTTAATTTATCTGAAGACTTCTTCTGTGTAAGCAAAAAAAAAAAAAAAAAAAAAAAAAAAAAAGCCCTGCCAGGGATGTAGCTCAGTGGCACAGTGCCTACCTGGCAAGCGTAAGGTCCCGAGTTTGATTCTTGGTACAAAAAACAAATAACTCACTTAAGCCACTGGCTTTTGTTGACGCTGCAGCTGAAGCTACACACAGCAGTAACAAATGTTAACTCCTGGGGACAGCAGCCTAATCTGCTCAAGTGGTACTCAAGGAAGCAAAGCATGGGTGCGTCTCAGGAACAGAACCCTGCCATTCCTGTCCTCGGCCTCCGTATCTCACCTACCCTCCTTTCCTTTGGAATTTTCCCTTCTGCCTCTAGTTTGGCCCGGGCCTGCCGTCTCTTAAGAATACGGTGGTACTGCTTGGCATTCACATAGAGGGGCTCTTCCTCCAGCATCTCTGCCCCAGGCAGCGGGATTCTTTGGATGGCAGGCACAGAGCCAGCTCCAGGCACCATCTGTGGGACAAGGGAAGCAATGCTTACTCCTGGCACACCGTGAGGTTTCCTGGTGCCTGTTAACCTACTTTCTTCTGATAGCCACCAAAACCTCATAGGACCCTTGGTTAAATGCAGATTCCTGGAAAACATTTGTATGAACACCCTGGATTTTAAACAAACATCCCAGAAGATTTTGTCATTGGGGCTCCGGAGCACTGAGAATGAAGTGGTCAAAGCTCTCTTCATGTCCATCTTTGGCTCCACTCCCTACATGTCTGCTGTCCACAATGACTAGAAATAGGAGTCAGCAGACCATGACACAGCACAAAGGCAGGCACAAGCAATGTTACTAAATGCCTGCTGTCGCAGAAGCAGATTAGCTCTGACTGTAACACAGCCCTAACTTTTCTAAACACACAAGCCCCGCTGTGCTACCGCAATCTTACTGTACAAGTGGATCTGAGCGACTTAAAAGCTGATTTCAATTCCACGAAGTCAAATGTTATGTTTTATAGGATACGTAAGATGGGAAGTCCAAGAGATTTGTGAAGACAAGAAATGCACGGAAAACTCCGGTACACGATCAGCAAGTTGAGCAAACTATTCCTCACCATCACCATTCCTCCCGAGTTGACCACGTTGCCTGCCACCGGCAGTGTCACAGTGACGGTTCCTTGACCACTGCTGGTTGTGTTGGTGTTGGCTCCTGTCTGTACAATCTGTGCTCCTGCCAGACTGGCTGCTGGGATGGTGATCATGCCTGAAACAGGGACTGTGACTTTAAGAAAACAAAACATAAAACAGGCACACAGAACGGGAAGAAGGGAACAGAGTTAGTCCCTCTTCTATCTGGCACACCCTCAACAACCCCAGAAACACACTGTGGAGAAAAAGCCCTCTTCCACTCCCCGACTCCTTCAGTGTGGCTTTCTATATATAACCCAAGGAGTCACAATCTTTGAAATTTCGATTAACCGTCTAGGACCCAGTTTGGAGAAAATCTGTCCTGGGAATGAACCGCTCCCCTGGGCATTCCAATTATACTGCTCTAAAGAAGTGGAGAGAGTTTCCATGGGCCTGATGAAGGCTGTATCCCCTGCTTGCATACACAGGAAGATGCTGCTCCAGGAAACAGGTTTCATATAGTATAGAAAGTTTATCCCAAATTGACAATGAGCCGATGACAGGAACGAAACTTAAAATGAAACCAGCATGTCAAGGCCCTGCTCGTTAATAGCAGTGCTTCATGACTTTTCACCATCCTGTCTGAGCTCTCTGGATCTTGCACACTGCAGAATTTTCCTCGCTAGGTAAGCTTTTAGTCAGGGAATTTAACTGAGATGTCCTTGACCCAGAAAACAAAATGTAAGTAGCAACAGCACTCTAAAATGGCAACTTGGGAGATGATCTTTTTTAAGGGGTTTTGTTTAAAAAAATTAGGTAAAAATTACCTAGAGTTTACAACTAAAATTCTGAAGCACTCCCAGTTGCTCAGGATGAAAAGATACTTAACAAGTCCTTGGGAAACCTGGGGCCCCCATACCTTGCTGCAAAATGGTGCCGTCCGCATTGACTGGCTGATAGACGATGGTCTGCCCTTCCGCGGTCTGTGCTACCTGCTGCCCCTGGACAGCGATCTGCTGCTGTGTCTGTAGGAAATGCACAAACAGGACATAATGCACATGTTCCAGAGGCAGCCTCAGGGGAAATGACTGTGTAGTCTTGACTAAATGAGGGTCAGGCTCTGTTGCACAGCCCTCTCCAATCAGCCGTGCCCTAGGGAGAGCGGGTGGGATTACCTGTGTCTGGCCAGCTGTGACCGCTGTCTGGGGCTGCTGGATGATGATCTGCTGGGTCTGGCCCTGCTGGCCCTGCACCTGTACAGCCTGCCCGCCCTGGATCTGGATCTGCCCAGGTGGGACCAACTGGATCTGCATGAGAGAACACAGGCTAGGATCTGACTGGCACTGCCTTTCCCCGCTCAGTGAAGTACTTCCCTCTAGAAAGCAAGGAATTTGCTCTAAAGAAAAAAAAAGATGGGAGTCCCACTCCGCTACTAGTAACGATAGTACTACTAACACTGCTGATAACTTTATCCATTCCCCAAATCATCAGGGAACAATGAACACAGTCTGGGAATCAATGACTTATTGACAATGGTGGCAAGGTTATTTAAAAAGTACATTCACTTAAAAATACACTCTGAAGGGCTTTAACAGTGAAACACTAGGTACATGTGTAATACATCTATGCAGGCATGTATTAAAATATATTCTTCACAAACCAAACGTCTCATGTCTTGAGGCCTTGATGAGGGCCCTGAGACACCAAGTGAAAGAACTCAGCTAAGCTGTGCCGGGATTCCTGACCCATAAGGTTTTTTTATATCTTAAGCCGCTACCTTCTAGGGTCATTTGTTACGCAACCACAGTTAACTACCCAGTTCATCAGACCACGCTTCCCTTGTCCCCATCTCCCAGGCCCTGGCCAGTGCTCCGTGCTGGCAGTACTGTCTGCCGCCCTGCTGGGGGCACTCCCTTCGTGGTTCCTAATTTGATCCTCAGGAAGCAAAAAGGAAAGCAACGGATTTTGAGGTATCCAAACCTTCTTTATTTTAATGGCGCTGGCCTCTTTATTAGGAGTATCATTGGAAACATGAAAAGTTTGAGAAATGTTTCTCTGAAATTTTGTAACTTGAAAAACAAAGTACTTTAATGGTTATACAAAATCACGTTTTCAGGGGATGACTGGATAGTTTTTTTGTTTTGTTTTGAATGACCAATAGAGAGAGCACTTAGGAAGGCCCCACCAACTTGAAATTTCTAGTATTATATAGTCAAGAAAACTCCCAATCCAAGTGTCAAGAACACATAGCTGCCAAGCACCTCTAGCCCACAGCAGCTCCCTCTCCTCTCACTACTTCTGTGACCATTCCTTCTTTGGATCAGTAGTATTTTTTGCAATGAGCCCAATCCTCTGTTCCACACAGCTTGTAGTTTAGAAGGAGGGCCCTTTTAGAAAGATAGATGCCTACAGTCCTTACCCCTGCATCTATTGTTCTGGTGTTCTATTTTGGTTTCACTGTATCAGTCTAGGGATTTTTGTTTTATTTTTGTCTTTCTGAGACAGAGTCCTGCTATGTAGTTCAGGCTGGCCCTGGGCTCCCTTTGTAGTCCAGACTGGTTCAGAACTCACAAAGATCCTCTTACCTCAGCTTCCCAAATGCTGGAATTACAGATATCTGCCACCACGCGTGGCTAAAGGATCTTAAATCTAAAATCATATGCAAGATTTTGCATATACTAGACAACTGCCCTTTTTAAAAACATGGGCTAGGCTTCATTGGAATTCTAATATGGAAAATACAATCCAAAAAAAAAACCGTTGAGTAGCTGGGCATGGTGGCACATACCTGTTAACTCCAGCACTGAGGCAGGAGGGTTGTTTGAATTCGAGCCAGTCTGGGCTATAAAGTGAGCTCAAGACCAGCTGAACTGCATAGCGAGACACTGTCTCAAAAAGACCAACAAAACAAACAAAAAAACGTTGAGAAGCATCCTTCATTTAAAAACTGGCTATTCGAGCCAGGTGCATTGGCACACAGCTGTAATCTCAGCGCTGAGGGAGGCTGAGGCAGGACTATTCAAAGTTTGAGGCCAGCCTGGAGAACTTAGTGAGAACCTGTTTCAAATTAAAAAACAAAATGTATCTCAGTGGTAGAGTCCTTGGGTTCAATCCTAGGACTGGATGGGTGAGGAGGAAGATTATTCCAAGAACACTAACAAGATGCAATCTCATAAAAAGGATAAAAGTCTCAAGCATTCTAAGAGAGATTGGGACCTTACACTTGATATACAAATGATTTTTTCCAAGTGATTAGTTATAGACATATTTGGAGGCAGGGAAACATCTCTTGTAGGAGAAGAAAAAAGGCATTAACTCAAGGGCTTAGGGCTGGAATCAACTCTAGGTAGCCCCTGATAGAGCTGCATTTATGGATAGAAAACACACAGGCTGCAGTCAAGACAGGAAATTTTGTTCAACAGCAGACCGGGAATTAAAGTCTAGTTGCCGTACCCATGATACCCTGGCCCATCACGGCACCACATGCTGCTGTTTGGTAGCAAAGAAAGGGCTGGAGCGGGCCAGAGAGGAAGGCAGCAGAGAAACGGCACGTGAACTCAGAAAAGCAGCTGAAAATGTATTAAAGCCTCCCACACTTACGCAGAAAGAAATATGCAAACCATTTTTAATTTCAACTACAACTCTATTCTGGCAAAACTATGACAATAGCATTAAAAGTGCTGTTTCTTGAGTAACTCTCACTCCAAAGAAATTACCCTAAGAATCCCAATAAAAAACAAAACTACTGCACTCAAATATGTTTACAGTAGCTTCACTCACACAAGCAAAATCGAATAAACCCTTAAATATGTTCTGTAAATTAGAAATTCTGATTCCTCAAACTGATTCAGTATTATGAAGAAAATAAAAAATGGTAACTAAGGGGCTGGGGATTTAGCTCAGTGGCATAAGTGCCTGCCTTGCAAGCAGGCAGTCGTGAGTTCGATCCCCGGTACTGATAAAAAGGAAAAAGACAAAAAAAAAAAAAAAAAAAAAAAAAAAAAAAAAAAAAAAGGTAACTAAGAAGACTGTGGAAATAAATTATATTAAAAAAAAAAAAAGCAAAACCCCTACATGCACAGTACAATGACATACAAAAATTCTCTTGTACCCTTTTTTCTAGGCTCAGACACATAACCACAGGGAACTGATTATTAGTCATAAAGATGAGATCACAGTCTACATCTGCAAATTATTTTTTACTAAAAATACTTTAAGACCGACCCAAGTCAACAGTTCCTCTTTGAAACAGTGACACGGTATTTGGAAACACTGTCCTAGGTTAACAGACATTCAAATTGTGGAAATGTTTTGTTGGCACAGTGCTGTGTGCACGCCTTCTGTACACTTCTGTGTCCACAGTAACTAATGCTGCCTGCAGGTCAGATTGTTAGAAGCAGGGCTGGCAGATGAGGTTTACAAGGGACAGTGAGATGTCTTCCAACCTGAAATTACCCAAAACAACTATTTGTATTTCTACATACTCACCTTAGCACCAGATATAATCACTTGTAAAAACTTTTTGCTAATCTGATGATAAATGTTAACTGTCAGCAGTTTGATAACTGCTGACAGTTATCAAATGTCATAATTAGGTGAGAGTTGCACGTAACAGCCCTACACATTTCTTTTCATTTCTCCTGCACCTTCACTGTTTATCTTTTCCCACTTCTCAATCAGTGAGTAACTTGAATGATAACTTATATGGAGATAATAAAAAGGATGACACTGCTGACTACACACATCTAAAGCAGACTGTAAACTCCTCCTCTAGCCCTGAGCCATTCCAACTAGTTACTCAAATAAAGAGGTTCCGGTCTTTACCACACGAAGGTAGAAAACTGACCACATACACTGGGGCAGGCAGGCAGGCAGGCGAGCCTGCCAGAGCTTTCAACGGTAACAAACACCCAGCTGTGGCACACAGCCACGCTCCACTGCTCCCCAGCTGCTCCTCACCTGCTGCAAACTTTGTGTCCCAGACACAGGGACTTGCATGATGGTTTGACCTTGTCCTCCGGGGACAGCCTGCACCATGATGGGCTGGCCAGTTGATGTGATTAACTGGCCTCCACTGACTTGTACCATTAATGGTTGCCCTTGGACCTAGAATGAAGGAAAATAAAAACAATGAAGTAACAGAAAGCACACACACACACAAAAAACGGTTTTTACCAAAAGACAAGTACTGGAACTATTTTGCTGCCTTGCTGGGGGGTGGGTGAGCGGGAGAAACACTTAGAAAGTGAAGTGTTAGTCCTGAAGTTATCTCCTTGAAGTAGCTCTGACACCTCTGGTTAAGTATCAAGCTGAATATTTTAAGGTGAGACGTAGTAGAGCATATCTAGTCAGACGTAAGGCAAAGGCTGTATCCATGACAAACATTTAATCAAGACATCAAAGATACTGGCCTTTTAAAGACCCAAGAAGGTCTCTAAAGAGGGCTGGAGGAGGCAATGAGGGGCAATGGAGATGGTGGTTAAAACGAATTACAGGTAACACAGGGAAGTAAAGCAGAGCACCTAGCATGACACTAGGAAGCCGGGCCCACGCGCTCTGCAGGCTTAGAGACCCTCCTCCGGCGGCCGCCCAGGTGGGAGGTCCACCTGCGACCTTTCCACCACACTCTGCCAATCTAGGTGTTTGGTGCTTAAAGGCTCATTGCTAAAAACTGGTCAGTCTGCAATCTTTGCTGGGCAGTTCACACTGGAACTTGTAGCACCTGCAGTTACTTTAGCTTAAACAGAAACAATGCCATATTTAACAGTAAGATCAGACAGAGCAGTCAGGCACACCAACAGAATTCCCAATGTTCCAGCTCCTGTGAGCACAGTGAGTACTCCAGAAACCATGTCACTGGAAGTGCTCTGTCAAGTCGAGTCTCAACGTAAAAATAAATACCCAGCAGAATGCTCTCGGAGGCCGAGTGAGCCACTTCAGAGGTGAATAAGAATGATCAACATAAGAGCTACAAGTTCCAAACTTTCGCTTTCCTATTCTACCTTTAGGAATTGTTGGTACAGAACAAAAACATTCCTAACTAACACACACTGCATTCCTGAAATGGCATGCTCTGACAACAGCCCACTGATTCAAAGGTCAGCCTGCGGCAGATCATGGGTCACGTCACAAGGGCCACGTACCCCCACTCCACCAGAATTACAAGATGGCAACCACAGGTTTTGGTGAATGGTCCTTTGCAAAACTCCACTTTACTTTTAAGGACTTTACAGCCTGATTATCTCATGCTTTCTCCTTCCCTTACATTCAAATTCCTTTTGCTACACTGATACTGTTTCAGGACAGGTTTATCACATGCAGACTTACTGCATGTATATTTAAAATTCTCCCAAAATACTGCGACCCTCCAAAGCATGATTTCCACTTCTTTTAAATGGAATCTAAGTAGTTAACAGAAGTTTTGAGACACTCTTAATAGTTTTCTAACTATTCACCATCTTATTTTCTCCCCCATTAACATGCTACACATGCATGTGGTGAATGATCTGAACAGCCCAGTGTTCACAACATATGAATGTTCACAGAACACATGCACCCAACAGAAGCCATTCAGTTAAAAGCACATCACACTCCCATTCTGTGAGTGGTTAATGATAACCCCAAATACTGTTTCATGTATTAATAAGACAAAGCAAGCATGAATCACACAGACAAGCTGCTGAACTCTTAAGATTCCTAGTTGGACAGGCAGCGCCTGCAAGTGCAGCTTCTTTCAGCCTGATTCTTGTCAGGAACTGACTGCATAGCATCTCCAGACACTGCTGGCGGTGCAGGTTCAAGGGTGAAGGGAAAGGACAGAGTACGGGGCAGTCAACTGCCGGGTGCACAGCAGTGCTAGTAATAAGGTGAGATGCCAGTTTTACGCTCTGAGCCATGCTCTCAATCATTCTCAATTCGGTGGAGGAAGGGCATCTCGGCAACTTCTAAAAAATCTAGTCATTTAGTCCAAGTAATCCAGAACAGCAAAGACTCGTGCTCCTACTCCTATTTTTATGTAAGAACTAGCTAAATCATAGCTCCATATAAAATATCTGACTCGGCCATATAAAATATGACCTCATGGCACTGGGGAAGAATTCTGGTTCTCTTTTTCTAACACATCCAAGCAACCAGTAAGAATTCGGACAGTGGCTGCAGTGAAAGAATATCCCACCTCTGCCCATCCAAGGGGTATACTGCAGTCTTTGAGTAGCTGGTAATAGACAGGTCATCAGTTCCCCAGGAAAGGCAGTAAAAACAAGCTGGGTTAACAAGAGACTAACAAGACTTAGTGATTAAATCAACCTTGCCAAACGGAATGCCTACCCTGCAGTCGAGCTGCCTTTCAATAAAATTAAAGGGCAGCTCAGGCTAGTCTGTGTCTTCTCTCTTCCCCTGGAATACACACAAATTCACAAAATTTTACTATGCAATCAGGTTATAGAACTTTAGCATAGAGTAAGTTCCAATGCCACTTGTGAGAATTTTTTCCTATCACTTCTGTATCTTTTCCAGGCACTGCCCCCCCCCCCATACATTAGCCAACGGTTTTCAGAAAACTTATGAAGCATTTACTACGTGAGTTGGCAGGGAACATTAGGAAACTGGCACCTTATAATAAAAAGCCTTGAGCACAATTAGCAGCACCAAAGACATGCGACTGACCGTGGCACTCCTGTTTGAGACCCTAACACAAACAGCACCACACACGAGGAGGACAGGCCCATGCAGTGCTTGCGGAGAATCAGAGAGGACACCACTACCTGGAGGGTCTGGACTTGCTGGCCTGAGGCGGATGCCACCTGGGCCTCAGTCTGCAACTGGACAGCAGTGACACCACCCTGCTGCTGAGAACAGGAACAGGAAGAGCTTGAAACGTGTCAGGAAGAAAATATATAGTTCGAGACATGAGAGCACCTTACCTCTTGGGGGAGGGGCAGGAAGGCTTCCTTTCTGAGCCTCCCCCGACCCAGGACTGTCAAACTGTACAGACTCCCTACGCTCCCTGTGCAGCAGATAGAAGACGTCAGCTCTCTGCCCCTACAGTCGACCTCAAAACCTTTTCCGCAACCCCAAAAGGTCAAAACAACATTATCAACGAAAAAACTTACAATGCGGGCCTTCCTCCAGAAACAGAATGTTTTACTCTTCTGCTTATATAATTAGTTCAATGCTCTTTTTATTTTTTTAAATAAGTTCATAGGAACAAAAAAAAATTTTTTTTCGTCTTTTTCATTTTTATCGGTACCAGGGATCGAACTCACGACTGTCTGCTTGCAAGGGAGACGCTTATGCCACTGAGCTAAATCCCCAGCCCCAGGAACAAAAATTTACAAGGTTCTAACAGCCTTGACATCATGAGGAAGAATTTCTGGGGTACAAATGCAACCTCCAAAAAATGAAGAGTGAATGACCACTGTGATCCAGTATGATCCTCATGAGACCACTGCCTTTATGTGCCCAAACTCAGCTTTACTTCTACCCTGCTGGACTGCCCCAGAAGCAAGGCCTAGAGTGACTCAACCTCACCTCACGGAAAGGCTGGACAGAGGGGCCCCCACCCTCCCCGGCACTGGCCTGAACGGAGGGCCCGTACGGAGCCATCCATCCCAGCAGCTCAAGGGCAGGCGGCAAGGGAATGTAAGCAATCCACCTCCTAATCAAGAGCCTTTCTTTCCTCTGCTCCACTGGATCAAAACAGCACAGAATCAATGCCTCCTTTGCCATTTTTCCTAACTACTTTTCTACATTGGCTAAATTCCATTTTGAAGACAAAAACATTCCCAAGATATCAATCTTGGGCCTACGGTAAAACTGAAGTGTAATGTATTTCTTTTTTTCTTCAAGGATTGGGAGGAAAAGTGAGATTTTACTAAAATACGCCTGGGTAAAAAAACATCAGAAAAACTGTATACATACAAGGACACACTTTATTTTTTAAAGAATAAATGCACAGTCCAGGTGTGGAGGCACACATCTGTAATCCCAGCACTTGGGAGGCTGAGGCAGGAAGATCACCGTGAATTAAGGCCAATCTGGGCTACAAAGTGAGTTCAAGACCAGCCTGAACTGCATAGCAAAATTTGTCTCTAAAACAACTCTGTGTCTTAACCTTTAATGAGATAAAAGAGGCAATTTACTGTTTAAACCACGCTACCACAAAGGGCGGATTCACAGTGATGACATCACGGGCTGACACGGCACTTCGGCAAGAGCAACCAGAGAGAGACCTCTCAGGTGACTCCCAGAGCGACACACCCACCAACAAGTGTGTTCTTGCCAGGCTCCAGGGCCCATCTGCTTCCGTACCTGCTGCTGGATCTGGCCGGCCTGCACCACGATCTGCTCCGTGGAGCTATTGCTGCTGGCTGTGTACTGCTCCATGGCGCCTCCACACCAGCGCTGCACACAGCAAGCTTCCCGCTGCAGACCCTCGAAGATAGGGAGGCGGCGCGTGCCTACTGGTGAGGCTGGTAAAGAAATGAAAATGAGATGGTCGTGCAGGCCTTGGCTGAAGAGTCACCTTGTCAGCTGTCATTGTACTTATCATTTGCCAGAGAACAGGGTAAGACAGTAGGAAATGTTTATACTGAACGTGTTAACTGTAGGAGGGTTTCATGGCAGAGTAATACTGTCATGTTTAAGAAGTCTTTATTTTATTTTTCTTTTGAGACAGTCTTCCTACATAGTCCAGAGGGACCCCAAGCTCACTGCAGTCTTTTCACCTCAGCTGCCTGAGTGCTGGGGTTTTTGCCACTTCTTATTAGCACCTTTAATTTTCAGTCTTATCTCTGCAACATTCAGGCCTCAGTAATACTCATAAAAAGTCTTTGCTACAAGGCCAATTAAAAATTTTTTTCTTTTAGTCAGTAGAGTATAAATTCAGTAGTATTCAGTTTATTACTTATTTTTTATTTGAGGGAATATACTGTAATTACAGAATAAACATTCCTTGGTTTCTTTAATTTGTAACATTCACCTTTTGGGAGGTGCCCAGAGCCAGAATCACACTAAACCAATCGTGGGTTAATTTCGTAATCTCTGATCCAGCACACTCTCTAGATCCAGCCACTTCTGAAAAGGGCCACCTATGGTCGCGTAAGGTTTTGGGGCACGGCCAGACCCGAGCCTTAACACTTGGATGGTGCCAAACCCCGCACAGCCTGTTTTTACCTATGTTCTGCACAGCACTGATACTTAGTACTGGAGTCCGTCTGTCCTTCCATGTTTTATGCACTGGTGTCTCTGTATCAGAAGGACTCTTGTACTTTGGGCCATTATTAGGTGAAGTGAGGATTCCGTGAAGCCACGCAGTGCAGCACTACTATGGGTAGCTTGTAACTGAGGCGGCTGGTGAGACACTGGGCGGCAGTTATTACTGCACGGCTCCACTACTCGCCGCTGGCTAGGGGTCCTGAGAGCGTACCCCACTCCTAGGAACGGCCTATTTTTGAAGCTTCTCAGTTGTTTATTTTTGCAACGTTCCATTTAGTACAGTATCTTGGGACCACGGGCCACTGAAACTAGAAAATAAAAACACAGATAGCAAGGACTCTTAGAGGAAACTCTTTCTCTTACTGACATAATTTTCTTCAAAGAAAGACTTAAGATGTGTCATAGTCTTGAATTTAAATATCTAGTAACACTTCACTGTTTATCAGACAATGTCAACTTTTTATTTGGGGAGTCTTCTGTTATATTCTGTTGGGAGCCCCTGAAGCTGAAAATTGACCTATGGCATGACTCAGACATCACCCTACCAAACACAAAAGGGTGACTCGGTTTGCCAGGTGAAGGAATTGCTACAGCGCAGAAAACACCAAGCTCTTAAGACAATCCAAGTAATGGGCTGCTAGGCAGAAGGGCTGAAATCGACATCGTCCCTCCCAGTACATAGACAAACATTCTGCACTGGTTGAGCAGTACCTTTCTTCCCGTCAGGAGAGGAAGGGCTCCACCCGACCTCAGCTTTGCCTTTTTTTGGCCTCATCCTCTGGCAGTCCTTCACCCCAAGAACCCCAGGAACCACATGGGTAGAAAGTAGAAAGGCCAGTATGATGAGCCCCAACAACCCCACCACCCCACCTCAACACAGCCCACGCCCCATGCACCTGTCCCTTTTCCATTCCATCCCTGCTGAAGCAAATCCCAGACACCACTAATGTAAAAGTTCTGTAAACACTGTAGCATCTACGAATGCTCACTTGTCTTTAGATCACTTTATCATGATACCCACCTGAGTATCATTTTCAAACATTAAGGAATTACTAATTCCTTAAAATTCAGCAAACATACAGTTATTGTTCAAATTTACCCTTTTTACACACCTTAAGACCTGCAAAATCCCTTTTCGAAAACCAGGATATTAGATAAATTACAGTGACGATGGCAAGCCTTGAATAGACTTCACTCAAAAACCAAGATTACATAAATTATCAAAGGTAATTCATTATGTAAATACAAGGCAGGAGTTAGACGTAAAAATGCGCATATACTTTCCTCTTTTTCTCTAGGCTTTCATACATTACAAAATCTGAAAGGTAAAATTACAGAAACTAACTAGTCCACACACTGGGGCGTGGGGTCACTTGTACGGTGTTTCAGTGAGGTGCACTGAAGGGTTGAATCACAGAGTAGAAACTGAAGAAGTCCCCCCCAGGGTCCACCTTGGCACTCCTGGGAAGTGGTGGAGTCTGAAGAAGTGGGACGCCACACCCCCTGAGGAAAGGGAACCTGTCTCTTCCTGTACAAGGTGAGGTTTTGCCTGGAGCTGCCTCAGCACAGGTCCCCAACAATGGAGCTAATCATGGACTAAAATCTCCCAAACTGTGAGGCGAAATAAACCTCCCTCTTTATAGGCTGATTATTTCCAGGATTCACCATGGCAACACCAAGAGAGCAGACTACTAGTATGTGTCCAGGCATTGAGCCAAGGGCAGTGACACCTAAAATTTACCAACTGCATCAAAGTGACGGCGAATACGCAGGTGGAGACACAGGTAGGTATCTGATGGGGCAAGCACGGGAAGATGCACACGTAGGCTTGAGTGGGAGGCAGGCGGGTGGGTACTTACAATTCTTTCGACCCACCGCACGGGGTGTCATTAGAACACTGCTGGCATGCCCTGAATCAATTCCAAATATTTACTTTCATGGTCATTTTGACTCTGAGGACCAGCTAGAAGTTGCATGGTCCCCAGTCTGGAAAATAAGGTGGATGATGATTCGCTAATGTTTTTAGGACTTCCTCACATTTCGCCTGTCCCCAGTTCCCTTCCTGCAAGGCATCTTTCCTTGACTAATTTTCAGAAATTTACATCTTATCAGCCTGAATTACAAACTACAGTGGAAGGACACATGGGAATGACTAACCAACATAACAGCACAAAGATCTTTTTCCCAGTCTATTCTGGTAATGCAAATGCTCCAATTTCAGAACAAACTCACTGTGCTCTGCGGGGTAAAAACGGCAGCGACACCGTTAACAAGGGAGGATTCAGCTCGGCCCACAGGACTGAACTGCAGCAAGGGCGGATGGTCTTTCCTGGGGCGTCTCTGCCCATGAGAAGGACAAAATCAAGTCAGCCAGATGGAGTCTGTCTAGCTCTGGCTCCCGGCAGAGTTCCTCATGTTTTCTTCCTCAGGTAGAAAGAGTAAGACTCTGTTTATTCTGGCTGGCGTGAAAATTTTTCCAGAGCATCTCTGCCCTATGATTTCAAAGTGCAGAAGTAGAAATCCAGTCTACCACTACGAAGTCAATCTACGTGGACACAGTCTAAAGCCAAAACTTCCTGAAACTCAACCAGAGGCACGTGAGACTCCCTCAGATCATCGTGTCTGACACCGCTACCACATAAACCCTGGACGAGAAACTTCCTCTGGACTGAAGCTTCTTGATTTGCCCCTTTTCGCTATGATACAGCATGTGCCAGACATTCTTCTAAAGGTTGTAGAAATAAAAAAGAAACTGATGGCCATATATGGTGGCATATGCCTATAATCCCAGCACGTGGGAAGCTGAGGCAGGAGGGTCACTGCAGTCTCCACCAGCCTGGGCTGCATAGTAAGTTCATGGCAAGCCTGAACCACCTAGTGAGATTTTTGTCTGGAAAACCAAACCAAATCCAAAAAACCAAACCAGATTAAAATTCTAACTTCAAAGACTCTTAGTTTTATAAAGTAATAAAATCCCATACCAGGATCCTAAGAGAGACAGTGTTTGGGAATCCGAGGACAGATTTATTATACCTGCATATAAACACAGCAGGCACGAGGAAACGGTGCCACAGGAACTGGTGTCAAGTGTGACAAGAACTGACAGTGATGACGGAGAAGGGAGTGGAGCACTCCAAAAGAGGAGCACAAAATAACAACAGACAAGCTTCAGCATATGAAAACCGCTGCAAAAGGCCTCGTGACCAGAGCAAGTGACAGACGACACTACAGTTAGTGGCCCTTAAAACGGCAGGCAACAAAACTCTGCAGACAGGCACAGGCCACGGAGACACAGAGGACAGCTGTCCTTTGCAAAGACATTTAGCAAATTATCTGGTAGTTCTCATGGGAGCACATACGACCACTTGAAAACACCACGAGCTGGGAGTGCTGGCACGTATCACTCCAAGCTGCAGGCCACTTGGGTACACAGCGAGTTCCCAGCCAGCCTGGGCCGCATGGTGAGACCCTAAGCCACAGTACCTCATTCACCACCATGAATCATTTGGGAATTCAGTGAATTCAGAAAGAAAGCCTTCCTAAAAGTGCCAAAAGGTTCAGGGGTGGGAAGAGGACAGAACAGACATTTTCTCAAACGTACTGTTCACATGATCACAGCAAACAGAACTTTAACCACATAGGGGAGCTTCCACGAGTCAGAAACCAGTTTCTGTCAGCCTTAAGGAAAAACGTATCTGTGTATGTCACAGTAATTTTAGATTTCCTCAAGGTGTGGAAAACGAGAGCAACACTCCAGACAAGTGGGGGAACCAAGCTTCATTAGGCCAGCTGGCCCAGAGGAGTCGCGCACTCCAAACTCAGAGCCCTGAACTTGGGAAAGTAGGGTTTACACCTTTGTTTTACTTGGGGTGGGCCAGGAGCGTGCTGAGCAGAATTTTACAATGAAAAATGAAAGTTTTGCAGGTGGTGTTATCTTGCGTTGGCTGGGGGGGGCGGGGGGCGGGTAACAGAAGCTGTAAAATCATAAAGAAGCACAGAACAAGAACAAAACACAACCTATTAGGAGGGGCTCGGGATGAAGTACTTGGTGTGGTTACAGAAAACTAGGGTGGTGGGGGAGCAGGGCACCAAGGTGGTCTATTTCTCATTCCCCCCGATAGGGCATCACCAGGGCCATGGGGCTGTAGTCTAAGTGAGCTCTGGACCCAGTCTCAAAGAACTGTGGGTGACACTGAAATAGGCAAGGACTAAACATCAATGGAAGACAGATGGAGCCCGACAGCCCAGTCAAGGGTGTGAGGCCGTCGTCCAGCACTCTAGAGCAGCTGGAGGCTGTTTGCAACTATCTGATCTGGTGGGCCGATTTCCGAGATTTCCGGTAGCCTGATGAACGACCCTGATCCATTACCACAAAAACAACATTCTTGCCCCAGGAAGACACAGGCGCCTCCTCTTTCTGCTGTTATTAAGTCTAGGGTGTGTTGATTTTGCAGGGTTACTGCAGCTATGGAGTTGATTTCTTTTTGTAAACCTAGTATGGAATTGGAGATTCCCCCTGAGCTATCAGTTAGGTCTTGAGAACGTGACTAGTAGGTAACAGAGGCAGCTGCCATGCCTGCAACCCTTGTCCTGATGCCCATGGCAATGCCCTAGCTGCTGGGAGGGATATGAGTATGGAAGTAGCTCCACAGTGTTGGGCAGGGGACTGGAAGCTCTATTTCTCCAGGCAAGATATCTATTTTTGGGGTGAGAAATACCAGTTGGCAGGAAGGCAGAGGTAAGCACAAGTTCTGCAGAGTCAAAACAGCCCTGGAGTAGTTAAACAGAAATGGTTATGTATGTCTGTAGGCCACCTTTTTGGGTTCTTTTCCCCAGATTCCTACAGTGACAGCTAGGGCTGGCCCTGAAAATGGGCACGCGGGGGGAGGGGGGCCCTCGATGGGTTTTTTGGGTGGCACACCTGGTCTTATTTTCCCAATGTAAAAGGAACTGCTTAGTATCCATCAATGTCCATGTGCTACAATGTTGGAGGTTGGGTAACAGAAGGCAGGTAGCTGGAGCAGCTGCCAGTCTGATAGAATCCTTTCTATGGTTCCTGATGCTGCCTGTGGAGAACACATTCCAATTGTAATGTAGGGGACCTGGCAGCCACTGCACAAGTGTGACTGTTAAGAACCTGGGAGGTGTCTAGGGTCGGTTGTTCTGTTACACAGTAAGTAGCCAGGGGAGGTTCACATACAGGAGGAGGGTTGTGGCTCACCTGATCTTGGGGCATGTGTAGAATAAGTGTGAAGTTACAATTGGAAGGGGGGCAGGAATCCTAGGGGGACCCCTGGAGACCCTTCATGGAAGAGGCAAAGCATGGCCTAAGACAAAAGCGTATCATCAGATGTTACGGGTTCCAAGATAAATCAGTGTCAAGAAGCCACTGGGGTGGAGACAGAGAGCACCTCAGATTGATTCTGGCATTCTTCAGCAGGGTTTTTTACATCATAGATGGAGTACCAGGAGGACTCAGCAAGGGACCAAGTTATAAGTGGGACAAGGGTGGCCTCTGTGCAGGTTGTAGAGGCAAAAACTCAAAGCCAGCAGTGTTGAGCTATGTCAGGCCGGGAGTGATTTAACAAAGTCTAAAGGAGTGCTAAGGTCTTGATCAGGTAAGAGGGGAGCAGGTTTCAGCCTGCTTGTTCCATGACAACAGTGACCAGGGACAGCAGTCTCAGGTTTTTGGCACTGGCCATCATTGATTAGGTTGAGAATGGGTTACTTTTCAAAGGAAACAGGAGACACTGGTGAAACACCCTATATACGTAATAAAAGCGAGGGCTACTAGAGCTCTCTGGATAGTAATTCACTGGACTGGTACAACTGCGGCAGAGACTGGCAAAGATCAGAGGAAGCTGCCCAAAGAGACCCAGGAACCAGGGACAGGAGTCCACAGAGTTATTCAAATACTGTGAACGGTGTCCTCAGGCTTCAGCCATGCATGGACTGGTCAGCCTCCAGTGTGACCACAGCAGGGCGGTTGTCTTTTAAACTTGGCCTTCAGTTGAGTTTAGGATGGAATGGCTCACGATGGAGTTGGGGTTTTGGGGATCTGGATGAGTGATTCAAGTCAGGGGGCCGGGGGTACTTTGGGATATGCACTCTTAAGCCTGGTATAGCAGATACTCGGGGTGATGCCTTGACAGTGGTAGGGGTAGCAGGCACAGTAATGTGAAGTCCAGTCCAAATGGGCTGGAGGAGCTCTTTTTCGACTCAGTCTCCTGGATGAAATGGATATACTGAATTATGAGTGGGAATAGGGGTTCTAAGACAGTTTCATTAATTTGAGAGATTTTCCCTAGCATTTGTAACTCTCAAGTTACAGTGATCCTAGCTGTCTAACAACTCCCTCAAAATGCTGCATACAGTGGAGGTCTCTCAAATATCATTTCATATGGTGACTAGCCCATGTGTCCAGGTGTCCATCTAAGCCTAAGCATGGTTGTGGCAGCATCTCTATCCAACAGCTTGCTGTTTCTTGACAACTTAGCTATGATGGTCTTTTGAGTCTGATTTATACATTTTACTTTGCCAGAACTCTGTGGCAACCAGGTTACATGTAAGTTCCATCTAATCTTTAAGGGGTCTGAGAAGCTTTGAACAGCTTTGGCTACAGAAGCAGGCCTGTCGTCACTCCCAATTGACAAGGGGACACACACTGAGGGATAACTTCTCTGAGGGGAAGTTGAACAATTTTAGGCTTTTTCTATCCTGGTTGGTTTGGCCTCTATTCATCCTGAACAGGTATAGACAATAACTCGCAGAAATTCGTGTAAGGTTTCATTTCAGTACAGTCTATTTGTAAATTTTTAATGGTAAGGTCCTTGTATGTTGAATTCCTGGAGGTGGCTGTGGTCTCTGGAGAGGATTTTGTGGGCGCCAGTCTGACATCTCTGATAGACAGTGGCAGGGTGTTAGGAGTCCTGGCATGTAGTAGTATCTTTTTAGGCTAAGTCAAAGTGCTCGAGGAGAACTGGTCTCGATGTCAAGTGAGGTGGTTGGACTGGATGTCAGTGAGGGGAGTGGCAGGTAGAGGAATGGTTGCTGGGGGATTAAAGAGCAAACTAACTGGAGACTTTGGTGGAGAGATGGATGGGGTGGGGACTGTCAGGCAAGACTACTGGGGGAGGCACTGAAGGATGGAGGCTGGGTCACCACTATGAATGGTTTTCTCCTTTTGGGGATCTTTAGTCCAGATTGAGAGCCACAAAAATCTAACTCTGTCCCTTCCTATTCACACAGAATCAGACCTATAGTGGGAAGGTCTGAAGAAATTGTAGCCAGGAGTTAATATTAGATGGGTTGGGGTGGCTTTGCTTAGTGACAACTCTCCATATTGCATATATCATCTGAATGTCTAGGATTCCTTCAGGGGCCACACTACATTGAATCTGGGCCAATCTACTTCACAGAGGGTCTGTAACCTTGTGAGCTTTACCTTTATTCCACACTCTCCAGTAAACCCTTTCTTAAAAGTTTTGACCACACAGTCTAAGACTGGGTGTTTTGTCCATGGTGTATGTGGTGTCCCTTGAAGGAAGGCGCAATGGGCAAGGGAAGGGGAGTCCACTATAGGAGACCACTCAGGTGCCCGCCTGGTTGCATCCCTTGCTGGAATTTAGGCGCATCTTGGCTATGGTACAGCCATACAAACTTCGACCTGGTCAGCCTCCTACCTTGGGAGGTGAGTCACTGTTATGCCATATAATGGTGCCACGAAAATGCAGGCTGGGTCCAGTCAGGCTCCAAGTCAAGGCTGTGGAGCTGCGCATACTACTGCCGACAAGCCACGAACTAGTCCCCCCTCCCACTCCTGGTTGAAGTATCTGACCCAAGACCACGGGGGTGAACAAGCTTCCCTTCTGTCCTCTGGGACTAGGCCCTAGGGCCCTACCTTATTCTGGAGTACTGTCAGAAGACTGGTTCACTTCTCCTCCAAGTCTGATCTAGAAAAGAAGGTGTAGCCATTAGTTGCTGTCCTTTGATGAAGGAGGTCCTGCTGAAAGATGACAGGATCTCACCTCATTCCCCAGAGAGGGCTCTCCGTGGCCACTTTTTGACTACGAGCCCTGGTTCAAGAGGCCAGTGCATTTGGTTTCCCAGGTAGGGAACCAAATGTTACAACCATTTTAGATTTACTGAAGGTGTGGGAAACAAAAGCAGCATTCCAGAGAAGTGAAGGATACCAAGCTTTATTAAGCCAGCTGGCCCAGAAGAGTTAAGCACTCCAAATTCTGAGCCTTGAGCTTTGGGGAAACAGGGGTTTTATACCTTTGTTTTATTGGGTTGGGCCAGGAATGAGCTGAGCAGAATTTTACAAAAGCAGTTTTGCAGGTGGTATTATCTCAGGTCTGGGATATATGTGTGTGTGGAGGGGGAGGGAGAGTAGGGTAGCAACAGACGTTGTAAAATCTTGTGGTTATAAAGTAGAACAGAACAAAGACAAAATATTACCTATTGGTAGGGGCTTGAGGTTGTGATCACAGAAAACTAGCACAAGGGAAATTAGAGCGGAGGGGGGCACAGGATTTCATGATGATCTTATTTTATACATTATTTATTTTTAGCTCTCCTTTACCTGCACCTCCAGATAAAAATAACTGCTAAAAAAAAAAAAAAGCCAAAACAATCCCTGGGAAAACTTACAAGTTAAGTATTTACCAACTGGGCTTTCCCGCCCAAACGCAGTAACCCTGCCCACTTTCCTACCTACTGTGCTTTCTGTCTCAAATACACATGGCCCATGTGGGCCTCCTAAACATGCTTTTCTTTCATCATGCTCTTCTATCTGAAGAAATCTCATGCTTCAAGGGCTCCGAAAGTGTGGCAAAGAAAATGACCCAGGCTGTTTGCTACCGGGGTCACGGCATTCACTGGAATGGACTGGCCCCCCAACCTGGCACCAAGAATGGGCACCACCTAGCTTTGATCTGTCCATCTTCAGGATCAGGGCGGCTCTCAGCCCACCCCCTCCGCACAAAGGGACTGCCACGAACAACAAATTGTCCCGTGGAGATGCAAATGGAGATCCCCTCCCACCCTAACAAAACCATGCGACACTCACTCCACGTTCCAGACATGCTTAAAAGAAAGGTTAGCAAGAGGACAGAAAGGGGGAAGGGAGGGGACCACAAAGTATGTGCACTGAACTAACAGGGATCAAGCCTGACATTTTGGAAGGAGACAAGTGTGAAAGGGAAACGAATCGGTGCACTCCCGGAAAAGAGAACGCATGGATTATACATTGCTGCCAGATGCTCAGCAGCAGGCTGGGCAGGAAGAGAGCTCGGCGGGCTCGGGTGCGGGAGGAGGAAATGACGGCGGGGGTCACCGGACAGGCGGGGCGGTCCTGACCGGGACGGGGTGGGGAGACCCAGGCCCCGCGGCGGGGGCCGGGGTGCGGCCCCCCTTCCCGATCCGAGGCCGTGGCGCGCGCACGCGCGCGTGCGTGGAGGGCGCTCGGGGTCGGCGGGTCAGCACCCCCGGGCCTGGAACTGGGCCTACGGTCGGGGCCACCACCGGTCGGCAGCAGCGCCCTGTCAGGGCCCGGACCCCGAGGAGCCTCTCCCGGGCGCCATCTCTCGCTGGCGGGCTCCGCAGGCCTGGGCCGGAAGCCCAATCACCGCGCGGCCCCCAGCCCGGGCAGCCCGCTGCCGCGCTCGGCGAAGCTCCGCTCGGCTCCCCGGGCCCGACGGGCGCCTGGGCCTCTCCTGAGTGGTCAGCGAGACCCGCCAATCGGGGCGCTAGGGCCGGCTCTGGGCCGCTGGATATTGGCTCCTCATACTCACCGTGCCTCGCTCCCCCGGTTCGCTGCCCGCGCTGATTGGCTCCAGTACCGGACTCCGAAACCCAATCAGAGGCTCCAGCCGCCGCTGCCGCCGCCACTGCCGCTGCCTCGCAAAATGGCGAACCCGAACAAAGGGGAATCCGGCCTCCCTCCAACCGCCTCCGCGCAGGCGCCTCGGAGACCACGCCCCATAACCCCGGCCAGGCTCGCCCCGCCCTCTCCCTGAGGAGCAATGCGCAGGCGCTACTCGTAATCCACGCCTACTTCCTGGATTTGACGCCACCTCCGGCCGAAGGACTACGCAGGCGCCTTCAAATCGTGCCAGAGCCTTCAACTCTAACATTTCTCTGCGCCTAGTACCACGCAGGCGCTATTTCGCCCCTTTGCCAACTGCCCACCCCCTTCTAAGAGAACACGGGACACACCCCTGGAGCTAATGCGCAAGCGCCGATTTTCCAACTCGCGGTCGGCTCTCAAGACGCATGCCCAAGCTGCGGCGGAGTTTCCCGCCGGAAGTTCCGCGGCGTGGCCACAGAGAGCGGGCTCGGCTCGCTAGCTAGAGGGGCTCTCTTCCGCCGCTACGGGGCGGGGGCGGCCATCTTGGGTGTGTGCTGTGGAGGCTGTGGCGGGATTGGCTCCGCGTCGGGGCTGGTCCTGTGTTCCCCACCTACCAGGGTTGGACCGAGCCCTTTCTCTCGGGGCGGGGACCTCCCAGCGGCTGACTCCTTCGCAGGTGAAGGGTAACCCGGGTATCCCCTTCCTCGGGGCCCTGGTCCGGCTTCCCGCCCTCGCAGCCAGGGCGGGAGAGCCGGGGAGCTCCTCTAGCGCCTCTGCTCCGTACACTCTTTGCGTTTCAACGGGATGGTAGCCAAGTCCCTCCGTGTTTTTCTCCATGCCAGATCCGCTGGGGAGGACACCGTCCTAAGTCGAGGAGGCGGGGCCGGGGCCTCCTTGGCTTCGATCCTGAAAGCGCAAAGGAGAGCGCTGGTCACGGTCCGCCCTCTCTGGTCCGGAGTAGTTTGGGGTCGCACCCTAGAGGCTGCACGGAGTCACACCCAGCGATGGACGTTGCGGGAAAGAGAACCTATTAAGTGGGGTGGTCAGGGCCGACTGGACGTGATACATTGAGGCTGTCTGAGCAGTTTCTACTTTCCCTTCTCCTAGCAGAAGACACAAATTGTGAAAATAGCGACTCAGTATCATGGCCAGCAGCCTTAATGAGGATCCAGAAGGAAGCAGAGTGCGTAGCAACTATTAACTTACCGGTGAACTGAAGTTCAGAATAATTGAGGTCAAAAGCATAAACACTTTTTTAATTAAACCTATAATTGAATTGTCTTTTTGTGTTTCTCTCTAGCTGATTTACGTAGGAAAGGCTAATACAATCCCAGGCAGACCATCCATCACGTCCCTTTTACACACGCTTTAATTCGCCGTGGTTAACTCTTTGAATTCTGAGGCTTGGACCCTTCAGTTCCCACTTTGGGAGCAGTGGGACAGAAATAGAGGTGGGGACAGCATAAGGCTAGGAAAGAAGTCGCTTAATACTTTTTTTGTGTTAATAAGGCATTTTTTTTCCCTTTGCACATTTTAGATCACTTATGTGAAAGGAGACCTTTTTGCATGCTCCAAAACAGATTCTCTAGCCCATTGTATCAGTGAGGACTGTCGCATGGGCGCTGGGATAGCTGTCCTCTTCAAGAAGAAATTTGGAGGGGTGCAGGAGCTGTTAAATCAACGTGAGTTTTGAAAACAGCTAACCTGTTTTGCCCTGGGTGGAATACCTCGTGACCATCTGTTATAGTTTAATTATTAGGGTGTACATGTAAAGAAGGGGATTCTAGTAACAGTGCTTTTAAGCCTTCAGATTATTTTTTTCCTTGCAATATCGGCTTCCTCTTTGATCCAAGTTTCTAATCTCTTCCTCCTTTGTCATAAAACTTTCCTGATAGTATTATTCCACTTCTCTAAAACGCCTAATAACTTTGCCACGTGTAGCAAAGTCCAATGATGTTTGCTTGACTTTCAAGATATTCTACTTATTGATACTGCTACTTATTTTTCAAGTAGTTTAGAAACCTTTTTCTTATAGATTTGATCCCTGCATCATTTCCCACCAGTACTGTTACTTTAAATCAGAGCTGTGCTTTAGAATCACACAGGGAGTTGCTGAAACAATTTCGTAAACCAAACTGTAGGCTTCCTGAATCAGAGAATCCTCCAGTCATTCTGCTTCCAGCCTTAGGCAACAACTTCTTACTGCTTTCTGTTAATGGTTATTTGTAAAGCTGAGCCTTTCTTTGGATTAAAACTTTATTAGGAACTTTCTGAGGTTTTTCGTGTTTAACACAACCCTATGTGTAAGGAGATTCCTACTGAATATGTTTGGCATTTGAAAAATGATTCATTCTAAAAGGATTTCAAGGCTATCGACATGAATACCTTCTAGGTGGATGGGTAAATACATTTGAAGGCAGAGGCAGAGTAAAGATGGGTGAACATGATTTCAAGCATGCTGTAAATTAAGGGATACAGTATTTGGGCCAGGTGAAGGGATCAAAGTTCCCCAAGACTTAAAGCTGAAAATTCTAGTTCTGATGTAAACTCAAATCTATAAAGATTAAAAAGATTTGAAGCTTAGAGATCAATGTGTTGGCTCTCTTTTTCCTTTCTACTATTAAATAACTGTTTTTCATAGAGAAGAAGCCTGGAGAAGTGGCTGTCCTGAAGAGAGATGGGAGATACATATATTACTTGGTAAGATGGAGCCCAGATCATCCACACAGCCTACCGACAGGTGAACAGAGGGGCTGCACTGCGTTTGTGTTGGTCACCGTGCTCCTTTCCGGACACCTAGGGACATCGAAAAGCTCGAGATCTCTGGCACCTTGGGTCCGGTGGTGCCTGTCACTTGGAGCCCTAGGGTGAAAAGGAGTGTGAGGCTGCAGCCCAGGGCTGCGGGCGGCTGTGCCATCTGCCGTCAGCCTGCGTTCGAGGCCATGAGAGCCAGGGATGCCTTCTTCCTCTGCCTGTGTCTCACCCAGCCTTGGTGAGATAGGAACAGTGGCTCAAGAGACAGCTTCCCCAGAGGGACTTTTACTCAGGGCTGTGAGCGCAGTGCCACATAACATGGAGTTGCCCACCTGGCTGCTGCCTGAGTGGGATTTTCTACCTGTCCAGCTTTGCCTGTGTGTGTGTGTGTGTGTGTGTGTGTGTGTGTGTGTCTTTGCACCTGATCTAGACATTAAACTTACTGGATAGATATCTTGCCCTGATGAATTCTGTCCTTTTGTTCTTTAGGAGTGAAGTGATTTTTAGTGTTTTCATTTTTAAAAACTACCAGTTTCTCTCTGTTCTGTATTATAGAGAAACGAACAGCAAGCCGGCACAGCTCTTAAGTAGACTTCTAACGGTATTTTCAGGTGTTGGGGTTCTTTCTTGTTCTAGACATGCAGCTTAGCTTTTGCAAGTGGCACAGAGACTGTCATCTACTTTGCTTAAAAATTACTGACAGTTGGCCCAATGTGCCAGTCTCATGGGTTCCTTTAGAGAGGAGAGGTTGCTACATGGTGGAGTTTGGCTTTCTCAGGCCCTGCACAGTGCATTTTCCTGGGGTTCTCCCGTAACACTATGGAAGGAGCAGTGTGACAATTGTCAGCCCTCCTTCAGCTTAGTTATTCTGTAACAAATCTTGAGTTGTCAGGCAAGGGAAGAATCTGATGGTTTCTCCCTGACTGTCATTTGGGGCTAATGAGAGTGTGGATCCTTTCTCTGTTCAGATCACAAAGAAACGGGCGTCACACAAGCCAACTTATGAGAACTTACAGAAGAGCTTAGAGGCCATGAAGTGCCACTGTCTGAAGAATGGAGTCACCGACCTTTCCATGCCCAGGCAAGGAAACCCAGGGGCCTAAATGGACACTTGGTGGGTGGGGTCTACTGTTTTACCAAAAGACAAACAGCTCTAAAGTTTAACTGGAAACTTAAAGTAGACAAATCTCCAGACTTAACAATTGCCAGGGAACCACTTTTCTGATGTGTAGGCAGCTTGCAAGCAAGTCTGTATTTCCTGGCTTTCTGTCTTGCCCTCCTTTTCATAGTGATCCTGTTCTTTGTCCTGTCTTCTTTTCATTTTAACATTCCATGATCATCAGTGCATTTTGAAAAATTACCATCTTTCCCACCCATCCACATCCAGCTTGCTTCGGGAGAGAGAACAGGATAGTGAGTCTGGAGCCGTGGCAGAGTTAGACGTTTTTCAGTGGAGCAGGAAAGAACCGAAAATGGTTCCTGTTAGGTGAAGGGAAGAGACTGTGGGATGTTAGCGCTGCCTGGGAACGGGCTGGGCGACCGTACTGCGAAGTCGCCTTGCAGATCCCCACGGCTGCCTGTGGGGTACTGCCTCGTGCTCTGGGTGGACACCTCCTGTAAGAGGGAAGGAGCGGTTTCCTAGGTGCCTTCATCACAGCCAGTGGAGATGTGTTGTCTTTTTTTTAGGATTGGATGTGGTCTTGATCGCCTGCAATGGGAAAATGTATCTGCGATAATTGAGGAAGTGTTCGAGGCAACAGATATCAAAATTACGGTGTACACACTGTGAGCAAATGAAGAGCATTTGGATGTGTCTGTGTCTCCAGTGTCTCCAGTGCCTACCTGGCCCTAAGACGGTCAGCTGACCTGAGAATGGGGAGAGGGATTTTACAGGAAGTACTCAGGGTCACAGATCAGGCTGGGGTTGCTGGATTTTCATATTTGGACTAGGACTCTGAGGAGGGATTGCGTGGGGATGTTGCTGTGTTTTTTGCAGCAGGGTCAGGAGTCGATGGCCTGATGTTAGCCAGGAAAACCGGATGGCGGGACCGCACGCAGTATGTTCTGCTCCACTATAGTATTCAATTCCTTGGCCGGCCACTAGGTGGCAGCACTGACTCCATTTCTCTGCTTTTTGAGAAAATTTCAGGAATGGTGGTGAACTTGGCGTTACTAGGGGATCCCTGTGCTTGCCTTGCTATCATTCTTAGGCATCAGATTCACCCTCAGAGAGACTTATGAGTTGCTTTGTTTTTGTTTCAATGACAAAATTGAGTCTGACATTGTTAACATGGAATTGTGGGTGATAAAATAAATCCTCTTGGGGTTCGGTGCTTGTGCCTGTGTGGATCAGGGCGACCAAGGATAAACCTGCAGCTTTACTTGGAAGGCTCCAGCAGGTCCACCGGGAAGAGGAACGGGATAAGAAGGTTTGGGTGAGCACTAGTGCCCGGCACAGTTGGAAGGCTGGGTTTGGATCTCATGGTGCCCTTCTTTCTGCAGTTTCTGCAGCTGAAACAGTAGACTCCATCCTGAAATAGTACATGTGAGAGGCGTCGTCGAGCCCAGCACAGAGGACTACCTCAGTGCATAAGTGATTTTTTTTTTTTGGTCTATTTCGTTTTTTATCGGTACCAGGGATCGAACTCATGACCACACACTTGCAAGGAAGGCGCTTATGCCGTTGAGCTAAATCCCCAGCCCCTGCATAAGTGATTCTTGACGTGGGAGGCACCGGACAAATGAGGCATTTTTCTTTTTTTGCTTGCTATGGTGCTGAGAGTTAACACAGCCAAATGGGCTACGGCTTTACTCCCTGGAGTGTGTGCTGGGCCGGCGGCTTTTCCTAGTGTAAAAGCAAAGCAGGATTTGAGGGGGGCTTGTTAGGACACCTGGAAGGCCCTGGTTAAGTGTAACCCGGGCAGGGCGGCCTCGAGACAGAGCAAAGCGTCGGGTTGTGGCTTTTCTTACCCCTTAGCTTCTGTTGGAAGCCATGATACAGAATTGGAGGGAAGAAGAGAAGGAGGGAATGTCTGCACAGCGTGGAAAATGAAAGTTGGCTAACAGGCAGCATGGAAGTAGTTTATTCAGCTCTAGGCAGAAGAAAAAATGCTTTCATCGTGCTCCGGATTGAACCCAGGGCTGGTGCATTTTAGGCAAACGTTTACCTCTGAGGTCCACCCCCAGGCCCCGTGTGAACAAGTCTTAACAGCTGGGTTCGAACATTAGTTCCCTAAGCTTGCTTTACTTTTAAATCAATTACAGTTGATTTTTTTTGTGGAGTATGAGCCTTGATTCTTCTAACAAAACCTCGTCTCACCCAGGTTGGCCTGTGAGTGGAGTTCTGGGAATCCCCAGGAATGTGCTGAAGTGCTCTTTGCCAGGGCAGCAGGTGTGGGGTCAAACTCCAGTGGCTTGCCACCCTTGTGGCCTGGGGGAGCCAGGCGCATGGCCTAATAAACCGAATGAGCACATTATTCCTGGAAACCCAGTTAGAGCCTGGCAAACACCCAGAAATTCTCCAGTGAAATATTTCCCACAAGGCATCCTCCTGCCATCGCTCCCCAGGACGACGTAGCAGACGGTTCTGCAGCAGGTATTGGGACATGGAACTCTGCCCTTCCACCTTCCTTTAATCAAGATGCTAATTATTAACTGGCGATTGGGATGTAGTTCTCTTCTAACAATCCCTGTGTTTTTAGTTTCATCCTCGCCATATTTCAGAGTAAAGGGCAAGCTCTCGTTTACAAGTGATCTCGGGAAAATTCCTTTTAACGGTCAGGATGGTGGCGGGTATGCACGGGAATGTTCCTGTGTTGTCTAGACAAGTCCTAGTTTAATTGGCCATTTTTTTTGAGGCAGAGCCTTACTTTATAGTTCAGGCTGGCCTTGACTTACCGTTTAACCCAGGCAGGCCTCAAACTCATAGTAATCCTCCTGCCCCAGACTTCCGGTGCCAGGATTATAGCCGTGCGCCACCACGCCCTCTGTCCCTTACTGCTATGGCTTGGGTCTTAGCCCCAGCCATCCCTAGGCCAGGGACTCACTATCCATGGTAACTTCCTGGTACCCAAGTTCCTTAAGAAACCAGGCCACAGAGAAACCACACTATTTCTTTTATTGAGTTGCTGTCTTTCTTTAAAAAAAAAAAAAAAAAACCACAACAAAACAGCACAACGGAACAAGAAATGCGCTTCTGGACATACTGAAAGCTCTGCACCTTCAGGCTGAGGCCTCTGCCTAAGTGGCCACACTGGGAAAGCAAACCCTGGACCTCCAGGAGCCGCGAGCTTTTCTGTTTGTCACTCCCTCGCCTTCTTCCTGACCGCAGCTCTGGAGAGAGGCACAGCCTAAGTGAACCACAGCGGTGAGAAGTGTATTTGGAATCCACTGAGGGCCTTGTCCAGGATGGGTTGGTGTCAGGTGCCATCCAGCGCCAGTGGTGTCCGGAAGGCAGGCATGTCCCAGGCAGCACACGTGTCCCTGCTGTTTGGTGGTGGCAGCAGGCAGACCTTGGTGAGAACACAGCACGTTACTGAGAGCTCGCACCCCGCTTGGCTACCGGTTTGCTCCTGAGCTAAGTTTCTGGGCACCTTCCCCATCCGGCCCCTGAATTTCTCTGTGCTCACCTGTGGCCCCTGGACAGCCCGGGATTGGGTTCCTTTTATTAATGCTTTGTTTTGGTTCACACACAAAAAGCCCTAGAGAAGATTGGCTTTAGTTCTGTTCTCTTGAGTCAAACATGGTTCTACATTGTTATTAAACATGAAATGTGCAATAAGAGATACAAGGCACATTTTATTTAACAACTCCTCATTTCGTGGGTTATTTCAATTAAGCCTGGTTATTGTTTCGGGCTTGTAGATTACAAAGGTATTTCATGACTTTAAAATTACATTTTCACCTTCCCTTCAGGAGCAGGGGCAGCACGGGGCAGGGAGGCCCATTCCTGGGCGTGAAGAGATAGCTGGGCTGTACACTAAAGGGAGATGCTCAGTAATATTCTATATTTTAAAAACTCTCACTTGGAAATGAACTTTTCTCTTAAATTGGCTTATTGCTTTGACTTCAGTTAATACTAGATATAACCCTTATTTATCCAAAACCAAAAGATCTTTAAAATCCTCCTTGAATGTTTCATTTTAATTGGAAAAAAGATATCTGAAGAAAAAAACCAAACCACAACAAAATGTTTGAGGCCTTGCTAGTTATGTAGCTAGAAGAAAGGTGCCCATGAAAGGTGTTTAAGAACAAAGTCTAAAGTTGGGTGTGGTGCATGCCTTTAATTCCAGCACTGTGCAGGCTGAGGCAGGAGGAGCGCTCAGAGTTTGAGGTCAGACTGGACTACACAGTGAATTCAAGGCCAGTCAGAAGTGCGTAGCGAAACCCTGTCTCAAAAAGAAAAAAAAATAGGGTTAAAATTAACCTGCCAGTGGTCATGTGTGGTCTCTCTGGGGTTTATAATTATAGTAGCTACTTACAAGTTCTTTAAAGCACTTTAAAAGGTAAGCTTTGGCTTTTCAGAGTCCCTGAGAGATTCATCTTCATGTGAGCAGATGTCACATGGTATCACCCTACCATAGGCCCTCTGAGGTCAGGGACCAGGTCCTGCTGCCTCCTAGAAATGGCTTCATGCAGACCGTGCCTGGATGCTGCGTCCAGCGCCCCGCCTGATGACAGCCACCGAGCTGCCTGCCTGCCTCACAGGAAGCACCTGCCAGCGTCGGCCTGCGACCCACCGGTGTTCCTTCAGCACATCTACGAAGCAGCATCTTAAGGGTATTAGTCAGGAGAAACACTCACCATAAATTGAATTACATTCACGGAGGCATGTTGCTTTTGTGTTTAATATGTGGCTTGTTCCAGAATTAAAGCCACAGAGGAGGGAGAAATGATCAGTAATTCTCACCTTACAAAGGGCTCAGTTCAGCCAGCCTTTCCGTGGGAGCAAACTAGAACAGACCGAATTCAAAAGAAGATGGCAAAGGATCCTTTCCCCTTCCCCAGGATAATCGGCCTGTTTCTCTGAAAGTCTAATCTACCCTCAGCAAGAGGCCAAATTGGGCTTTAATTGTGTCCTAATTATTTGCTTAAGTAGCTAATCTTTGCTTCCAGGTCTCCTATCACCTCCCGATATCTGTAGGAGGCTGCACCTGAGCTGCTGCCTCATTTACAAGCATCTTTTTAACCCTCTCACACATTCCTTATCAACTGGCTTGTTGCTGTGCACCGGGCTCTTCCCTGAGGCGGCTCATGAGCTCTTCTCAGTGAGGAAGACTACACATTCGCACAATTATTGATCTCCCTCAAAGCATAACTGTTTGTTTGAAAACATGAAAGCAGGTCTGGCCAAAACCAAACCAAAACAAAACAAATCGACTTGGGGATTTGAGAATTAACCAAAGACCAGAGTTGCCCTCGAAGGATAAAAGTCCTGTCGTAGAGAAAGCACGGAGGTTAAGAGTGCAAGCGGGTTTGGGGGCCGCCCATCTAGAAGCTGCCCTGGGGTGCCTGAGCCGCGTCCCGGGCGTGCCTGGGGCTCTAAACATCCCTGCTTACCCCGCGGCGGCCGGCCCCTGTGCCATCTAAATCTACCAAAGCTCATTCTGTCTCCGAGCTTGGGGGTCTCAAGTTATGGGAAGTTAGTTTGAAATGAAACATAGGAGAGGAGATAAAAGGGGACTTAGGGACAGGGATTTAAAGGAAAGAAAAACGAAGCAATGTTTTAAAACGTTTTTTACAATCAACCCGAAGCAGAGAAATGCAATCCTTCCGAAGGCAAATCAGTGGCACACACGCTACACAACCCCGCACCGTGCACCTACGGGTTAGCAGCTGTCCCGGCACCCCCAGAACTCACAGGAGGCCGAGGCCGGCGCCTACTTCAGGATGTCCGCCAGCTTGTCCTCGTAGTAGAGGAAGTTCTCCTGAATGTCCTCCCAGGGCTCAAACGCCTTGGATTCACCCTCTTCTTGCTCCACAAAATTCTGCCAGACATACTCGAAGTCCTGGGGCTTCATGATGCGAAGCCTGCAGCCGGCCTCCTTGAGCTTCCGCAGCGCAGCCTGGATCTCCGGCTCCTCCCACATGAAGAGCCGCCCCACCAGGATGAGCAGGCGCAGGTTCTTGGTCTTGCCCAGGGTTTTGATGATGCGATCGGCGCAAGCCGCACAGGGGCTGGAGGACACGTACCAGGTGACGTTGTACCGCAGGGCCGGGTCGAAGGCCGGCAGAACGCTGTTGAAGAAGGCTTCCTCTGCGTGGGCAGCGGCGTGCTCGTCCTCCAGGTAGCCCCGGGAGGCCTGCACTTGGCCTCCCTTGCTCTGCACTTCCACCACGTAGCAGAGGAAGGTCTTGTTCCGCCCAGAGCTGTACTCCACGTTCCGGAACTGGAACTTAAAGAAGTTGACAGGCAGCCGCTCCCTGTAGGCCAAGGAGATAAAAGGAAGGGGCAGAAGAGGGAAGATGAGCCCTAAGAACCAGCTTGGAGTAGGTAGGTCTCCAAGACACACTGATTGTCACACAAGCGGGGCTTTCCTATGCTAATGTCGGTGAGCAAAAGGGCAGGAAGGCGTCCAAAACTTTATGTGGAGAAGAGGAGGAGCCAAACGCAGTTTCTGCCATCTGTCCCAATGCAGCACACTGCTTCTGTACTGGTGAGTCTCTAACCTGGCCAGATCTGCTTAGAGTCACACAGAGAGCCTGCTTAAAACACCAGCACCTCGGTCCCACACCTCACCATTGAGACCAAGATGTCTGGAGAAGGGTCCCAGGCACCAGCGTTTGAAAACCAAAGAAACAAAACCCCTCTAGATGACCACCATAGGTGGCCACATTTGAGAAGCAGTGCTCAGAAAGGGATTTTACCAAGTAGCAAGCATGCTAAATTGCTCACGACAGAGCACGACAAAGATTTTGCACATTTCATGCTTTTATTTCTCCTCCCTGCAGCTCATGTAAATTGCATTTTGAGCATGGCGTGGCCTGTGTCTTGTAGAACCATGTTGTTCTATCGACTGTTTCTCAGGTCCATCTTTTCTTCCAGGTGTCCTGAGGTTACTGCCCAAGAGTCTGTGCCCATGTGGCAAGACTCCCCAAGGGTGCCCTGGGGATACTGTATAACAGTATTGAGTCATTTCAGAATCTTGAAAAACTTTGCCTGTCCCTTCCCGGAGGCTTATCATCTAGCAATTAGATTGTCATTGGACCAAGAATTCATAAATAAAGATTTTAGAAGACTGAAAATGTAGACAGATAGAGAAGGGTTCATGTGAATATTTCACCTTGATTCAAGAAGCAGGTGAGAACTGTTTGCAGTTCTTGACAAAAAAAAAAAAAAAAAAAGCACACACACACAAATAAAAGTAATGTCCAGGGGAGGTCATTGTGGCAGCCCTGGACTGGTGGAGTGTGGTTGGAGAGAAAAGCCTGTAATTAGGAGCTGGGGGTTTAGCTCAGCGACATAAGTGCCTGCCTTGCAAGCAGGCAGTCGTGAGTTCGATCCCTGGTACCGATAAAAATGAAAAAGACAAAAAAAAAAAAAAAAAAAAAAAAAAAAAGAAAAGCCTGTAATTAAAAAGGACCCCGGGATTGGCGATGTATAGCATGGGTATCAGTGGCTTGAAGGTGGAGAAGCACGGTCCAGAAATGAGGGCAGCAGGAAGAGTCCGGGTGTTTTGGAAAGCTTGGCACGAATAAGAAAGATGGAATGAGAGTGTCTAGAGGACATCAGAGCTGAAGAAGCTTGGGGTGAGCTACGGGGTGTAGCTCTGCGGTAGAGCACTTGCCCAGCAGGCGTGAGACCTGGGTCCCCTTTCCTCCCTCCCAGGTGTTATCTCTGTTCCTGGCCCTGAAGATGCCCCGCAGCACACATACCCCCATTGCTTCTCTTCCTTCCTTCCCTTTCCCCAGAAAGCTCACCAGACTCCGGGGGCTGCAGGGGAATCCCTGGTGTCCCAAGGCCCTGGCTGCTTAAGGATGCACAGCAGATGCCGCAGAGCTGAGTACCCCTGAGTGATTTCCCTGCAGGATTCCCTCCCCCACTGCCAACTTTTTTCCGCCCAACTTGCCAGCTCTTTTGCTGTCAAGTGAAGTTTCTGCTACAGAGATGGATGTGTTTGAGGACCCAGCCCCAGGATTCCTTTAGGTACTATACTTAGCTTCCTAAGCCCCTCTGTCCCTAGCTGGAGGTGTTTATTATTTACTTAACATTTTAGCAGGATGGATCACCTGATGTGTCCCCTCTCCTCTTTCAATCCCAGCTGGAGATTCACTCATATGAGCTTCTCCTGGTCACCCCACGGACCACTCCCAAACTCTCAGGAGCCCTCCAGTGGTATTTTGCTCTGAGAGGCACAGTGTGTACCTTTTTTGCCCAGTGACTTTTTGTTTTTCAAGGCATTCTGCCAGCCTCCCCTGCCCCAGTGCCATCTAGAGTGATCTGTATGAGGGGTCTCTAGTAGGAACCCCAGGATATACTCATGGTTACCTGGTTGGCTTGGGGGCTTCAGCAGCAGCTGTCTGTGCAACCCCTCAGGCTTTTGTCTGGAACCCCCAAAGCAGCCCTGCCCGGACTATCACTGAGGCCTGGCACACAGTCACAAAGTGGCCTGAGGGGTGCAGGAAGGCTACTTAGCCCCCCTGAAGAGTGGACATTCTCTCCTCCTCCTCTCCCCTAGGCAAGAGGAGAAATCCCAGAGAAACCTGAAACCCACGGGAGAGGAAGAAAGGTCACCTCTCTATAAATATCTGTTTCCAAACTCTCTGCCCAGTGGCCCCGGGGCCTGCTGGGTGCCTCGGCCAGCCAGGCCTTCAGGACTGGGGGCCTCAGAAACGCTTTCAAGGCACGAAGGCAAGGCAGGGACGGTCTGTGCTTTGGGTCTACCCCAAGCTTGAGCTTGCTTGGCTTCTCAGTGGACTTCATGGTCTTTTAGAAGGAGCAAAATGGCCAGATTGGGTTTCTTAGGGCCTCCTGCAGATGAGCACACCCAGGTCCTGAAGGGATACCAGAACAGATGTGTTAGTGATAGGAAACTTCTGCAGAGAGTTGGAAGACACCTTGGGCAGTTCTGTGGAGTCACAAGGTAACACTGTAATACTCACCAAGTGGAAGTAAAGAAATTAGAGACACCAAACTTCTCAATTGCAAACATCATTTTCCTAATAAGATATTTCAGTCTCAAAGCCAGCAGATATCTCACCGGTAAAGGAGTGTGCACACACACATGTGTGTGTATGTATACATGCGTGTTGGGGTAGTGCACTGGAGAGAGATGCTGATCCAAGAACCCCATCTCCACCTCCCTGAGGCACAGAAGCCAACAATGTGAGGATTCTCAGTCTTAGGCCTCACTTCTTTTAAGTGTCACAGGAAAGGCTGTCCACACTAGCTGCTTGGAACCAGGCTACCAAGCATCATCGAGCACCCCACTTTTCTAAGAGGGAACCCAGAACCTTACAGCCTTGCAAAATATGGGGACATGGCCTGCTTGATGGGGGAGAAGAGAAGTGAGAATGCGGTACATATTTTCTTCAGGGTGCATTAAATAAAAGCTTTCGCCTAAGCATAAATCTATACAGGAGCAACACAGAGGGCTGGGGACTTGGCAGATTAAAGGTCTGCTCTGAAGCTTCCTGCAGAGTAGAACATCTCCTCACAGTGATTGGATGGTGGCTTACTTGAGCTACGGCTCGCTAAATCTGTCAGTGATGGTTCAAAGGAGTTGGGGTTGTGGGTTTCATTGGTACTGTCTTTTTTGGACCACTTTCAAAGTAGGTGACAATGAGTGGACTTAGTTGGGGACAGAAGGGCAGAGCCGAAGCAGAAGGTTCTAGAGCTGAGGAGGCAGCTTGAGATTTGCAAGACTGGACTGGGTTCTGCCCAAGGCAAGCCCAGAAGGGCAAGCCCTTCTCCCTGGGAGACACTATCATTCTGCAAGCTCTGACCCTCTGCAGTCACCTGTCACCTGCTCTGTATGGTGCACCGTCCAGCATGCTCTGGTGGCCAGGGGTAGCCTTAAAAGTGGCATTGAAGAGCCCTTGCTTCCCCCGTGTCCCTTTCCTTCTAGATCCTGCCTCCTGTCTGGGTTCCTCGTGTGGCCTGAGGGAACTCCTGGTGGCTGAAAACTGGCCGTAGAAAACCCGCGCCCTCTACCCTTCATGTCTGCTCCATAATAGTCCCATCGCTCCTGCAAGATCATAACAGCACAACTGGAGACACAACTGGAGAGGAGCACACATCCGGGTGCTGCCAGGCAGGGCCACAGCTCTCCTTAGGGTGGAGAGATGGAGAGAGGGGCAGACAACCAGCCTCTGTGTCCCAGAGCGCCCCTCACTTGCCACAGTCAGAGGTGGGCATGTGCCAGCATTCTTAGCTGAGCTCTGCACTGCCAGGCCCCCGTGTGCCCCAAGCCTCTCTCCCCAGGAAGCTGCCCTCCAGTTCTCCTATCATGTCGCCTTGCAAAGAACCTAACATACAGCAGGTGCCCATTCACTGGTTCCTTCATTCATTCACCAAGTATTTGCTGAGAACGTACGAGGAGCTGGAAGCTGGGGAAAAGCAGTAAAAAGATGAGGTCTCCTTCCTCATGAAGGGTCGATACACGCGGAGGGGAGGGACAGGCAGCAGGGACAGTCCTAGTCAGTCAGTATTGATGGACTTACAGGGAACCCTCTTTTTGGTTTTGAGGTGCACTGTGGTGCTCCAGAGCGGGCCAGTCCTGGGGTTCATGCCTGCTCCCTCTACCAATTCCCTGCAAACCGCCTGTGCCTCTGTAGTGTTGAGCCTTTGTTCCCTTATCTGAAGAGCTGAGTAACCAGCCATGGACCAGGGCATCCCGTAAATTAAAGGCGGTATTGAGGACGGCGCTGTCTCTGGATTGCTTAAGGTTATCAAACCTGGTCCGGCCAACAGCCTTCCTTTCATGTCTAGCGCTTCCTTTTCATGTGTGCTGCTAAGTTTTAACACTCAGGTTTCCAAAATAAAGAAAGAAAAAAGAAGAACCCCAAACTCCTGATTGCTCACATTCTCGGATGTCTCTAATCTCAGTACTCCCGCCGTGGAGATTTGCAGACAGCCACGTGAAGTCACCGACACAGATAGTGAGCGATGCACGCGCTGCACTCCCAGGTCTAGGGAAGGAGGCGGCAGCTCGCCCTGCATTTCACTGCCCTCCCGCACCTTCAGCCCTGTTCCCGTGCTGCTGTGCTCCGGCTGCCTTCTGTCCTCGATGCCCCATTCAACCACGACCGCTACAAGTGGGCATCTCTCCTTTTCCCTCCATGCACCCCTGCTCGCTTCAGACGCTTCCCAGGAAGCCAGCTGCTGTCCTGCTCCGCTGCATCCCAAACCTAAGGAGCAGTTTGGATCCATTCTTGGTGAGAGTCCAGAGCAGGAGAGGAGCTGTTTGCTGACCTCCGGGTTCCAGGGAATATGGAGAGGTGAGGAAAGGGAAGCTGCCTCCTCGTTCAGTCCCTGCACAGACAGCCACACCTCTGTGCTATTTTAAGCATCTATTTATCCAGAGGGGCCCAGGGAACAGATTTCCACAGCTGTCACTTGAGGCCAGCTCCACACTCGGGGTTCCACCTCCTGCTGAACTGCTCCAAACGATCAGTAGCAAAGGTGCCCCCACCCATACCTCTTTGAGCCTGGGGTCAGGAGAAGCCCCTAGCCCTCACTGTCTTGAGGATGGGTACAGGTGACACTGCTAGACACCGGGGCCTAGCATGATGGAGAGACCAACCAGTGCACAGGACACTGGTTGAAGACCTGCCAGTTCCTGGTGGGCTTGGGCTTTCACTCAGTCTCCTTGAGTCTCAGTTTTCCCTTCTGTAAAATGGAAACAATAAATCCTTCTCTCTTAGCACTTGGCTGAGGGTTCGGCGAACTCATTCACTTGGAGGTTTGTTGTACTGGTGAAGTCCTGGCCAGAGGTTAGTTATAGCAGAGTACTTAACCCTTTGGGATCCACTGCTCTGGGACCTCAAAGCATGTTCAACCCAGCAGACTTAGCTGAATTCTATTCTGGACTAGAATCTGGTCCAGGAATGTGCTGGGAAATCACAGTGCTATAAGAGGGGAGTGTGTGTACCTGCATGTGCATGTGACCCAGGGTGGGGTGACCCAGCGTGCCCAGGCGGAAGAGAAGGCTCGTCTTCCATAGACAGCCACTGGAACTGGGGGATGTTACTGGCCTGGTTGCCCCAGGATCTCCCTGTATCCACGTTACCCAGGGCCCAGCTGCTTCCTTAATCCTAGGATGAGGCTGAAACTGTTGGGTGAGCAGGCGCAGACGGAAGTGCCAGGCTCCTCATGCCTAGGAACTGGGCTGTCTTTTTCCATACACTTAGAAATCGGGTAACCTCTGAGCCAGAAGGGGCCCTAGGACTCAAGGAGGGTCATTTCCTTGTTAAAATGATAAAGCCAAAACCAGGACTGGGAAATCACTGGGCAACCAGAAAGTGTCAGGTCCACCCCTTGACCCCCGGCTGTCCCTCCTCCTGGAGCCCCCATTCCTTTGTTCATTCTGAGGTGTGACACCCACTCTGCCTTGACCCCCAAGAAGGAACCTTGGGGTCAGGGAGGAAATGTGGCCTCCGAGATTTGCTTTTTTTTGTTGGGCCTCCTCTACAGGAATAGACAGGGAAGAGGAGGAAGACATCTTGGTTTTATTCCTAGAGAAGATGGCGATGAGCTAGACAAGACAGAGGGACGCTATATCTGTCCCCTCTTCGGAGCCTCGGGGTCTTTCTCCTGACCCGCCAGGTCTTCCAAGCTGTGGCTGGGGGTGTGACAGCAGTTCCTGTCCCTGGCCTTTCCTGTCTGTGCTGCAGCCATCTCCCTCCGGGTGGAAGTGGACAGTCCTGAGGACGCTTGGGAGAGATTCAGTGAGGGAAAAGCTGCTTTTCAGCCTTCAGGAGGGACGAGCCTGTGTCCCCTGCCTTGGGATCTTCTGCCTGAGAAACAAGAGCCACGGAAAGCCCGACAGAGACAGACGCACACAGGAGAACTAGGTAGGAGCAGCGAGAGAGTTTGAGGCAGGTTGGGGGCCTTTTAATCAGGACCATTGTAAGAGTGTGTCTCCCCAAACTCCTTAGGACTAAACAGCTACCTGGGGGGGGGGCGCGCAGGTGACTCTCAATTCTAAGAAGCCTACGTACCAGTGGTTTCCCTCTGGGCCTTTGCCTCTAAGGGCTCCTCCTACCTCCTGATCAGAGTCCAAGGTGTCTCCCTAAGAAGCCAAGAGAGCTCTGCCCCAGGGGGCTCTCTCCAGGAAGGCGACCCCGCCCAGCCTGCCTGTGAATCTCACCCCTTGACGATCTCAAATGGTGGCAGCTGGATGAGCTCCTTCAGCTTCTCGGGGTCCGCCAGGTCATCCAGGTCCTCCTCCCCATTTTGGGAGGCAGGTGCAGCAGCCGCTTCGGCCTGCGTGGCCTCTTCCTTCTGGGCCATGAGGGGCAGTGGCTCAGGAGTCCCCGAGAGACTGAGGAGAGGCTGCAGGTCTGGCCAGGCCCCGGTGGCAGCGGCAGTGTCCCAAGCAGCTGTCAGCAGCTCTGGCTGGGGATGAGGAAAGAGGACCCGGCAGGCCAGGCTGCGGCTGCCCGCTCCGCCACAGCTTTATAACCAGGCCTCCCGCCCCTCCCCCACACCCGCACCCTCTCTGCTCCTGAAAACTGAGTGACTGCGGTGCCAGGATGGGGCAATGGAAACTCTGGCCATGAGGAGCCCCTATTTATCAGTGGCAAAGACAGGAAGTTGGCAGGTGGGGAGCCCTGGCCTGCTTTTCTCTGCCTCTTCCCTTGTTTCAACCTGGGCTTTTCTCTTTGTTTCTGTTTCTGCTTCCCAGCTCCATTAGGGCCAGAGAGGATTATGGGGAAAGGCACGGGGCTGCCGTCCTGAGATTTAGGGGGAAGCCCTTGCTCAGGTTGAAGTGGGGTAAGCTGGATATTGAGTGGGGTGACTGCAGATAGACCTCTGCAGTTTACAGCGGAGTACCCTGAATTTAGGGAAAGAGGGCTCCCCGGGAAGGGTAGGGTGAACACTGGCTGGAGAGAGCATGTGAGGTGTAAGTCAAGGTCCCTGATTTCTCTGTGTTATGACAAGTTGTCCAGGAGTTTCATGGTGACAGCTGCTGAAGTTGATGACTTTGAAAGAGACTGGACAGAGTTTAGTGGTTTCTACTGGCCCAGAAGGCTGTGTGTGCCCTTCCTCATGACACGTGGGGAGACGGAGGCTCCAGAAGTGTTAAGCACCTTGCTTAAGGTTACGCAGCTGGAAAATGGAGGACGCAGGATTAGAAACCCAGCTGTGCGCTCTCCAGGGTCATTCGCAGCCTCCAGACCTAGCTCCCTCTCAGCGGGCCTTTAACTGTTTAACAGAGGTTTATTGGGCACCTGCTCGAAGCCAGGGGCTGGTTCTGGTACTGGGACAAAGCAGAGTCCCTACCCTCGAGGAGCTGAATGATACATAGAGGAGTAAGATACATTCTCTGCTTGGTGGCTGCTGGTCATGCTAAGGGGAAAGAGAGTGGACAGTGGCAAGGGAGAGATGACATTTTTGTTGCATGGCCAGGGAAGGACTTTGCAAAGGAGATGATTGGGAAACCATCTGAAGGGGGTGAGAGAAGTCTAAGGAAAGAGCATTCCAGGCAGGGGTGCAGCAGGTGCTGAGGCCTGAGATGGGGGCTCTTCCCGGTGTGGACCCCTGTGTGGCTGGAAAGGTCCAGGACAGGAGGCCAAAGAGAGCCTGTGCTGAAGAGGCTGGGGCCTTTGGGCTCTCCCGAGGACCTGTTATTTTCTCTGTGAGATGCAAAGCCATCCTCTCTGCAGAGATGAGACACACATCTAACTTCTTTTTGGATCACTTGAGCTGTTGGACTAAAATTGAAGCAAAAATGGGAAACAGCAGGAGCAGGGGCATCAGGAGGAAACCTCTTGAAACTAGAGGAAAAAAATAATGAAATGACCAGGAGGGTTTTGTAGCTCATATGATGGGCGCTTAGCAAGGGGCCACACGCGTTCATGTTTGGTGCAATGTGGACATTGGGACATTGGTTGGGGGAAGGAAGGAGGTGCCTGTGTCACCTCAGGTTGAGAGGAATCTAAGAGCATTGGGGTGCCAGTCTGAAAACAGCTGCAACTGTGCTAGATGGTGGAGAAGAGGAGGCAGGGTTCTGCATATTTGGGGTTCCCTTCTCCAGGGAGAGTTCTGAGCAGCATGTGTGGTTAGCATAATGCCCAGCATTCTGGCTTGCCCGCGATGGCCTTGGTCTCTCCCAGTTGCACAGGCATGATTGCCAGAGGAGTTCCCGTGTGGACAGTAAGTGATCCGAGCACCCTGCCTGCTAGACTTATTGCTAACAGCACCCTGGTCCAGAGATTGTTTTTAAATATTTTCCCATGAGACTCAAGGTACAAGTAATAGTACCCCCAAAGGCAGGAACAACTGATAAATAACACAAGGATGTTTGTTGTGATGCAAACACACAGCCCTGCGTTGCGAAGAGTTTATTCCATTCTCATTGTTTCATCATCATTTATCGAAGTTTCTTAGGCAGGAAACACCAAGAATAGAGGTGAACGGCCAGGTGTGGAAGTCTTTGTAACAGCTGGGGCATTAATCAGGCAGTCAAGCGTGTGTTACCCCATTTATCCCTCCCAGGCAGCACTTGTATGCTGGTGTGAATTATTGACCTTACTTTACAAGTTAGGGACCAGTGTCTTAGGAAGGCGATGTGATTTGTGCAAGATCAACATGGATTTGAGTCCAGATCTGTAGAGCCTAAATTCAGCCTCATTTCCCAGGCAGCACCCAAATACCCCTGATTCGCTATCTCTAAAGCGTTAGGAATGGGCGGTGCTCTTACGTTATAGCTACGGGGATGTTGCTTGAATCAGCTGAGAGAAAGTCAGATGTCCCCAGGCGGGTGGATGAATCCATCATTTTGTTTTCCCCAGAGGCAAACGCTTTCGCCCTGCGGAAGAGTTCTTTCTTACATTTTGCCTTTCTCTTATAATCCTGGAGTAGGAGGAAAAAAGAACTCATGGTCCCATCTGTCAGCCCCGAGTCACTCTATGACTGTGGCCAGATCCTTTCATGTCTCTGGGCCTCAGTTTCCCAGGCTACCCCAGTGTGTTAACACGCTACCCAGGGTGGGTGAGAGGAAGAAGGTAAAGGAGCAGGGTGGGCAGGAGAAGAGTGCAGTGGGGTGAGCAGGGGTGAGCTTGCTGGTTCTCCTCAAGGCTCTGATCATCACACTGGCTGGGATGTGTGCAGAAGTGACCCCTTTGCTCCTAGACACTTTGGGAGAGCATCCTGGGGCTCCCCCAGACCCACAGGACAGCTCCCTTTCGCAGATCTCCTTTCCTGCCCCTGCCCCCACCCTCACCCCTACCCGTTAGCCCCAGAGGCCTCTGAGTGTCCTGGCGCTGGCTATTTATGGCACCTCCCAGGGACCTGCATTCCGGGCTGAGTGCTCCTCTCTGAGTCAGACCCTTTCCCCCACAGGCCCCCGCAGTGCAACAGCTAATCTGGGGGATCAGATGCCAGGGGCTGGCTCCTCCCCCTGCAGCTGCCACTGGACTCTTTTTAAGACTGTCCCCCAGCACCCATTAACTCTACTGGGGAAGGTTCTTTCACCCCGCTCCTGCACAGGAGGAAATGGAGTGAAGAATTTCTTGCAAGGCTCCGTGGAGTTAGCAGCACACTGGGATTTGAACCCAGCTGCTCAGCCTGCGAGCTCTAGGCCTCTGCTGCCGCCCAGATTCTGGTAACAAGCAGCGCCGGTTTTAGTTGCTCTAAGCACTTGTAGATGGAGTCCCTTACTCCTCACAAGGATGCCCAGGGCCGGGTACAACGTACTATGATGCCTTTACACCGGTGGGGAAACTGAGGCCAAGAGGGGATGTGGCTACTGAGGTAGAGCCCTTCATTTTCAGATTGACGCCCTTTACCCGTCACCATTCAGTGCCTCCTGCCCCAGCATCTTAGAGATCAGCAGAACAAGGCCGGGGTGCGGTGTGGGGATTGGAGGAGGCTCAGGGGGAGTTCGGGCAGGGAGAGACAGCTTGGTAGTATTTGGTGTTGAGGAGTGTGTGTGTCTCAGGGCTGCAGGGCAGATAGCAGGTTCAGTTTCTTGGGGTCAGAAACCCCAAAGAGACTTTTGATGGGCCCTGTTTACTTCTTTTTTTTTTTTTTTTTTCTGTCTTTTTCTTTTTTATCGGTACCAGAGATCAAACTCACGACTGCACACTTGCAAGGCGCAGGCGCTTATGCCACCGAGCTAAATCCCCAGTCCCAGGCCCTGTTTACTTCTGCTGGTGCTGGCAGGGCGGAGGTTAGGCTTGGGATGAGCTGAAGCCTTCCACGCCTGGCCCCACCTTCCATGACCACTTCCAAAAACATTCTGGGGCTCTCCTGGTGGCTGAGATGGAGGAGGAGGAAGAGGAGAAGGAGGAGGAGGAGAAGGAGGAGGAGACAAGGCCAGGAACAGCCCTTCCCTGGGTCTTGGCCCAATGGGAAGGGAGCGGTGGGCAGGACAGGGGCCATGGAAAGTAGGACTCGCACCAAGGGAAAGTTTAAATTCTCACCCGTGTAAGAAGACACCTTGAGGGCATGTCAGTGGAGTGGGTGCTTTATGTGTGAGGACAGCTGGACCCCAACAACGCGTTGCCCCAGAGACCCAGCCAGGGTGTGCCTGCCTTTCCGGTCACTACTGAGACAAGATACACAAACAACAGACTGTGGGCAGCAGACACCCCCTGGCGGGCCAGAGCCTGAGCGCTGTGGCAACTGCCCCGTTGACATAAACATGGGTGTCCAGGGCTTTGAGCGGCTTTGCCAGAGAGTGGGGAGGAAGCCAGGGGTCTCCCAGACTCCGAAGCAGGGATCCAGGGAGCAGGCCGGGGCTTTCAGCTTTCTCCCCAGGACATGACATTTACCCTGCTTTGGAAGACACACTGCCCTGGTGACACTCAGAATTTTCATCCTGGTCTCTGCAGGTCTCCCTGCCAGCAGCCTCTCCTAGCGTTGCCAAGTGTTCCCCTTTGGTGTGCCTGGCTTGAGGCTTTGAAGAACATGATCTGATAAGCCTGGTGCCCACTAGGGTGACTAACATTATTCCTCTTTGGAGGTGTGTTTGCAAGGCCAGGTCACTTGCTGGGAGAGAGCTGTGCAGATGACATCAATTTTTGAGAAGAGATTTGAGCCTTTGAGATGGGAAAGTGTTGGGGTCAGTGTAGGTGGAAGGGACTGAGCTTCTCCAGCGCTCCTTAATGCAGATCATTTCTGTGTGGCCCGGGGCCTTGAGGGACACAGATGGTGGATAATGAGTAGAATAGACCCAAATAGACATGGGAGACTGCAGAGTGATTGAGATGGATTCTCCTGGTTTGCCACTGTCCAGATGCAATTGAGGGCAGGGCTTCGGAAGGAGGAAAATGCTTTAGGGAGCTCTACCTGAGGACAAGAGGAGGACTGAGACCCAAGGGGGTCCCCAGAGAAGTCAGTGTTCACCCAGTAACTTGTGAGCTGTGAAGGAGAATCATCAGTAAGATCTTTGAAGCAGAAGGGTCTTGTACTTGTTTTCTGGAACTCTCTGAAGGCTCTGAAATTGTGCTCAGGGTGCAGGGATCCCCAAGAGATAAAGGGGATGGCAGCCACCACAAAGGTAGACCAGAGAATTTAAAGCCTATGATATGGAGGTGGCCGGTAGGGGCCTCTGTGGCGCTGGCTGCACAGGCCTGGAGGTAGGAGGAGAGGGGCACAGAGGGGCACACCTCCTGCACTCTGCAGCCCAGCCGGGTGGCCAGCCTCTGTGGCCTGGGTATACACCCAGCAGTCTGCACCCTCACCACCACGCCCTCTGTGTCTCCAATCTGTAGAAACTGGCCCAGCAGCCAAAGAGCTGGTGGGATGAGTTTTTGCTTTGTTTCTTAAGAACAATTTTGGGGGCAGAGGGTAAGAATTTGAGGCCAGGATCCTGCCCTTCAGGCTGGATTTCTGTAAAAGGACCAGAAGCTCTACAGTTTGCCTTATATTGCGTTGGGCTATCACAGTACCCAGGGCTAAGGACTCGGCCCACATTACACTTCCTTCGCTGGCCATGTGTCCAAAGCCAGAGGCATGTAGACCTGGGGTTTGTGGGTTCAGTCTGCCCTGGGGTGGTCAGAGTCATGCCATATGCATGATGTGTGTATTCTTAGCGGCTCAGCCTAACTTCTGGAGTTAGCCCGTAACATGATTGAAATCGGTAGCACTGTTACTATGATACCCGTATAAGGTGGGGGCAATACTAATGGCCAGTGTTTCTGGACAGTCCACTCTTGGGAAGGGATTTGAGATAAGGACCTGCACAGTGTGACTCCTGAGCCAGCACATCCTCTGCCGATCTGTATTTGTCAGTGTTGTGCAAATTTCCGTTAGAGACACCTGCCCCTGAACAGAGAGCGGGCAGCCAACCTTCCAAAGAGCAACTCGGACAAGTACAGCTTGGCGAGTGAGTTTATGGAGCTGCGGCACTGCTGAAGTCACCCAACCCCTGTGCTGGACTTCTGGTTTTACAAGAAACTGATTAAAACAGCAAAAGCAAGAGGAGGTCCTTGGGAGAAGTTTCGGGGACCCCGCTCCCATCCCTGTCCTTATCGGGAAATCCACCGTCTCAGCAGGTGCTGTCTGGCTGCAGAGGGGCTGACCATATGGTACTGCAGCTGCAGCTGGACAGCCGAACAGGGGCCATGTGAGATGAAGTCGCTATTACCTGGCTGTGAAGCTACACTATCACACTACAATAGGTAACATTTATAGACTTAGAACGGTCGCGGTCGCGTGTGCAAGCGGAGCTCTAAGTGAAGCTAAGGCTGGGAGTGCGTGTGCAAGGCTGGGCTGGAACCCAGGGCCGCACCCATGCCAGCCACTGAGCTTCTCCATGGCGCTGCATTCCCAGCACTAAAGCAGCTCCTACCAATATCGGATGGAGACGAATCCACAGGGATGTGCAAGGCAGCGTGAGGGTGGCCAGGCTGGCCCACAGCCCTGGGTGCAGGTGGTCACCTCCCTGGCTGGCAGAAAGTTTAGGAAGCGCTGTGGGGCCTGGTGCAGGGTGGATGCTTGTTCAACAGGTGGCTTCCTAGGTCCCCATCCTGGAACGCTTAGCACTTTCTCTGCTGCAGAAGCTTTTTATTTTTTCCCTGTTATCTCTTGCCTATAAACCTGTGAGGTCCTCATTTTGCACAAGAGAAAAAAAAGGCACCCAGAGTAGGTTACCGGTTAATAAATGACAGACTCAGTTTAAACCTGAGGTTAGACCGGAGGCTGGTCTGACTGCAGGGTCAGAACTGCAAACCCAGGGGACCTTATTACCTTTAGTCCCTTAGAGAATGACTCCCTGGCGTAGGGTGCTACAGCCTGTACTCCACTGAACGCCCTGGGGTGTAGCTCAGAACCAGGAGATATTTCCAAAACTATTAAAACCCTTCTCTTCTCTTTCTGGTGGTCCAGAGAAGGGGCAGGAGTAGAAGTGGTGGCATTTTTTTTTTAAGTAAGACACAGTTCATTTGTTTGGTCATTCAATCAATCAAAAGTCTGTGATCTCTGCTCTATGCCCTGCCCTGAACTGGGACTGTAGACACAAAGGTGGGTGGGACCTGATGTTTGCTCTCCCAGGGCCCCGTGACCCAACCTGCTGGCTGGAACGTGCCCTTGGTGGAGGAAGGGCAGCTGCAGGTCCCTTGGGCAGGGTGAGCTCTGGAAGAACCCGGGTTCTGTCCCAAAGGATGCTACCCTGTTGAGTCCTCCTGCAAGGTCTTGGTTCAATTTGTTTCAGCTCCAAAACTCAGCTCACCTAACCACTGATTGTCAGTGCTAAAAGGACCTGGAGAAATAAGCCATGCCCAGAGCCCTTGAATTTCATGGAGCAACTCACAAAAGCCCTGGGAAGCTTTTAAGATCCATGATGCCAGTAGCCCCCTCCTGGAGTCCAGATGCATCAGTCTGCAGCGGCCCCAGGAGCATGTGTATTTGCTTAGCTTTGTGGTGGCCCTGGTACCCATTCCACCGTGGCAGTTCCCAGCCTTGGCTGCCTCTGAGGAGCCCCTGAGGGCTTAAAACACATTGATACCCAGGCCTCATCCCTGGAGAGTCTGACTGGAGTTTAGAAAACCATCACTGCCACCCCACTAGGCAGCAGGGGCAGATGCCCAACCACAAGGTGTCGGAGCCTTGCAGCTGGCCTTGTTCAAGGACCTGGGGGGATAAGAGCAGAAGAAAAGAGGAAAAGGGAGGCACAGATCAAAAGGTGGCTTCGATGGTCTAGGAAATCAAGAAGACCTCATGAGAAGTTCCTACGGAATTCAATTCTCAGTTTCCTGAGGCTTATGTCTCTTTTGTTTTTAAATGTTTTTTTTTTTTTTTTGCTTTCTATAATAACGATTAGTTCAAATAACAATTAAAAGAGTATAGGAGACTCTCATAAGTAATAATAACAAACTGGGTGTAGTGGTGCATGCCTGTAATCCCAACACTCTGGAGGCTGAGGCAGGGGGATCACTTCGAGTTCAAGGGCAACCTGGGCTACATAGTAAGTTCAAGACTCTTGTCCTAAAAAAAGGCAAAACCAAAACAGAACAAAATGAAGTAAAACAAACCAAAGCTATAATAATCACGAACTTAGCATACATATATTGTACAGCCATATTCTATGTTTCATGTATTCTATAAATATGATTTATAAATTAATATATAGTCTGTAATATATAATCCTAGCATGTGATGTTAGGATCTGTTTTTGCTTTGTCTCTTTAGTTTTTAAGGAGCACTCAAGAAGAGCTTGTTTTTCTGGTGGTTAAAAACTGGAGTACTAAAAACTCTTAGGCAGATTTGGGAGGGTGTGAGAGGAGCAGAAGTGGTACCCAGGAGCAGAAGTGGTACCCAGCTCCTGCTGAGGGTTCACACATCCTTCCCTGGGTGCCCTGGCCCTCCCAGGGCCAGGAACTGTCATCTGCACTTGGCAGCCCCGACCCCACACACTCACACACACATTTCACCCCACACCTGCCAGGTTACCAGCACGATTTTATTATCAGAGTGTAAAAGCATTCCCCTCCCCATGTCTCCAAATTCTAGGGGAAGTCAGCAGCAGGGACTAGGAAAGTGCCTGCGCTGGCCTGGCCCCACGACTGGCTGGCGTGGTTCGGCCCCTATTGCTGGCCTCATCCCTCATCTCCTGTGTCCTGTGGCCTCAGCTGCCCTTCTCCCCTGTGGGCTGAGGCTGGGCCATTAGGCAAAGGCTGTCCCTCCAGAGGCGATATGTGAGGACAGCAGTGACCGTGAGCCAGGCCAGGTAGGGCAGCAGCAGCAGGGCAGCCAGCTTGTTGATGGGATGCCAGACCAGCACCATGCTCACCACCAGTCCGTAGAGCAGAAGCAGCGTTAGCAGGGCCTGGGCAGAGGGGCGGGGTCAGCACATTGCTTGGGAGCCAGGCACCCTACCTTTCTGTGGCCCCTGTGTTCAGTGCACCCCAGGAGCCCTGGGGAGTCTGACCTCAGCTATCTGCTTCCAGGCTGGTAGGCTCCCCTCCTCCCACATTCCCTCCAGTACTGAGCTCCCGGAGCCTCACCAGCCCAGGGTTGGCAGCCTCTAGGAAGAGCATCAGGACCACCCAGCTGATGGGCAGCTGGAAAGCGTAGAGGCCAAGGGGCAGGGCCAGGCGCCACTTAAAGCCCCCTCCTAGGTCCTTCCATACCAGGTAGGAGGCGTAGCTGGGAAGAGAAGGTGGCAGAAACACAGTGGAGTGGGTCCTCAGGTTCCTGGAAGGGGCTCTCTGGAGCACGGATGTGGGAAAGCTGCTGTGGGCATTCTTTGAGACCCAGGGGCTAGGGGAGGGGTGAACGAGGCAAGGGACAATGAGGAGGTAGAGGAACAGGGCTGGTTGGAATCCTTGGCAGGCAGAGGCTTCTGTCTTGGGGACCCCCGTCCCTTGGAGAGGCAAGGTGGGGTGCATCCGCTGGAAGAGCTTGGCCTTGGGGAAACTCACGTCTTCTCTAGTGGGTGGCAGGGCCGCGTGTGAGGACAGCGTGCTCACCCCATGAGGGAGTAGATAGTGGTCCACACCAGCAGGACGGTCTTGTAGGGTGGGCACCAGGACAGGGTCCTCAAGCCCTTGCACCAGTCAGTCACTGAATAGCGAGTGAACAACCAGAACAAGATGGGCCCCAGGTGAGGCAGGCTCACAAAGAAGGCCCCTTGGGGCTGCATTGGCCTCAAGGGGGCAGAACCTGGGGAGCAGAGAGCATGGTGACCACGGGCCTTCCCGGAGCCCTTGCCCCGAGTCTCCGTGTCTGCCTTCACTTCTGATGTGATGCTGCCCCCCAGCCATAGCACCTCTTAGGAGGCTGTCATTGAGTCCTCCCTGCCACCTGCCGCCTTGGGCCCAGCCCCAGTCCTGCCCCTCTGAATCACATCCATCCCAGCCCATTTTCTGGCTTCCCCACACCAGTCATTTGACACCTGGGTCACACTGTCCAATATCAGCAATTGCTTCTCAGTTAAACCTTCCTGTCCTCTCTAGGAATCTGAGTCTGGGGGGTCAGGTCAGGGAGTTACCCTGTTTTTGACCTCCCCCAGTGGGCTACACCTGGGTAGGTACCTAACAGGTGCTGGTGGAGGACACTGTCTTACCTCTGCTGACGGTGGAAGGTCCATATTCTGAAGGCAGGAGCCAGAGATTCCTGGCCTTTTCAGTCACCAGAGGGCCGGCCCATCTGCTCAGGCTTATCTCACTAGACCACACTGGCATGCTCTCGGGCCCACCCAGGTAGATCTGCCCAAATGCCCAACAGCCAACCGCCACCGCCACCGCCACCGTGAGGATCCCCTTCTCTGGAGCCTTAGCTCATGTCTGCTCCTGGAACATAAGGAATGTGGTCCCTCTATACTTCCTTATTTCTGGAGGGTCAGGCTGTAGACCCACGCATCTAAACTTCTCATGGCCAGATTCTCCAGGAAACATCCATTTGGCCTTTCGTTATAAAGCTGCCTTGCTTATTTGCATGTTGCTTTATTTGCATATCATTAGCATGTGGGGTATGTAGAGACTCTCTTCCAATCAAAGGGCTGTCCTTTCATCTCATGCTTATTTGCATGTTGCTTTATTTGCATATCATTAGCATGTGGGGTAATGTAGAGACTCTCCTCCAATCAAAGGGCTGTCCTTTCATCTCATGCTTATTTGCTCTTGATGCGGCAAGATATGATCAAAAATGTGGTGAACGTTGGCCTTAAAATCCCCTCAGTATTCTCCTTATCCACAGTTTCTGCCACTTTCTGAAGAAATCTTGAAAGTCCTCTTCCTTGAGTTTTTTTACTTATGCTGTTGTGGCTGCCTCAGTACCCCAAATCTACTCGGAATGTTTACCTTGCATGGTCATTTTGACCTTGGGGGAGAGCCAGCAGTGGCGTGGCATCCGACCTGGTGAATTAGTTGGATGAGGACACAGCGTCATGGTTTTACAAGGCTGCTTTCCGGTTGGTGGCATTTGGCAGCCACATCCACTGTAACAGTGATCACACCTTGTAAAGATACCAGAGAAGACTCTGGAGCTGCTTCAAGAAGTGGCAAGGACAATGGGGTAAGTGTACTGACAGTGAGGGGGAGTGCTTTTTTGGGGGGGAAGAGGTTAACGGCAATGAGTCTTTTACTTTGAAAACAATTTTTTCTATTTTTTAAAAGTCACCATACTTTTTTCTATCACCTTTTGTATTTCACCTTTCTCCCTACGATGGGATTTGAAGATAAAATTTGATTATTTGCAATGTTCTGGACTGCTTGCTCAATCCATCCCTTCCTGTCAAGGGTCAAGGACACTTGTCCTGGGTCATCTTTCCATGTATCCTTGGCTCCTCACTGTCCTTTGTCTTCTGCCATCCTATGTCTCTGTACTTCCTTTTCCTATTTTTCTGTCCAGTGCTGGAGGTTCCCTGCCCTCACCCTCCTTCTCCTGTCCCCAGGCCTCGAATGCTCTTACCCCCAGCAGAGCGCCTCCCAGGCTGGCGCCTGATGTTCCAGGGGGTGTGGAGGGCAGGAGAGGGGGTGCGGTGAGGAAGACGGTGGGGCAGGGCTCCTCGCTGGCCTGCCTGTCTCAGATGCCAAGAGCAGTGATGTACTGGGGAGTCCAGGTCGGGGCTTATATGGCCCCAAAAGTTCCTCTCCATGGGGGCTCCCCCAGTCTGAAAGATTCTTATTCATTTAGTTTTTTCAGTGCTAGTGACTGAACCTCATGCTTTCTAGGCAGTGCTCTAGCCCTCAGCTATACCCTCCCCCAGCTGGGTCCCTCCTGATCCTGGTCATTGGAGGAGCTCTTGATGGAGAAGTTGAGGGACTGGCCTTGGGACATCCAGGCCTTAGATGGCAGCTCAGCCCCAGCTACAGCTCTGTGCCCATGGAGGTGGCAGGGCTTTCAGATCTCTCCAGAGACTTTCTGTAACTATAACTATCCCTGAATGAGGTAAGCATCAGCTCCAGATATGGACCCATGACCCATGAGCATAGACCTTGGTTATGGCCTTCCCTTTGGCATCGGCCTGCCTGGCTTGGGATTTGTGCTTGGCACATGTCCCACAACCCCTAGGACTTTATGACTCAGAGACAGCAGAGGTGAGTGGGGAGCCTGGGGAGCGGAGGCCTGGCAGAGTCCTTCCTCCCGGCTGCCCTGAAGGGAGGTGGGAAAGACAGTCCCTAGCTGTTGGCAGAGCCAGCCTCCTGCGGGGTGCAGACCAGCACCTCCTCTCTTTGCTCCCTGTCACAGTTCTGGGCACCTTTTCCTGCTTGTACTTTATCCACTGGGGTCTCTTTCTCCGTCGGTTACTTTCCACCTGTTCCTTTGTGACAGCTCTATAATTTGGGGACCTGTCTGCCCTATCCTCTCCCCTTTACCCAGGAAGGGATAGAGGGCAGGGATGCCGTCAGAAGTACAAGAGGCTAGAGAATCATTAGCTGGGACTTAACCAGAGGAAGTTACTTCTTATCTTTTTAAAATTGTATTTTATTTTTTGCTCGACATGCAATTGAACGTATGTATGGGGTGCAATGTGATGTTTATATATCATAACAGCCAAATGGTAGAAACAAGCATACCCATCACATGTAATATGTGTCATTTCTTAGTAGAGAAATTCCAGGTCCTTCTGCTAGCTGTTTTGAAACACACAATGCATTATCATCAACTATAATCACCTTACTGTGCAAAAAAAAAAAAAATGCAGAACTTGGTGCTCCTATCTGACCGTAACCTTGTACCCACCAATCTCTCCCCACCCTCTCTCCCCAGCCTCTGACACCTGTACTCCCTGGTTTATTGGCACGTTATCCACAAGATCCATGCATGGATCACCTGAGTGCCGATCAATAGATGAGTGGATAAAGAATGTCATACACACACACACACACACACACACATACGATAGAATACCAGCCAACCTTGGAAATGCAGGAAATCCTGCTATTTGTGGCATGTGAACTGAGCTAGGAAATACCACATGACTGCACACATGCAGACTGTGAGCACCAGCTCTCTTGAGGCAGAGGGAGCACTGCGGAAGTTGCCTGTTTGCAGTGGGAAGTGCAAACTGCAAACTTCAGAGTTCATCTTGGTGATAACAGTCCTGTGTGACAGGCACTTTCCCTTTAGCGGTTCAATAAATGACACTACTAGTCCATCCAAGGTAGATGTTGTTACCTGCACTTCCCAGACAAGGAGATTGAGGCTGACCGGGGTTAAGTAGGAAGCCCAAGGTCACGGAGCCAACATGGGGTCACCAGGGCCATGAGTTCCTGGCCTGGATCCAGAAAACCTCTTCCTTTCTTTGAGTGGGTGACACAGGTCCCTCCGGAGCAGCTGCTGTGAATTCAGGTGCACCAGGGGCTGAGGAGAGGACAGATGGGCAAAACCCCTTACCCCTTGGTGCTTTCATTCTTCTGTGTCATCTCTCTGGGCAGAGTTCCTAAGGGTCCCTGCTGGCAACCAGCCCCAAACTTTATCTCTCTCTGCAAGAAGCAGTATCCCTGGCTGTGTGGTGGAAGGGGCAGAGGATGGGGGCCAGAGGCTACCTGGTGCCTGCTTGAATTCCTATGCAGGAGGCCGATGCAACTCAGTGTTAACTTAGCTCTCAGGACGGGTTGCATTAGATTAGTAGCCCCCAACCCACTCCTACAGAAAAAAACCCTGCTTTTTAAGTAAGACCCTAGGGGACTCCTGCTCAAGTCATAGAGCTCTGGCTAAGGTTCTCACCTTTCGCCTTCTACCGTTTGCATAGATCTGCTGGGGCCCGCCGCTCACCAGCAGGGGGCGCTGGAGGCAGAGTGTCAAGGTGCAGCGCTGTCTCCGAGATGTCTCCCTTCGGCTTTGGCCCCTTGCAGCTCCACGCTGATAAGTTCACTGCCTTCCGAGATCCTCAGCTACTCCTCTATCCAGCTGGACTTTGCCAGCAGAGAGGAACACTGGTTTCCACCCTTGTTTTGAGCGGCTTGGAGGAAGGGCTCTGCCGGGAAGCGCCAGGCCCCGCCCACCTGGCGTCCCCGCCCACCGCCACCTGCGGGCTGGCCTGGCCCCAGGGTCTGGACAACCTGTTTCTGGGAGACGGAGGAACTGCAGGTCCTGCACAAGCCAGGGGCCCCTGAAGCTTTAGACAGAAGGTGAGCACTGCCGGGGCCGAGTAGAGGACGGCACTGCTAGGGGTCCCCTGGGGCTCTGCCGGGCCTGCTAGTGTGGGGGACCCTCTATGGGAGGAGGGGAGGGCAAGGGGACATCGCAGCTGATGGGCGTGAGGGCCGGGGTATGACTTGATGTGGACATGCGTGCAGTGCTCGTGGGTGCTGCGACCAGGTGTGGACGCGTCCTTCCCAGGACTTCCTGTGCCCCGCGGTGATACCCGCAGATCTACCAGTTCTTTGGGACACCCAGGAGCACCCGGGGCTCACTGGGAGGGTGAGCGTTTAGAGGGTTGAGCGGGACTTGGCAGCAGGAGTCTGGATCTTTCTGCTGGAGAAGCAGCTGCCCAGGGGTGGCTGAGGGGTGGCCTTCTAAAGGCCTTCTCTTGGAGAGTGGCTACCAGGATGACCTGGGGCATGGGCAGGACAAGCAATGCATGGGTGATCCGGCATCAGGCGCTGGGCATGGAGTGGGGAGGCCCTGTCCTCACAGAAGGGGCTGCAGCCCCGTAGACTCCATCCAGCTCCTAAGGCCCCTTCCTCTCCTGGGTGGGGAGAACGGAATGAGTGCTCTGGCAACCTCCTGGCAGAGCTGGCCCTGGGGCCCCTGGGCTGAGCCAGAAAGAGTTAACTGGCTCAGGGTAGGTAAATGAATGGGCTCGGTGAGAGGCCCAGGGGCCCCGGAAGGGGAGAGGGACGTGACTTCACCACCCAAGGGTGGAGGGGTTTGGACTCTGGTCTTTGGAGGCCCCAGGGAGGCTGTTGCTGCAGACGCAGGATGGGTGTCCTCCTTTCTTTGCTTTTTGCTGCCCGTGCCCTGCCACCGGGCCCTGGGGCAGCAGGTGTGCGGCATCCCCCTCGGTGGAACTAGGCGGTGCCTTTAGTTCCTTTTTTTACTTTTTCTTATGTTGTTTCTTTGTCATCCAATTTCATTCCCCTTAGAGGAGAAAAAGTGGGGAGGAGGAAATGGTGGGGGGCCTCTGGACGTCCTCTCTGTCCCTGGACATCCTTCCTGTCTGCAGTGGTGGCTTAATCGTCCCCTCCATCCTCACTGAGAGACAGTTCCATGTTCTCTTCTGTGAAGTGGAGATTTAAGGGGTCCTGAAGTCAGAGGGCTGCTGCCAGACCAAACGGGGAAACCACGTGCTGTTTGAGAGTTACTGCTATTGCCACAATTGCAGTTCCAGCTACAGTTGTTACTAATGTGGGGGCTCAAAAGGAGCGGACAGGACACAAGGGGAAGCTTGCTGCTGCTGTCCACCTTGCGAGCTGTGCTGGGCCACTGCCAGCCCACCTGATTCCCTGGTATGCCGGGCAGGTGGCCTGGCAAGAGGAGGCGGGGACACCGGCTTAGGGCTGGGTTTTCAGGCAAATGCCAAACTTCCCTTTCCTGTGCACGTTTCCAGCACGGCCACAAGAGAAACAAGGTCCTGCATCGGAGCTCAGTCCTGAGGTATGAAAGAGCTTCTGCCCCAAGTCAGGAGGAACAGGGAAGGGGTGGAGTTTCCTTGGCTGAGGGAGGAAGGGAGATGGGTACCTGTCGTGTGCAGCCCCTGGCAAATCCACCAGAGGAGCTCCAAGGGGGCAATGTCTCCTAGGACTCAGCCACCAGCCAGTGAATTCCCTCAGCAGCGCTGGGGAGCTAAGTGAGACGTCATTTTTGGCAGGACTGAACTTCTGTGGTGCCTGATACACAGGATGTGCGTGGGAGTGGGGGAGCCACAGGCTATAGGGGGACTCAGGAGCTGGCCAGGATGGCAGAGCAGAGCCTGAAGGAGCAGTGGGTGGAGCTGGTCTAGCTGCTGTGCTGGGGTGGGGGTGGGGGTCCAGGTGGGTGACCGGGCAGGGCGTGGAGGTGGGGAGGCAGAGAGCAGATGGGGTCTCGGATCCCCAAGGGGCCGGAAGTGGGTTCAGGAAGAGCGGCAGGCCTGAGGCCTGGGGGGTGGGGGGCAGTCTCAGTGCCCGCGGGCCAGGTAGCCCCAGGTAACCAGGCGCCCTGTGGGTGCTCACAGTGCCTCTGCCCTGCTTCACTCCTGTAGGCCTTTGTTTTTCTTTCTTTTATTGCTTCTACTTTTAACTTTTGTCATTCACGTTGCATTGTGTGCCTCAGAGCAGGAGGGTTGTAAATAAGCACACTTGGATGAGGCCCTTTATTATCTAGTGCTTTTCCCACGACCTCACCTCACCCCGGTCTCCAGGGAGGTATATCCCTTCTGCTTTTAAGAACTTCCCAAAACAATGGTAAAGTGTTTAAAGTACAGGGTCGGTGTGAAAAATTCAAGGAATACAAAAAAAAAAAAAAAAAAAAAAAAAAAAGCTCAAGGAAATTGAGTCCTTGTTCATGTCTTTGCCCTCTCAGTCTTTTATTTATTATTATTATTATTATTATTATTATTATTATTTTGGTACTGGGGATTGAACTCATGACCTAGTGCTTGCCAGTCAGCACTTGTGCTGCTGAGCTAAATCCCAGGCCCCCTCTCAGTCTTTTAATTGTGACCATTGGGATGGTCTGGGGGTGGACGGTTCCAGATCAGCCCTGAGTAAGACAGAAGCTGCTAAAACAGGTGGCGCTTGACACACAGCAAGTCCCAGTCAAGATGTGTCATATGTGTGAGTAAAATACTCGGGGATGTGAAAGACTTGGTGTGAAAAGAGAACGGAAAATATCTCCTTAATAACTGCACTGGTGGCCTGCTGAAGTAGCCTTTGGGTTAAATAGAGAGATTATTAATGTCCCTGTTGCTTTTATTCTTTCATGCGGCCACTACGAAAATTTCAATCACATATTTAGCTTGTGTTGATTTTGATCCCATCCCAGGATGCCAGACCTTTTTCTGCACACTGACATACACACACGTGCCGTCCACACCTGCACACACCCAGTGAACCTCTACCTGTGCTGGATTTGAATGTTCGGTATCTTTTTATTTGTGGTGCTGGGGATTGGACTCAGGGCTTCTCACAGGCCAGCGTGTCCTCCACCACTGAGCTACCCTCCCGGTCTGTGCCTTTTCCTTACGTTAGTGTGATCAGGGGTTTCTAAGTTTTTTTTTTCACATACTGACTGCTGCAGTGGTTCTTGTGGGTAAAAGTAGATGTTTTCACGGAAGAAGAAACTGAGGCACTTTAAGCAACATGACGAGCTTCCCCAGCCTCAGTGATCAAGGTGGCTTTGCGCTCACGTCCTCTGATTCCAAACCCAAGTTCTTTCTGCTGCCTCAGTTTATACCGATGAGGTGTGTGAAATCATGGGTGTTAGGGCTTGGGTCTAGATGTCCCCCAAAGCCTCATGCTTTGGGTGATAGGTGGGGCTTTTTCACAGTATGGGAATCTAGAGTGTGTGGTGCTGGAACTGATTCTTGGCACAATGCTAGGCCCAAGGGCCACTAGGATTAATGGTGTGAGTGCTACCTGCCCTGAGAAGCCTGGATGGATACAAGGGATAGAAAGAGCTGTGGTCATTCCTGCAGCCACCTGGAAGCCAAGTCTTGGTCTCCGTGGCTTAAGGCTTAGGCTGGTCCTCACCCCTTCTTTCCCCCAGGCCCTTGACCTTAGCCGGCCCCGGTGCAGGATATCCAGCAACCTTGAGTGACCAGGAGGATGTGTCCCCCAGAGAGTGCCCTCCAATCCCCCCAGTTCCTCCTGCTGGTGGGGATCCCTGTGGTCAGTACCCTGCTTCTGGTTCAGTGTCTCCGGTGGCACTGTCCCCGCTGGCTGCTGGGGCCCTGCTGGAAGCCGGACAGCCACGAGGAGCCAGAGCCCCCGTCCTCTCCACCACCGGAATTCGAGGTGCCAGGGCATTGTGTGCCTGCCACCCTGCCGGAGATAGCTGCCTTCTACCAGGAGCTGCACACGCCCACTCAGGGCCACACTGTCACCCGCCAGCTGATGAACAAACTGCTGGTGTTCTCGGCCCGCGAGGTGGATCACCGTGGGGGCTGCCTGCTGCTGCAGGACACAGGCATCTCCCTACTTATTCCGCCAGGTAATGGCCCACAGGGTCCAGACCGTGTCCCGGGACGACTGTGCCTGAGGGGGCAGCCCGGACTGCACCTGCAGTCTTCACACCGAGCCACAGTCCAGCCCTCTTAAAATTTTTATTTCGAGGGTCTCCCTAACCTACTGAGTTGCCTAGGCTGGGCTCGAACTCGCCATCTTTCTGCCTCAGCCTTCCAGAGTGCTTGGATTGCAGGATGCACCAGCACATCTGGCCCTTAGGCGTCTGTATAATTTTGAAGATTATTGCTATTTCTAGTATAACTTTGCTGACCCCCAGGATGGACATACAATGGATATTTTAGGACAACTTTCTGGCAGGTGGAGTTAAAGGAGTTTGTTCTAAGGACTTGGTGTGCTCTGCCAATTCTCCAATAGAATAAGAGAGCAGGGTTTACAAATTCACCCCCTGGAAGGAAGCGGGTGACTGGCTTGGGACTGCGCCCCAAGTCAGGGCATGTGGTCTTGCCCATCCACAGAGCCTTAGTGTCCAGTGGGGTACCCTCCGCCCTGGCCAGCCCTGTGCGGGCTTGGAGGATGCCTGCTGCCGGGCCCTCCCAGCTCTCTGTCTCCCTAGGTGCCGTGGCCTTGGGCCGTCAGGAGCGGGTGTCCTTGATCCTGGTGTGGGACCTGTCCGATGCCCCACTGCTGTCCCGCACCCAGGGACTGGTGAGCCCAGTGGTGGCGTGTGGCCCCCACGGAGCCTCCTTCCTGAAGCCCTGCACCCTCACGTTCAAGCACTGTGCCCAGCAGCCGGGCCACGCGCGCACTTATAGCAGTAACACGTCCCTGCTCGACGCCAAGGCCTGGCGGCCCCTGGGCCAGCCTGGGGCCCACACCTCCTTGGATGAGTGTCGCATCCAACTTTCCCACTTCAGGTATGCGTGCGCCCATCAGCCTGCCCCCAACCCCCGCCAGGTCCCCGGGGCCGCCTTGTCCTTGACTCTGCACAGAGCTGCCCCTTCGTCTGTCTGGGATGGCCCGCAAGTCCCTGGTCCCCCTGTGTCCTTCTCTGTGGCCTCTGTCCTAATGTCCACAGCAGCTTGTTCTACCCTAACCCTGCCCGGGGCTGTGTACCCCACTGCGGCCCCTCTGCCCATCTGGAACTGTCTGTCCCCTCCCCACCTGTTTCTCTTGCCAGACAGACGATTCTTGCTGGCTCTCCTCCCTGGCTGGTAGCGGCCACCTTCTCTAGTCCCTCAATGCCCATTTCTCACTAGGATCCCAAGTGCCTCCTGAAGTGCTCTAGTCCCCTTGGAGGCTGGGAAGAGCCTCCACATTCTTACCTGGCAGGAGCCCGATGATGAGGTCTTGGGGTCTCTGCCCCGTCTATCCCCACAGCCTCTACACCTGTGTGCTGGAGGCCCCAGTGGGCCAGGCTGCCCGAAAGTGGCTGCAGCTGGCCATATTCTGCTCCCCGCTGGCGCCGGGGCAGACTCACCTGCAACTTCGAGTCTACTTCCTCAACAACACACCCTGCGCCCTGCAGTGGGCAGTGACCAACGAGCAGCCCCATGGGGGGCGCCTGCGAGGGCCCTGCCAGCTCTTCGACTTCACAGGGGCCAGGGGCGACCAGTGTCTGAAACTCAAGTACATCTCTGAGGGTGAGGGGCGCTGGCTTGGGCCCGGGGAATGGGGGCTTCCCCTGCACTGTATGCAGGTCAAGAGCTCTGTTTCTTTTCTGGATTCTGGGCTGGAGCAGCCTCAATGAGACCCTCGCCTTCTGCCCCGGAGACCCAGGTCCTCTTGCTCCTCATGACGCCCACCCAAACCCTGGCCCCCTGCTAGGATGGGGTGATGCCGAGAGGAGGGGGCTGCAGGCAGCAGGAGGGAGGGAGGCTGCATGGGGAGCTGGTGTTAGTCTCCCCGCTTGGCCTCCCCTTCCTGTGGTCAGGGCCGCTGGCACTGATGTGACTGAGGACAGGTCACATGGGGCAGGGCTGCTTCTGGGTGTGGAAGACGGGTGGGAGGCTGCAGGAGGGCACGAGGGGCTGAGTGCTGTGTGCAGGGAGGGATACGTGGCATAGACGCCAGGCTGCCTGGATCTGGGGTGCCCATCCACTGGGGGCCCTCCTGCCTTTGCTAGGTCCTCGTGCCTCCCCAGCCCCTTTAAGGGCCCCTCCTGGTCTCTGTCCCTGCCCCAGGCTGGGAGAACGTGGATGACAGCAGTTGCCAGCTGGTTCCCCATCTCCACATCTGGCATGGAAAGTGCCCCTTCCGCTCCTTCTGCTTCCGGAGGAAAGCAGGTAGCGCAGGGGCCTGGTGGCCACCTCCTGCCCACCCTTCTACTCCCTGAAATCTTGATGCTCTCTGTGTCCCACCCCAGTCTTTCTGCAGGGCCCTTTGAGTCTGTGCTCTTACCCCAGGTCTTTCCCTGTCTCACTTACTCTCTCTGCAGCCAATGAGAATGAGGACTGTTCGGCACTGACCAATGAGATCATTGTCACCATGCACACCTTCCAGGATGTGAGTTATTGCTAAGGGGCAAGGAAAGGGCAGGGCCTACAGGAGTCCTGTGGTCCTAGTCGCATAACTAAGTGGGAACGATGGCATCTTCACTGCAGCCAGCCTGTTCTTGAGGGACTCAGGCCACCTGGCCTCCGAGTCACCCACTGTGACTGACTCTTGTCTGTTAGTGGGGGACCCCAGCAGGAGATTAACGGATCGCATCTTGGATTAAGCCCTTCCTCTCCCGGCCTGGGGATGGGGGTTCAGGAGACATGGGTTCTTCCTAGACTGAGTCTCTTCATTGGATGTCTCAGTGGCAGATGGGAAGAAATCTGGAGGAAAATCTTTGGGGACCACAGTAGCATCTCAATGGAAGGTGGCAGACACCCTCACACTGTCATGTGGCGATAAAGCTGGGTGGAGGAGAGGAGTGCTGTATCTCTGTCATTGGGGGGCCTTCCGCTACCCTGTGACTTCCTCCAGGACTTCTGGTAGCTTAGGACACCCCCTCCTGTTCCAGTTCTCAAAGTGGGCAAACTCAGGACAGAACATAGGAGCCTGGGGTCAGAGGAGAGGGTAGAGGCGTGAGGTGGTATCTCCTGGTAACGTGACTTGGGGTGACGGGCCAGAGAGACATAGGAGGGTGACCCCTGGCTTCTTACTTTAGGGAGTGTCTTGTGACCCCTCGTGTGTTTCCTGTCCCCCTGCTGACTCAGGGCTTGGAGACCAAATACATGGAAATCCTCAGGTTCCAGGCATCAGAGGAGGAGTCCTGGGCAGCGCCACCCCCTGTCTCCCAGCCACCCTCCTGCAACAGGTGAGGCGAGGGTTGTGCTCTTGCCCTCAGGGATGCTTGGAGCTGCTGCCTTAACACCCACAGGGAAGTGCAGCGCATGGTCTGTGTGTGTGTGTGTGTGTGTGTGTGTGTGTGTGAGAGAGAGAGAGAGAGAGAGAGAGAGAGAGAGAGAGAGAGGGAAGCAGACTCAAGTCCCTCTAAGGACACCTTTCCCCCTCAGGCTGCCACCAGAGCTCTTTGAGCAGCTGCGGATGCTGCTGGAGCCACACAGCATCACAGGGAATGACTGGCGTCGGCTGGCCTCCCACCTGGGCCTGTGTGCCATGAAAATTCGGTAAGAAGGGGAGACGTGTGGACGGCTGGACATGGGGCTGGGATGGGTGGAACTGGACCACAGCAAAGGAATGGCTTTAAAGTCTAGAATGGCTCCTCCCACCCCGCTCCTCCCTGCAGGGCAGTTCTTCCTGTAATGCCCATGCTCTCAGGACCTAGAGCGAGGCCTGACTGTTCGTAGGTGCACCATGCATATTTAACAGTGGATCCATCACCATGCAAGGCCACCAGGGAGTGGGAGCCTCGTGTGGCCTGGGGACCGAACAGCAGGTTACAGATACTATGGGCAAAGTTTGTATCCGGGTGCCCGGTGCATGTTATGGGAAGTTAACAGGCAGTTGTTAGCTATGGCCCTTGCCAAGGAACTCACAAAGAAATCACAGGAGAAGAGTTGTGAGCTTGCTTGCAGGCTCTGAGTGCTACGATCAGGGAAGACTTCACCCATGAGAAGGTCTAGGCTGGACCTTGGACTCAGGGTGGACTGAGAAACCTGCGCTGTCCTGTTGAGCACTGGGGTATAAGAAGAATGAAGTTCACTTCCAGATCCCAGGAGCTCAGAATCTATGCAGGAAGGGTACAGAGATCTTAGAAGCCAAGGCAAGTGCTCCTTGTGGCTTCTTGTATGTATCCAGCATTGCACGCGTGCTGGAAGGAGCACGTAGGAGCGGAAGCAGGGATCGCTGAGCTATGGCTGGACGGTGCAGTGCAGCCTTTTCCTAAGAGCCAGGGATGAGAAAGGCTTTGGGGAGGTGGTGATGGGAAGGAGAATAAAGCCTTTCTGTCTTGGGGGAGCTGCAGAGGTTGTGGGTGCAGTGTGTGCATGAGAAACAGGGAAGGACCAGTGTGAAGTCCTGGGTGAGGCTGGAGGGTGTTTGGATGGGAGGAGACAGATCCTCTCCTGTCTGGTTTCTAAAGGAAGCTGAGGTCTAGAGAGACAGGGCCCAAGGAGGGGGCGGTGAGTCACCACGTCAGGACAGTCGGAGTTTCTGGCTACCTTAAGTCCCCTGGAAGGGTGGTGTCACCCACTGACCCTCAAACCACTAGCTCCTCTGTGTTCACTAAGGTACCTGTCGTGCCAGCGCAGCCCTGCAGCAGCCATCCTGGAGCTCTTTGAGGAGCAGAACGGCAGCCTGCTGGAGCTGCACTGCCTCATGACCTCCATGGAGCGACTGGACTGTGCCTCGGTCATCCAGAGCTACCTCAGTACAACACCCCACAGCAGCCCGGCCGTGGTCCACAATCATGTCTGGGAGAACCAGCACCTGGAGCTGGATGAGAAGCTCTGAGCACCCACCAGGGTGGGTGGCCGGGGAAAAATGCGGCCACAGAACCTGCGGGCCATTCCAGGGACACCTGTGAGCCACCTCCAGGCATGCAGGTTCTCTCCTGGCCAGTAGGCGGCGTAAGAGCACAGGAGATGACCACAGCTTGGCCAGCTGCCTGGCAGCTATTTATGGACACTGGGCTTCCAGGTGGCTCCCGTGGGCTCTCCAGGTCGACTGTCTGGCCCACAGGCATTCACTGAACACTTAGTAAGTGCTAGCACTCCAGGGGCATGCTGGAGTGTTTGAGGTGGGGCATGGAGCCTGGAGTAAGCTCAGTGCTCTTTTGTCCGGTCAAGGTGACTGCAAGACAGAGCTGCGTTCTGCAGGAGGAGTTGGGAAGGGAGAGAGCTGAGCTGGGCTGCAGTGAGGAGAAGGCCCTGGGTAGGAGGTAGGGAGAGCGCCTGAGGTGGGCTGGGGAGCACGCCCAGAGGCCAGCACTAGGGAGGAGCTGAGGAGCTCTCCTGAGGCCCAGGGGCAGGGCCAGGCCAGCGCGTAGCTGGGCAGTGATCCCTGCAGCTGCAGTCTCCTCCACCTCCCTCGGTCTCTGCGCTAGCCCTGCCCTCTCTGCCATGATCTCTGTTAGAAACCATTAATGCTGAGCAGAAGCCTCCGGATCAACCTTTGTATCCCTTCATCTCCAGCTGTGTGACTTTTAAGCTTCGGACTTCAGTTTCCCGCCTCTCTTCCCTGAGACTTCTGCATCCCCGAATCCACATATTCTGTTACCCAGCACCTTAGCATCTGTTTGTCTCTACCTGGTTACTGCGCCCTCTCTTTGGCGTAATTCTCTCTGTCTGAAATCCTCCGTTGTTACTCCCAGGCAAGTGTCTCCAAACTTAGGTGATGCATTGGTGCTATCCTCACAGTGACTGAGTAGGGAGATGCTCCTTGTGGAGCAAGATTCAGTTTGGGGCCAGGAAATAAAGGAAAGGGACCGATACCTAGCAAATGCTACTGTGTGTAATGCACCATGTATGGAAGATGGGTATTGCACAGGCAGCGAAGCGTTCTGCTCAGCTCTGTTCTGCAAACAGTTCGCCTTAATTTGTCCTGGTAAACATGAAGAGTTTGTCTTTATATTTAATAAAAATATGAATGCTTATTTTTTATGAAGAACAATACTGTATAGTGCAATATGCAAATTGCCTTTGTTACTGCGTTGTGCTCAGACTGGTAGATTTGGAATTCTATCTGTGGGGATGGATTAGAGGTGGTGTTTCCGGTGTGGAAATCGTCCAGGGTGGTGAACCGGGCCCGTTATCTCCCTGTCTCTTAGGAGGAGCCTTCAGAGGTGGGTCCTTCTGTCCCACGCCTCTTCCTCTGCCCTCACTCATTTTCTCCCACCTTCTTCTTGCTCCTCACACCCCATCAAGGCTGCTGGTCACCCCAGCTTGGTGGCTCTTCCTTCTCCCCATCACATGGCTCAGGATTGTACTATGAAGTGCATCCTGCTCCCTACAGACCTGGTACTGTTTCTCCATGGTGGATGAAGGCATCTCTGCTTTCCTTCCCACCTTGGGGCAAATCATTTGAAGGTTTTCTAGTCTCCTGGGCTTGTGAATGAAGTTCCCTGAGTTCCTGAGATGGAATACAATGCCTTCCGCCCTACAGCCCATTTTCTCTGCATGGGTTCCCACGGTTGGCAAAAGGAGGCTTGGAAATCCTGGGGTAGGTGCAGGTTGTGCTATTCCTGTGGGGAGAGGGCTTCTTTTCTCAAATGAAACCCACTGGATGTGTGGATTGGCACCTAAAGCTGAGGGGGTGTGTTGCAGTGGACATCAAGAGAAATTTGTGTTCAT